GGTTGCGAAAATATCATCAATAATTCTCCAGAAGTAGCCGTGCAGGAGCATCCACCAGGCGAATCTGGCAAGGAGGAGGAATAGCGACCAGCAGACACCAAGGCAACAACTCTGGGCTGAGCGATCCTCAAAAACGCACCAAAAACCCGCTTTGAGAAGGTTGACTCCTGCCAGAAAACTATCTGGCGAGTTCTGGTGTATAGCGTGACCCTATTTGTCATTCACCGTTTCCTCCGATCTAGCATCGTCTCGCACTTACATGGTAACCCTCGGAAGTGACGATGCTGAGGAGTGGGAGATGGTAATCAAGTGTGAACTTGACAGCTTCAAGAACAACAGCACAAGGATCAAGGCAAATTTTTCATTGGGGAAACGAGCCGCGGGGGCGAAATGGGTATTTGAGGTCAAACGTAATGACAACCGTAACATGCAGCGGTATAAAGGGAGATTAGTGGCCAGGGGCTTCTTGCAGGTCGAGGGGGGAGGTTTATCATGAGGCGTATGCACCCCGTCTGCTGACGAGACACCCACGTGCAGTAATCGCTGTGGCTACCATAAACAGACTGCGTCGCCATCATCCAGGTGTCCAGAGTGCCTACCTTTACAGCGAGTACGAGAAAGAAGACTACCGCAAACCACCCACCGGAGCGCAGTGCTTGGTCGGAAAGCACTTGCGTTTGCGCAAGGGAATTTACGGGGTATGGCTACCAGGTCGGAGCTGGCACAATGAGCTCGATGCGATTCGCCCTCACAAGTGTTGAGGCAACCAATGTCTATAAAAAGGTACTGTCGATGTCAACTTCAGTCTTGACGGAAAGTGTCAACGATCTCGTTATGACAACCGAGCAGCAGGAGATGGCCCTTCGACTTCAAGGCCTGTTGTTCAACTTCTTCCGCATCAAGGGCCTCGGACTGCTTCAGCATTAACTTGACCCATGGGATTCAGCGCAACACACACAAGGGCAGCACCTTCGTCGACCAGGCGGTCTATGCAGATTCGATACTTCGAAGCTTCGACTTGGCAGATTACAAGGCTGTCACAGCTCCAGCTTCGAACGCACAAGAAAATGGGAATGCTAAGCCTGAAGAACAGTATCCAGTATTTCTAACCCACAGTCACCACATCATTGCTCTATCTCGCACTTGGGACATAGCCTGCCCTGGCTTACTCAGCCGCTCGGGCCGGGCAGGGGAGTGCGGAGCCGATAGCAGCAGTCTATCAGGCTGCCAAAAGGATCATGCGATGCATCTGAGGGACCTACGAACTCGGGATCGGGTACAAGCCTGTCAGCGCAGCGAACCTAGTTAGCTTCTGTGATTCCGATTGGGCACGCGGCAGGGACAGGAAATCTATGACGAACGTCGTGGTCTCCACCCCATCGGGTGCCATCAGCTGGTTGTCACGAAAGCAGAGCAAGGTCGCGCTTTCTCCTCAGAAGGCACAGCTGACAGCAGCAAGCGACGTGATCTGTGAGGCAGCTTGGCTGTAGAAGGTTCTTCGGGGTATGCGTGCTCAAATGAGCGCGCTTATCAAGTTCGACAACAATGGCGTCCTCACACCCTCAACAATCCAAAGCATGCAAGAAGCATGCAATATGACGTCAGGCTGAAGCATGTACGGAAAGCACACAAAGGTGGCATCGTCAAGTTCAACAAAGAGGATCGATAGCAACGCCAATATCGCCGACCCACATATATAGCCGCTACAAAGCAAGCAGTTGGGAACACATTGTAGGGCAGCTGGTGTCGTTTACTGCACGAGACAGATCTAGCGACTGAGGAGAAGTGACGCCGGAGCAGCGGCAGAGCAGGAACGTGAGCGAACCAAGGGAAGCATGGCAAAACACTAACGAAGCTCATGGAAGGTGGGAGAGCAAGGGCCAAGCCAGTGGCTGCACGTGAAAGTCAGCACCTTGTGGGTCTGTAATGAGCTGCACACAGCAGTCAGAGTTGCGTAGCGTAGCGAACAACCAAGGGGTACAAGAATCCTACCTGGGTCGTAATTAGCCATTCCTTCATGAACGACTGGAGAAGACTAGGCCAACGATTGGTGCAACGAATAGCCACCTTAACAGTGCATCGTGTCTTCTTTCACCCTCAAGCCATTTATTTCTATCACATACTCATATCCAAAGAATGGCGAAATATGATGAAAAATCCGCAAGTTATTGCACCCTTAGCAACCAGATGAAGTGATATGCAACCTTTTTCATTGTTGGGCACCGCCGCCACCACGATCAAATCCCGCGTTCTGGGTTGGTAAGATGGGTAGTTTAGCTTGCTCGGGAGCCATCCCACTTTTTCAAGCTTGAGTGAGTACTGAATTGTAGCTGTTCAAAGTGATGCCAACTTGCGGTGAAGCGCATGTGTGCTCATGGGAAAACGGCGTGTTGAGCGGTCAGACTCAAGTCTATGGGATGCACGGCTTGCACACGCCAGCAGTCTGGATGACCCAGACCAGGTCGCAGCACAAAGTGGGAGTAAAATGTGCGAAGGCATCTCCTGGCATTAGCGGCCGGGCCATACTGGACTTATCTGGCGCGTCACAACATTCCAATTACTTGCGAGGCTGCCCAATTGCGCTTCAGCACTGGAGCTAATGGTCCGGAAATAGCGTGGGCTGCGGTGCCACGAAGGGGCAAACACACGCGTACTGCAGGTCTGCATGGACACGCGGCAGTTAAATGGTTACTTTATGAAAATGCTACATGCCGTGGCCTTTTAGTTCTTAACCGTCAGTTGGGGTCCTCACTGCGAAAGAACGTCTCTGTACTCGAGAAGTCGCTGTGAGTTGGAACCGCGGTAAAGAAGAACACATCAGCAAAGTCAGTTCAAGAGATCCGCTACTCTCTTTTTGCACATACCACCAAATTTCGCTGGAGCATGGCAATAGTTGTCTTTCCGATGGCCGGAAGGTACTGAGCAGCTCTTGTGCGAACGTCTTTCTCAAAATTCTTCTCCGAGCTGAAGTTGATGCATGTCGCGCCTTCCTTGATCCACTCGGTGCGCACCTTATAGCTAGCCGACGGTACGCCCCCAATGACCACGTCAGAGCGCCCGATGCATTCTTCGGCGGTAAGAGAGCACATGCGGACGATGTGATGCGGTCGTAGGCGGCGGGCCGCGTTATGCTCACGCGCTGCGAGCACGATGGCCGATGCGGTGTGGGTCTTTGGTTCAGAATCTGGGCGCTTGTTGAATTCTTGAATGGAATCGATGTCAATGCTGAACACTCGAGCGCCGTCATTGGCCAGCAACGCTGCCAGCGGTCGCCCCACGACCTCAGACCGGTTGATCACGGTGACAGTCTTGCCGTAGAGACGATCGCCGTAAGGAAGTGAGAAGTCGTAGATGCCCATTGCTTCCATGCACTTTACAACGGCGAGAGGAGTGCAAGGTAGTATGCTCTTGGCAAATCCCTTCGGCACCTCGTCGGCAATTTTCGATGCAGTAGCAGGCACGGCGGCGTCAAGCTCGGTGTAGGTACCAGGAGCCCTGCCGACCTGAGATGGCAGCAGCCAGCGCACGTTGTGATACATGTTCCAGCAATAGCTGAAATGGAGGCCCTCGACGTCCTTTCGTGGGTCGACAATCTGCTGCAGGTACGTATCCCGCCGCCCGCCAAAAATGGGATAGTAGACCTAAGAAACCGCATCGGACCGTGTTGTGAGTAAACAAGCAAAATGATAGGAGCTGTACCGGAGACTCACCATGATACCATTCACATTCGAATCAGCATTCGCTGCGATAATTAGGTCTTCTACGTCCGCTTCCAGGCTCAGATCCTGCAGATCGCGCGACTTTACCTCCGCGCCGTCCACTTCTTCGCCTTTCCCTGAGTCCTCCCATGTCTTCCATATAGCAAAGTCGATGCCAACGCTGTCGCATGCTTTTCGCGTCCATTCTGCGTAAGCAATGCTGGGTTCGGACCGGGTAGCAAGGATTCCGACCAACTTGGGCCGCCGCTTGCCTGCACTGACGCGCATGGCAATGCTGTCCTTTACCGCTTGCTGGAACGGCTCGGCGATGCTGCTTGCCTGCCAAAGTTTGCCAATGGGTGTAGGCATAGCCGACGCAGCTGTCGCCGCAGCACCATTCGGCTGGGACATTGCTATGGGTGAAGCTGGACGAGACGGAGGGATGTTGGAGTAGTGGCCGAGGGGCAGGAGCAGCTCGTCGGTGCACACAGTGACTTGGCGTAATCGATCAATGATATGATAAAGCTGTTCGTGCAACGACGGTCGAGGACTGAGTGTGCCCGACCGAAGGAAGGACTTGGACGAAGGTTGAAGCGGAGGAAGAGCGACGACTCCAGCCTCCTTTGATGTAACCTCGCCAAGCTCGAGGGTAAGCGGACAGTACACGTCTGCCTCGTCTAGGCTCGAGCAATTGCTCTCCGAAAAGCTGCTTTCAGAGTCTGACGGCGAGAGAACAGGACACGGCTGCTCAGTGGGTGATGAAACGTGTTCGGAAGAATAGGATGGGCTTTGCGCTGAGAATACGGTCGGACAAGAACAATGACAGATGAAGGTGGTGGACATGTTCGAGGTTTGTAGAGACGCACGAGGTTTGGCGCCACGAGACATGCACGGGCCGAAGGAAGGCGGCGCGGTGGGCGTAGTTATGATGGTTGAGAGTAAGTGTATCCGACGATGTTGGTAATTAGTTACGCGGATGGTATATGGGTATTTGAAGACAGTCGAATAAAGAGAGGATTGGACGGAAGATGAACACAGGGAGGCAAAAGGTAATGATGGAAGATGGTCACGTCGAAGACGATGACGATAGCCAACGAGCGACGGATGAGGGGGTGATAAGCAGAGTAGGGCGTTTGTAGAATGCAACAGGAAAGCGGTGATGGCGACAGGAGCGATGAGAGCGTTGAGGGAGAGGGAAGGGAGAGGGGAGAGGCGTCGATAGTGGTCAAAGGTCAGCAATGCTGTACAATGCGATCCAGTCTGCACACATTGTGGATTTGGAATTCCAGAAGCATGGACGGATGCTCATCAACACACCTGTGGTATGCAGTCAGCGCTGCTGTTATCCTCGTCGTGATCTGTCGTTGGTGCCAAAACAATTGCACGGACTTGCAGCAAGTGTTGAGCAGAGACCGGTAGCGTGGCTCTATGGAGTCTGGGCGCTGGGGACGGGTGTCAAAAGAACGAGGCGAGAGGAAGCAAGGGTGGAGGCCTCCAGGCTGGGGCTTGCTTGGTACTCGGGGGCTGCACAGTGCACACCCTTTTGCACACCTGGGTCCTGGAGTGAACAAGTGAAGCTGAGGACAGCGCAAGCCAGATGCGGAGGAGCAAGAATTGGACACGGGACAGGCGAGGGGGTCCGTTTGCAGCACGCTGCTGGGCCACAGAGACTGGAGGGTTGGCTTGAGAGTATCACACGGGGCAAACGATCGACGGCTGCCTTTCCTCTCCTATGGATTGCCTTTGACCGCTGCGATGCTGCGTCCTGCGATTGTCGGCGAAATAAAGCAAAGCTTTTGACAGTGATATAAACATACATTGGGTGCAACAAAATCTTTCTTACATAGTCGTTCTGAAGTTGAGTATCATACATAGTATACGGAGATGAGGATGAGAAAAGAGTGGCTTGGAATTTTGGGCGAAGATGCAAGGGCGCAAAGGAGTGGAGCAGCAAGGGGGCGCACCAACCGTCTGCCCGCGACATCGGACACTCAATTTTTCTTCACCGTTCCGCTCAATTTGTGGTTTTAGTCTGGTTGAAAAAGCAACTTTAGTTCGCCGGTCCTCAGCTTGTGCGGTGGATCTCGCGCGGAGACAGGAAGAGGGAGACCAGGCCTACTCCAGTGCGAGTTGGAGGCGAGAGCGTGTGACCTTGGTTCTGTAAGGTTTAGTTTTCGACAGAGCTGGTTCCGCTTTCGGAGTCTTAAGCCTCGATGACTGGTGTCTGTGATCGCTATATCCTCAATCCTGTACCCTGGCCCCAAAAGAGTCAGGCTGCTGATAACAGTCGTGTCGAGTCCCGAGAACAACAAGCGGCCGAGGAGGGCATTCCGTGAATACTTTAGCTAGCGGCTCAACCCATGGGGCCTGGGTATATATATCACGTGTGTTTGAAATGGGGGTGCACGAGACCCTTGATACAAATCCCTTGATGAAGATGGAAGGGAAACGCCAGAGGGTCCCCGACTCCCCCGCGTTCGCTTCAATGGACAAGCACTGAAGATCATTTATCAATTTTAGCCTCGTAAGCGCGTCAGATAAAGTAGACTGGGAGAGGGTAGCCCAGGGTAGTCCCTGTGCCAATGATAACGTGGGCGGCAGCTCGAATGACGGTTATCTCTCGTCTTCCTAAGGCAACCCAATGATTTTTTTTTGCATTTGGGCGTTATTTCGGGGTAAAGTGCTCGGTACGACTGGGGACAGGTACGAATTACGAACATACGATGCCCCCAATGACTTGGACGAGCGAAGGTCTGCTAAGGCACGATTTGACGCGCTCAGAATTCAGTACTCAGTCCCAGTTAGCCGGTATGAAGCATGCCTTGCCGCCATCGTCGTTGTCCATAAGGGTATGGCATGGGTAAAAAACGATGCACGCAGTCCTCGAGCTTACGATGCGCAGTTACGCATTGATGAATCGATCCCGACGAATGTCAACTGCGACGTGCATACGCGAGAGTGGCCAGTGGAGGTGCCTGAGTGACATATAGGGTGATATCCGCGGACACCGCTTCCGACGTTTCGAACACCTGACGCGTGTGCATGGACTTCAAACGCACGCGACGCGTTCACAGTCCAATCCCCGCAACTCGCGAGTCGCAGTTTTGCTATGCTGAGAATTGTTGAAAGATCGTGCAAGCGATTCTGATTGACTGATGCCCTGATATATACTGATATACATGTTTCAGTTTCCACCCACAGACGCTGCCGCAGATTCAGCACAACACCGAGTAGGCTGATCAATGACAGACATTCAATATTGCAACTGCGAATGTGTCGTTGCATAGGTTCTCCTGGGTGCCTTAGGAGCGCCACAACAACTCTGCAGCCTTCGCACCCTTACCCCATCTATGAGCCTTGCGCTTTACTGGCATCATGATCACTCTCGTGGCAGTGATCGTGGCTGCAGCTCTAGCGCTTGTTCTGCAATACTGCAACAGACGCCGTGGATGTACCGAAACGTATGCCATCCTCGACCATGTCTTCCTCAACGTCCGGGCTCCCACATCCGAGTGGCTCAATATGGGTTGGTGGGAGGATGTGAGGCCTTATTGCGGACCCCGCAAGCATGCGTATCCCATCGGGAGACTGGGACTGATACCATGCTCTCCTTACTACCCCACTCGTTTGGCTTTAACTAACAGTCAAATGTGCAGTTCTCGGAGGCGGCAGAACGTAAGAGCGCTCAGTTGTCATCGAGCTTGCAGGCACATTATTGATTGCGGCATTGATCTTGCTCTTCCTTTCTACTCGGCTTCACCTGAAACGATAACAGGCTTGGCCACAAAAGTACTTGAGCGCGTTCCGGCTCTGAAGCCTTCTCCGCGTATCCTCGACGTGGGCCACGGTTGCGGCGATTCTTTGCTCCTCATACATGAGCTCTTGCGTCCCGCCGTCTTGCATGGCGTGACTTCTTTGCCAAAGCAAGCCAAGCGGGCTCAAGTGCGCACTCAGGGCAAGGCGACCATATTCTGCGCAGATGCCACCTCATGGCTCGAGCAAAGCGGCGAACAATACGATGTTATCGTCGCTATCGACTGCGCATATCACTTTCCTGATCGCCAGCGATTCTTCAAAGCCTGTGCCGCTCATCTCAAGTCAGGCGGTCACCTGGTACTCTTTGACCTGGTGGGATCGTGGCCGTATCCACCGTCAAAAAATCCAGAGGAAATTGGAGAGGAGGCATTGGATAGCTTTCTAGCTTCTAGTCTGCCGCCCGCAACGCGTGCGCCGTCACTTCTGGACATTTTCAAGCACAGGCTGGCCTGCCTCATGACGTCGACGCCGTTCCGCAACCTGTGTCCCCTCTCTTCCTACCAAGAGCAGCTCCGACATGCAGGCTTCTGCAATAGTTCCATTGCGGACGTCTCACACGCAGTCTTTCCTGGCTTCGCCCGATTCTTACGAGGCTTGGGGAGAGGCGGCGAGCAGGCCTGGAGGAAGGGGTCTCCAGTCCAGCTTGCAGGCCTGCACACTTTTGGACAAGTTGTGGAGAAGTGGGCTCAAGGTGGGAATGCCGGCCTCGTTCGGGGTGTAATCGTCCGTGCGACTTTTGATGACCAGTCACAAAAGTAGTACATCTAGATGAAGGATTCACGATATTTTCTTCGGGTCTACGGTGATAATACTTGCTCAGCACATTGTTTGATAAGCGCGAACGTCGCGTCCACATGCCGTTGCTCTGTCTGCGGGCTTCCGACAGCCATGCGAATGCAGAAGCCAATTTCAGGTAGGACGGTCTGCGTCAAGGCGAATTCGGTTGCGCGGGACGAAAGGGCATCCCAGAATTTTCGATTCAGCGTATCCAGCTCTTGGTCCGACAGTTCAGCTCGGCGGGCGCGGAAAACTACGAGAGACCACTGTGGCGGGGCTACAACCTCGAGAAGATCTCCGTGCTGCCCGACAAGGCTCGCAAAGTGCTGGGCTAATGCCATGCTGCACGCGCACGGTAGAAGAAATCCATATTTGTTTTAGCGACGCTGCTGTGAGGCCCCGGAGGCACGGCTATGTACTTACGTTGTGGAGATGTGCTGTCGGAAGCCATTCAGCCCGAAGCTTCGCAAGACGAACCACAGCTTCAGCGATCGGAAGCGTCGCCCGAGCGAAATCTGCATATTTCGCAGGTCCACTACCGAACCTGCATCGCCTTCTTTCGTGCGAAGAAATTCGGGTGTGACCGTCAATGCTCGAGTGAGCTCGCTATGATCTCGCACGAGCAGAGGCGAACAGTCGAATTGGGTCCTGCAAAAATATGAAACGATCAGCGTCGCCGCCCGGAGAGCTCCCGGCTCGTAGATGCACGCACAAGCCCCACTTGTGATAGTTCGTGGAGAAGGAGTCGCAGGGCGAATTGATAGCGTCGAGGTGTGCACGCTCTCGCAAGTGGGGTAAAGCTAACGCTACGCCAGCGTACGCGGCATCGACGTGTACCCAGAGGGATGGATAATCCAGGGCTTCGGAAAGGAAGAAGATTGGTTAGCATGGGCATCCTTGCCGCTACGCAAATTGGAAATGAACTCACCGACTTGCATGATCTCTGTTATGTTATCGATGGCGCCGGAGCTTGTTGTACCCAGGGTAGCAACTGCACCGTTGGGAAAAGGGCACAATAAATCAGAGGGGATACCAAGCGCGGAGAATCCTGGATTAGGGGATCTTTGAGCGCTCACTCAGCATAAAAGGCAAACGACCGGATGCGATATCCTCTTTGAGAGCTCTGCGTAGCGTGGCGCCCCGCAGCGCAAAATTGTCTTCTTTCTGGACGTCCAGTGCTCGAAAGTCTAATCCGAGGATCAAGGCAGCCTTCATACCGATGGAGTGCGTCTGCGTGGTGCCGTACATGACGAGACGTGAGGTAAGGTTCCCCCTCCAACGCGCAAGCGACGCTGCTCGCTTGCGCTCTTCATTCGGGCCGCTGGGAGCACCGGGCTCTACGTTAAAATCTTCTACCTCAGGCTCAGCTGACGGTTCGACGTGCTCTGGCTGTGCTTCTTGAGGCGAGGGAGATGATTTGGCCAGATGGCTGATGGCCCTCTCCCTCGCGGCGATGGCGATGGTTAGAGCGACTTCGCTCGCGCTACCGAGAATGACGCCACCTCCTTTTCCAGAAGGGCCAGTGCTCAAAAAGTGGTCAGAGAGACCGAGCATCTTTGCAACCCAGTCCATCATGAGAATCTCCAGCTCGGTGACGCTTGGTGAACACGACCAGTTGAAGCCTGGGTTGGAGATGCTAGCGGCGAGCATGTCGGCGAGAATACCCTCCTTGGTTGCGTTGGATGGGAAGTACGCGTAAAAATTGGGATGCTGCCAGTGTGTGATGCCCGGCATGATCACCTTCTCCCAGTCTCTGAAGATGACAGTCCAGGCTTCTCCCTCTTCCGGTGCCGAATCTGGGATAGACTTTCCCAAAAATCCGGGCTTGACCGGGGCCCAGACCGGTCGCTGTTCGAGGTTCTTGTAGTATTCGCATATTTGATCTACGACTGCATACCCTGCGTTGCGAAATCTTGCTTTTGCAAGAGTGGCGCGACGCGAAATGCAAATATTAAGTCAGAAGAGGTTGCGTCAAGGTATGCTGTTTGTTTGTTCGCTCACTGTTCGATGTCCATCTTGTCTTACACTCTAGGTTCTGGCGCTCCTTCTCTGTCAGATGTGGATATGCGGACAGTTCCACAATGCAGGCTGACTTGCTGATCACTTGGCGGGACTCTGCGAATAGCTGATACTATACGGAGCACACATCGAAAAAGCTGAAGGTCCCGGTCGATGTTACCTCTGCGCGTTGCAGCGTTGCACTCCATGATGCTGTTCACATATTCCATCAACGGCAGTGGTACGCTCGGTGACACTCCACGGCGATAGTATGGGAACGTCGGGAGCTCGTGAGATCTTACCCCCGATCCCGTTTCACACAAGTTTTCCCGCTTCTGCCACGGGAATCCCCTCAGAATTTCCCGTGGTTCCAGGGAATCCCGCCCAACATATCCTGTAAATAGATTCAATTGCTAGGGTAGCCAAATGAATAGCTAGATTAGGCCAAGGGGCAAGGACGCACATAGTTCCGTGCTTTGGCAAATCCCCCAATGTCTAGAGCTATGATATTCTTTGGCAAGTCTCCTTATGGCATCCTTTGGCAAACTTCCCTATGGGACTGTTTATGTGACGCTGCCCTGCGCGATTTCCCTAGCCTTTCCCCATTCCTGTGAGGAAATCAGGTCCAAACCCGCGGCTGCGTGAAGAGCAAGTAAGAAATCGTGGGATTCCGCGGGAAGCAAGATATCCCGCGAAATCCCGAATCCAAACGAGAAGTCAAGACCTTTCTTGTAATCGGCAATGGCATGTGTCGGACATGTCGGCCGTCGGCGACTTTTACGATTGACTTTCAACTTAATCCGGCCAAATTCGCACTGCTGATCAGACGGAAGGGCATCAATAGGGTTGCAACCCGCTTCGCGCTCTTCGTGGGGCGGCAGCGGCTTTGCCGGGGGGTGCCATGTTAATTCATTTTATTTAGCACTGATTTGATCGCATGACTGAACCCATATTGCTGTTTTGCGCACCAAATGTTGTTATTTCGTACCTTCTTGACAAGTTTCGACCCCGTTCCGCTCCAATATTTTAAGTCCTAACCATCTTGACACAAATTGCTTTGCTTCCTTCGTCATTGTTAATCCAATCTATGCTCTTCCTGCACATTGCATCTATCACCTACAGCAAATGCAAATGTGGTTATGACCTCCTAGGGCTTTCTGTGCAGGTCCCACTCGCAATATACAAACTTGACTACTGCTTCATGTCGACTTGGCACTCACAAGGAGGCCACAGACGCCTGCTGGTTGCCGTTCAAGGCGGGAACGCTGCAACACGCTCGACCGCCCCTCCCCTGCTCGTGAGCCGCAGGTCCTACTCTTTCCAATCGCAGGCTAGGCTTCCCGCAGCTCGATCTTCTACATCTTCACCAAAGACGCACCGTCGCTCAGGTACGCGCATACATACACACTCTCTCTTTGGGCTACCTTTGCTAGGCGCACAAACTGATCCGTCGTGCGCACCTTACTGCAGCTCTCCTGTCACCTCCGCCATTTGTCTCCCCATCCTTCGCCCTCATCCGCAGCTTCTCTTCCACCATGCCGGCACTACAAAAGATCAAGGTCGAAAACCCGGTCGTAGAGATGGACGGCGACGAGATGACTCGGATCATTTGGCACAAGATCAAGGAGGAGCTGATCTTGCCCTTCCTCGATATTGATCTGAAGTACTACGACCTGAGCATCGAGAATCGGGATGCGACAGATGATAAGGTCACCGTCGAAGCAGCCGAGGCGATCAAGAAATACTCCGTCGGCGTCAAGTGCGCCACGATCACCCCAGACGAGGCCCGTGTCGATGAGTTCAAGCTGAAGAAGATGTGGCTCAGCCCCAACGGCACCATTCGCAACATCCTTGGCGGGACTGTTTTCCGAGAACCTATCGTGCTCGAAAAGATTCCGAAACCGGTGCCTGGTTGGACCAAACCGATCTGCATCGGCAGGCACGCTTTCGGCGACCAATATCGCTGCCAGAACTTTGTCGCTCCCGGGCCCGGTAAGTTCACCATGACCTACACGCCGTCGGACGGCGGCGATGTCAAGACGTGGGACATCTTCAACTTCCCCGAGGGCGGCGGCGTCGGCCTTGGTATGTATAACACCACAGCCTCCATCTCCGGCTTTGCGCACGCATCGTTCAAGATGGCCTTGGACAAGAAGATGCCGCTGTACATGAGCACCAAGAACACTATCCTCAAGGCCTACGACGGCAAGTTCAAGGACACATTCCAGGAGATCTACGAGAAGGAGTACAAGGCCGACTTTGAGAAGGCTGGCCTTTGGTATGAGCATCGTCTCATCGATGACATGGTCGCGCAGGCCATCAAGTCCGATGGAGGATTTGTGTGGGCACTCAAGAACGTGAGTGAACCAAGCTCCTACAATCAGTCGCACTCGCTGACTCCATCTCCTCCATTGCGCAGTACGATGGCGACGTGCAAAGCGACATTGTCGCGCAAGGCTTTGGCTCCCTCGGCATGATGACTTCCGAGCTCATCACCCCCGATGGCCTCATCATGGAGTCGGAGGCAGCGCACGGGTGATTACATGCCATCTATTTTCTGAGCTTCCTGCCGTAAAACTGACAAATTCGTCCTTTGCGCGCGCTAGCACTGTCACCCGCCACTACCGCGAGCACCAAAAGGGCAACGAGACGAGCACTAACTCGGTCGCGTCGATCTACGCCTGGACGCGTGGTCTCAAGTTCCGCGGTAAGCTCGACAAGAATGACAAGCTGGTCATGTTCGCCGAGCAGCTCGAGTCTGCCTGCATCGAAACCATTGACCAGGACGGCGTCATGACCAAGGATCTGGCACTCGCCATCCACGGCAAGGGCATGAAGCGCGAGCACTACGTTACCACCACCGGCTTCCTCGACCACGTTAGAGAGACGCTGAAGAAGAATCTTCTGACAAAGGGCGTCGCAGTTGGAAAGCTGTAGATTCGGATAATAAACCCACTAAAGCATGTCAAATAAATGTGAGATGTGATCAGAAGCTGGGCGGACGTGTACGAAGGGGAAGCAGCTCAAAAGCCGCAGCCTAGAAAGCAGTGCATTCCTAGGTATGGTCCAGACGACGCCGGGCCGTTTCTTCACTTGAACCAAAAGTCCTTCAGACCGCCACCTGCACCCATGGCTACGCCTCAAAGAGCGCAAATGGAACGCCCGAGGTGAGCAAGCGGGCTTCCTGGCAATGGCACTGCTTTTCGGGGATTGGTCCCGGTCGCGGACCTCGGCATCTTCGTCAAAAACGAGCGCCATGCCGGCTGCGAGGTGCGAGATGTGGCACTGCATGAGCGTCGCCGAGGGCCAGTCGACGCGGTGCCGCTGCTCGACTGAGTCGTCACGCGGCAGGTTCCAGCCATCTCGCATTGGTGGGTCGTGCATGTTGAGAAGGGTCGGGTGCACTTTTGTTCGCCTCTTCGACGGACGAGTAGTTGAATGTATCCATTCAGTCGAGGACCCAGACCTTGCTTTGACGCGCTGCACAAAAAAGTCGTCGCACAGGGAAACAAGTCAGCACGGATGGGGCACGCGGGGATCGATTCTTGCTGCTTCGCACTTACTGTGCAGAGGGCGCTGTGGGTTAGGGCCGAGCGGCGTGCTCTCTGCCTGGAAGATGTGTCGACGACGGAGCCATTCTCGACGGAGAGCACAGTACCCTTGACCTAGTCGTGCACGACCTTGGATGAGCGGTAGAGGAGCGGCGTGTCCTGGAAGGTGTGCATGGAGAAGAGCCTGTCGTTCAGTGCCTACGAGACACCATTGGTGAAGTTGGCTTTGAGGAAGAACGTATAGTCTACCTCACTGGGCGGCAGTAAGGCAGAGAACGGCGTGAGGGCCGAGTTGTTCTGCACGACGGCGCCCTTCATGGCGGATCCGTTGATCATGTAGCGGATCGACGCATCCTCGACGGGGGAGCTTGTTGGTGGTCGTGCGGCGTTGGCATCCTTCCAGCCGTTGCTCCAGCGTGCGGCTGGCAGCGGCAGGCCATCCGTCTGTGGGCTGGCTATGTACACCTGTGCCATCGGCTCGACAGGCGTGCCAATGACGACGCGGAGGTAGTTGGTGCGCGACGCTGGCGCCTGCATGAAAGTCTGCTGCAGGTTGGCCGGCGCGTCGCTGGAGGACGAGTCACCTTGGTGCTTGTCCAGACGTGCAGGTTCCGTTGGCAGTGCTCGCCGTCACGGCGCGCACTGAGGCCTGTTAACGCGGAAAATAGTGTCGTTGGAGGCAATCTGCGGGAGCTTGTTGCACAGCGTGGCGCGTACAGCTGCAGAGGAAAAGAGAGGCGGTCAGTGGCACTGCTTGCCCAGTGGTATCAACCGTTAAGCAGAAACGAAACAAAAAGCGAACCATGCTCGACTCACTGTAGTCACCGTTGGGCTTTTCGAGGGGCACGATGGTAGTGTAGCGCGGCCGAGCTGGAGGTCGAGGACCTGCACCTTTTGCGGCGATGACGACCCAGAGATCGTGGCCGTCGATGCTGAAGGACTCTTCAAAGGTGCCGCCGGTATTCATGACGTTGATGGCGGCATACTTTTCGTCTGCTCTGCCGTGCGCGGTGAACTCGTAGACGCTGTACGCGGACGAGGTGTTGGTGCAGGTGCGCAAGTTGCTGTCGGACACACGGTCGAGGAAACTGATGATCGGCGCGACGCAGCCGGTGGCATTGGACGAGGATGCATAAAGCCCCTGGATGGTGGCCTGGGACTTGAGCCAGTCGACATAGTGGCAGACGACGCGGCCCTGGCTGTTAATAGGACGGAGTTGACGCAGTACGGGTCCTGACCAATGTCGCGATAGCGTGTCAGGGCACTGTCCATATTCTCATGGCGCCAGTCGTGCACGAGCAGGTTGGCGGCGTTGTGGTAGGCCTCCTCGATGGATGCCTGGTTGGCCTTGCTGTTGCTGATCTGACTCCAGGGCTATGGGGTGTGCTTCTTGAGGCGGATGATGAGCGGTCCACAGATGCGATCGTTGTATGTCCTGCAAGAGTGCAAATGGTACCAGGAGGTGCCATACTGCTCTGCGGTCCACTCGTGCGTGTAGGTGGAGTAAGGCAGGATGCCCCACTGGGACACACCAGGCACACCGGCTTGCTAAGCGTTGCGTTGGAAGACGCTGTGGTAGTGCATGCTGATCTGCGTGGGGAGCTTGTTCTGCACGTGGAAGCGGAACGTGTCAGGCTTTTCGCCGGTGACAGCGGGGCCGGGGGTCTGGCTGTGAATGGCGTATGTATGGCGCCAGAAGCCGTCCGCGGCGAGCCACTTGGCCCTCGACGACCAGGCTGTACTCATGGACGGCTGCATTAGCGCTGCTGGCGCGCGCAGCCACCAGCTATCGAGGAGAACATCCTACATGAGTATAGAAGGGCAGTCTAGAGATTGATTATTAATTCATGATGGACCAGCCAGCGATGGCGTGCAAATGAGATGTGAGGCTTGAGACGCCGATCATGATGGAACACAGGTGCAGTGCCTCCACCTCCGATCCCGCACCCGCTGTCGCTGATAATTGATAACCCTCTCTCCCCCAAAATAGAAAGAACATACAGCCGCTGTCCCCACCCCGCACATGTCGCATTCCGTTGAAACTTGAAATGGGCGTTTTGGCGGCAGCGAGTAGGCAGGCATCTCCCGCCTAACTTGAAGAGTGCCAGGTCGACATGAAGCGTTAATCGCGCCGGTAGATTGTGACCAACTAACTGAAACAACCCTTTAGGAGGATATCATCGGCATTCTATAAACGCGGTCAACGCTTCATATCGACCGATTGGTGCAACGTTGATGCTTTGTACTTGGAAAAGTGGAACGGATCGGGCTCGAGCCTCTTTCAATGTATTATACAACAACACCTTATGGTACGCAAATCAAACAACCTTTTGTCGCCGACGCGAAGCTGATCGTTGACGGCCAAGCTGGGCGGCACAGCCTTTACAGCAACTCACAGGTGAATAAGGGCTGCCAAGTCTCTCTACCCCTTGTAAGAGGATGGGATGATGGGCATGCAATATGGAAGCAAAGAGGCAGGCAGAAGAAGCAGAGAGACCAGCTGCTTGCTTCCAATCCACTTTTTGCAATAAATCCGTGTCACGGGAGTCGGCACAAGGGTATCTATTAGTACAGATCATCATTTCATAGTAGAAAAGGGCAGTTGTCAGCCCAGGTTCTGGCAGGGTGACCCCCGCCTGAAAGTCAGGCAGGGCTGCTAAAGTGCCTAGTGCCAAAACCAAGTTTCCCCTCGCGTAATCATGCTCTTGGCAGCAAGCAACGTTTATAAATGCTGTTATGGTATACCCTCAATATGATTCAGAATGCAAGCCAACTATGCCTACCGAGCGGTACTATTGTAAGAATCACCTTTAATATCTACCATACTGTCAATACAATTGGGTTTGTTTTCGTGAACATAACATACTGCCATTTGTACCGAAACATTTCTTGCAATAGAAGCAGGATTCCTCGCGAGGAAACATTTTTTTGGCGCCAGTGACTTGATCGAGCAAATGGAGGAGTCCCGTGAGGAGAGGGGGAGGAGGATTCACTGTGCAATGACACGCAGGCCAACACCCTTGCCTCCCTCATCTCGCCGAGCGTTCGACGGCACCTGCCTAGCAGTTCTCACTCAGGTGTTCAGAACTCTGCCAGTGACGTTCGGCGGCTTGAATGCTGCACTGTGCTAGTAAATGAAACTTTGAAGTGGTCATAGGGTGGCGGGCGATCAGACAATGAAGCGACACGATACACTGATTCATGTTATCATGGAAATTTGTTCCATGCGATGTACGTGCAGCGCACGTGCCTGTTGTGAGCTTTGCTGGTACAAGGTCGAAGGAAAATGCTACAATCAAACGTCCGATGCCTACATTGAGTTGAGGTGGTTTGCAAGGTGCAATGAAACCATGCTGGAATGGCGTGCGCGAGCGGCCGCTGGTAAAAGCGTCGATCTGGTTGAGCATCAAGCGGTGCCAAGGAGATGATGCCTGCCTGACGTACGAGTCCAGTTGAGTGCTTCCTATTTCTCTATAGCACCAAACACTTCTTAGCGCTTGCCCTTCTCGCCCACTTTTTTCGACACGCCTCCCTCAGTGCAGCGTCGAACACCTCTTGCACGCCCCTCCGCGTCTTGGAGCTGCATTCGACATACCTGGCCGCGCCAATCTCTTTGGCGACCTTGGTGCCCTGCTCGTACGATATTGGACGCGTTCCTTGCGCTGAGAGCATCGAGAGCGCGTGCGCATCCGACCGCAGATCGGTCTTGAGCCCGACCAAGAGAATGGGGACTCCTTCGCAGAAATGATTGATCTCGGGGAACCACTGCGAGCAAGAGGTGTCAGTCGTTGTACGAAAAATCCCCCTTTACCCAAGCATGCCTGCAAGCGCACCTTGTCTTGCACGTTTGCGAGGCTGACCGGAAAGTCGACAGCAAAGCAGATGAGGATCACATCGCTCTCTGGATAGCTGAGCGGTCGTAATCGGTCGTACTCCTCTTGTCCAGCAGTATCCCACAGAGCGAGCTCGATCGTCTTTCCCTCAAACTGCACGATCGGGACGTAGTTCTCGAACACGGTCGGGATGTACGCCTCGGGAAAGCGGTTTTCCGAGTAGGTGATCAGCAGGCATGTCTTGCCGCAGCCTCCGTCACCGACGCACACTAGCTTCTTCTTTGCGTCAATCTGCGCCCGCGGAGGCGCGCTGCCGCGCTGCCCCGGCGGAGCGTCGGACAGTGAAGGTGATCCGTAGTGCCCGTTCATGTCATGACGCGCTCCTCGTCCGACTCGGGGGGCAGGTGCGTGCTCAGGGGAGAAGACCGGCGAGACTGGGGCCGGTCGCCAGACGTGCGACGATGTGTGTCGCTTTACAGCTGGTGCTGTCCAGGTTCCCGCGGCCTGTCTGCCCGCCTGAAAGCGAGCACAGGGTGAGATAAGCAGCGGCTGATGCTAGTCAGGGTTGAGAATCGAGTGCTGTTGTAGAGTGCGAGAGTGTTTCTACTATGCTATCCGATGCTACCAGCAGTTTGGAAACAACACAACCAACAGTTTAGAGTGGAGACTCTCGAGAGGCGTCGCGTGCGCGCGTCCCCTTTTTCCTCGCGTTGGCCGAAGTCAATTGAAGTTCCACGCCGCATCGGGTCAGACTTCACTGCAACAACAACTCAAGTGACCTCACAAACAATCACCATGCCAGACCACGAGGGTACAAAAGGCCTTACGACGATAACGCAGCCTCCAACATGCCCGAAAACTTCTCCAAGCTCAGCCTCGGCAACACGGAGGACTTTGACCATGTTCTAGCGACCATCTCTGCGCACGCGGCGAGTGTCGCCAACCGCAAACTCGCCGCGCAGAGCGGCAAAAGTGGGCCTGATGCGAAGCAGGTCGCGTCTGATGCGCTAGACCAGGTGTGTCCTGATGATGTCTGTCGATGTTGCTCAGAGGGTGGGTTGGGTCTGTCTGACCTGCGCTATGTGAGGTTCTGTAGTGGATCCAAGAGAGCCGACGCCGGATGGAGCCGAACCTAGAGGTCAATGGCATGGAGTTCAAGAACGCCCTGAAGCAAAAATACTGTAAGCGTGGCTGGCGCCTACATGCGCACCCATACATGGCCTACTGACTATGCGTGCCTTTCAGCTGTCGAACCCTTTGACGAGGTCTTGTCAAAGAGGGTACAGACGCTCACAGAGACGACGGAAAAGCTTACAGAGGAAGCGATCATCAGTCGCAAAACGATCCCTTCCCAGCGCGCTGAGGCCATTCGCAGACGAGAGAGGCTGTGGGCAGACGTCGAGCTCGCTCGTCTCGCCAGCAAGCGCACTATCAGCAGAGTTGAACAGGACCAGCCGCAGGACAACCGTCCATTTATTGGTGCGTCTCCTTCATCGGGGCGCCGTAATGACGCAGCTAATTTCCCTCTGTACCACAACCACCCCAGATGTCCCACGCAAGCAAGACCAAAAGCGTGCTCTAGAAGATGCACTCGCCGAGGTGTCCTCGCTCCAGATCGTACGTGCATGAGCCCTTTGGCAAATGGAGAGATGCGGCTGACTGAGTTTTGCTCGCTTGCACGTTTTCAGTCGCTCCTACAACAGAGCACCTCTGCGAGGGAAACATCCTCATTGGTCAAGCGCTTGCGCACACGTTGATGACACGATACCCCCGCGTTTTTAATGAAGCATTCGCATTTGACTCGCATTGCTACACTGTTGTATATCGCACTCATGACCTTGCAATGATCTACATGAAGCTCTCGTGCTTCTTATTGACACGTACGCTTGTTTGGAGTTCAGTCGCGTCGGCGCGTCGCGGCAGACAGAGAGCGTGTTACTTGTGTTGTTCTCGCGTCCCGGAACTCTCTTCACGTATGGGACAGGTGCCGTCAAAGCAACCGTTTTACCGCACGTCCAAACCCTTGCCCGCGTCCTATCTGAAGCCTCAAAGGAACACCAACGGGGCATGTACGGATAGGTGGTTGTCAAGAGCAAAATCTCCCTGGCTTTCAATGAAGAGCGAACGCATGCAGTCATAATGTCCCAGCATGATCGTCGCACAGAACACGCCGGCGAAGCCGTCGCTTCCTCCTCTAAGGTTCGTCACTCATTCTCACTGCTCGACGAGATCACCAGATTGAAGAAGGAGAACGAAGTGCTGAAGCGTGAGCTCAACGAGGCTCGAGCGGCATTAGACGACATGTACGGAGCTTGGACCGAGTTCTATCATAAGCTGGAGGAGGAGAAAGCAGACAGGCAGGAACGCAAGAAGGGAGCACGCAATGCGAGGCGTGTCGGAGAAGGCAGCACCGGTTACGCCTCATGTCATTCTGTGGACAGGTCATCAAAGCGCTCAAAGGTGGACACAGACACGCGCCAGACAGAAATAAAACAAGCATCCACCTCTGGGAGTAATAATACACCAACTGTTGATGCTCATGATAGCAAGAGATCTTGCCAACGCACGGACCCTTCACCTCCCCGCGATACAAGTGGACAGCAGAACCTGCCTCGTGTTGAAAATACCGAGGGCTCCAGAGCTGCCGACTTTACCACCAGAGCTCCTACGTCGCAAAGGCAAGAGGGTGAAGCAGCCGAACGACATTCAAAGGGCCCCAGCTCGAGAGGCACCAGAGTATCAGCACCGGCACCGGCACACGCAAAGCCTAGAAACGCCGAGGCGTCACTTATCAAGGTGAGACCCTCGTACGGTCCCAAAGCATTCAAAGATGCCAAGAGACGCAAGAGCTATCCTGTACTACAGCCCGTTACTGTCGGCCTGACCGTCAGAGACGCGAATGAGCCGGCATTCGTTAGGCACCTGCCGGGAGAAGAGCCCAGCAACATGAAGTGAGCGCCTTTCACCTTCACAATCACATTGGGTGTCCTCGCTTCGCTGACTGTATGCTGTCATACTTGTCCCTTTCGAAGCGTCTCGGGGGGATACAAGTACGAAGAGGTAGTAAGACACAAAGAGAAAAGGAAAGAGATGCATGGCTCCGATTGCTGGTGCTGCTCTGCGGTGAGTAGTTATTTGGTGCACCACCTGATAGGAAATCTGTGTGCACAGGCGTTGAGATACCGAGTTTGGCCGCTGTATACCTCTGGAAGTTCTACAAGAGCAAGGAGGAGGCGATGCGCGAATACTACAAAGGAGACGAAGTGAAAGTCAATGCGGCCATGGCCGAGTATATGCAAAAAGCAACCAAACACCGCACGCTGAACCCGCTACCGCAAGCAGCTGATGAGTGCTGGTAAGCTCGGACACATTTGTGGTCTTCTTTTTGGTGTATGGTGCTCATTATTGCTCGTCCTGCAGGACGATCGGCATACCTGGAGATACACAGTGGCTTCTGGAGCCGACCGAGAATCAATCACGCCAATGTCGAAATTGAGCACTTTGTAAAGTTTCTCGGTCCATTAAGCGGCTCACTGGATCCTATCCGATGTAAATTATCACAGCATGGCATTACATCTCGCGGATTTCGCGTAGATAGCGCTCTCGCGCCTGACACACGCGCAGTCGCTTCGCAGCGCCCTCGCCCCAAATAGCATGTGGACTCTTGCCCTGTGCAAGCACCTCTTTTTCATGGATCTTTGCCTGCGTGCGCGAGAAGAGCGCAATGTTGCTCCACGATAACGGTAGAGACGCGTCCCAGCGCATCATCTGTGCATGAGACAGGCTCTCGAACGGAGGCACGATCGTCCGGCCGGCAAAGATCTCTTCGAAGAGGAAAGCAATGTCGTTGGCATTGAACAACAGGGGCGGGGGCGCATCCGACGCGGTGCGGAAAGGAGGATGGCGGCGTTCGCTGTGGTCCAGGTCCGAGTAGATCTGCAAAAAGCAAGACAGGGTATGAACAAACGTCGGGTATGTAAGCATTTGGCAGGAACAGAAGCTGATAATGGAGACACTCACCTTGTCGTAAAGTTTCCGCCTCCGCTTGTGCGCCAAAGGCTCGATCTTATGCCCGCCAATTTGACAGATGACGTAAGTTGCAGCAGCCAGGCCGAACATGGCGGGCATGGATCCCAGAACAGGCAAGATCCGCACGCGCATCTGCTCGAGCGGACTGAGTTCGTCGACCTTGCCCTTTTCAAATTCGTCATCGGGGAGAGGAAGAAGCGTGACGTCGGACTTTTCCGTCGAGTACACACAAGGAATCATCATCATCGGCTCAGCCTCTCCTTCCTCGCCAGGCGCTCCATCCGTGCCTCCGGTCGCACCTGGCGCAGAACCTTCGCCATCGGAAGTTATCTCAAGCTTGTCGGCTTCCGACTCGGGCACCACCTCCTGCAAACCATCGCCCTCCGCGTACGGTCTCGTTCCATCCATGCTCTCTGGTGCTCCAACGATGCTAACGGTGGCATCGCCTAAACTTTCTGAGCCTTGTTGCGGAGTATACCGATGCTCGCTTTCTGAGCCTTCCAACACGTCTTCCAGCGGTGACAGAGGACCGGCGCCTGCAGCATCGAACGATTCATCGTCGGCCTCCAATTTCGGGGTCGAGAGGGGCGTCGAGTAGACGCCTGAGCCGAGAGAAGATGTCGAAGATGGGCGACGAGAGTGCCTTCGTGCAGACGGGCCTGTGCGTGAAGATGAACTTTGCGGCGTCTGTGGAGGAGGCATGCTGGCAGCTGCGCCAGGATTCGCGTTCGAGCTTGCATTGGCGGGGGCGTTGGGTGCGCTTGTCGTCTGCGCTAGTGCGTTCGCGAACTTCTCAGTTGTGATGGTGGCATTCGTTGCGCGCCTGGTAAGGCTGGCACTATTCTTTCCAAGGTTTCCATTCTCCCCCGGCTTCCGCTGGGTCTGCTCTGCCTGGGTCTGCTCTGCCTGGGTCTGCTCTGCCTGGGTCTGCTCTGCCTGGGTCTGCTCTGCCTGGGTCTGCTCTGCCTGGGCCTTCCTTACTCTCCTCAACTCCTTCTTGCTAGGGGCCCAGTGATGTTGTTTGGGCGGCAAAGGAGGAATGCCGAAAGCGCGCAACCTCCGGCGGACCGAGGCGGCGAGAGGATCCTCAAACGTATCAGAAATGTCGCTGATTTGCACTCTGCTGGGGTCTGCTTTACCGCCTGCACCCATGGAGGCGAGAATTTTGATATTGTGTTGAAAGCAATACTTGATCAGGTCGATCTTTGGGTCGATCGAGTCGATCGCATCAATGACCCAGTCTGGGTCGCCTTGCAGCAGCCGATCCGCGTCGTCAGCTTTGAAGACATCCACCCATGCCTCCACCTTGGCCCATGGCGCAACCTTGGCAAAGTATTCGGCGAGACACACGACCTTCGGTCTGCCGACGTCTGCTAGTGTTGCGCACGCGTGTCGGTTCAGACTGGAAAGTGAGACTTGATCAAAATCGATGATGCGGAGATGTGAAACGCCGGAACGGAGGAGCATGAGCGCAGCCCATGAGCCCACGCCTCCGGCACCGACGACGATGACAAACGAGTTGCGTACACGAGCCATGCCCTCTTCGCCTAGAAAGCTATAGTTGCGTGTGAGCTGCTCGCGTAGGAGGGTCTCGTCCCATTTCATCGCAGGACGGCTCTGCTTGCGTCGTAGGTTCATATTGCGGTAAGCATCAGGGCCTGGCATAGAAGCTGTCAGGGTGCCGAGATAGCGCGGCGCTGGGCTGGCAGTGCTGCTGTCCGGAGTTGCGCTATCCAAGGATGCCAGGTCGCCGAGCACGTCTACTGCCGACATAGTGCGAGTGCGCGGTGTATTTGCGCCATCAGAAGGCAAGCCAGCGGGACTTCCACAGTCGAGCAGCCGACTTTTTCCCCTGAGCGAATCAGTCTCGTCTCCTTTCCCTCGTCGAGATTGGCCATATTTGCCTGCATGTCCACGTCCTTGTGCCGAATCTTCGAGATCGTGCCGCCTGTATGAGCGAATGAGACGCTGGTAAGCCAGGACGCCGCCGGCGGTAGCGAGAGAAGAAAGAGCTACGGTGACGATGATGGTGAATTGAAGCCGTCTGCGCACAGCGAGGATATCCACTTCGCTGCTGCTGCCACTGCCCGTCGATAATGAGGCCCCAGACCTGGAAGCGGATCCGAAGACGAGTCGGAGGAGCAACGAAGGATGTGCATCGCGAACCGCTGCTTCGGGGCCTAACATATTCTACGGCACTACTGCACCTCACCGGATGCCTGCAAGAGAGTGGTGTGCGTAGGTCGCGGTGCATGCCTCAACGCCTAAAGGACTCATCCGCCGCCGTTAAGGTGATCGAAAATGCGTCCTTCTTGCTGTTGTTTTCGATGAATCGCTTGTGCAGCAGAACTATATTACATAAGCAATTTTGCAGCATATGCAATTCCACCGCATTTCCCGACAAAGTCTTCGCCCAGCATGGAGGGGCTACGGCTTCGACTCCGACTCTGACGGCGGACGACTGACAGGGCATTGCGGCGTCTGCATCAAGCTGATTGATAGGCTTCCCTTTCCATGCCAAGCTCGCCGATCGACAAGCGTCGGGTACCACGCAGCGCCGCCTGTCAAGGATTCGCTCTTCCTTGATGGGCTTTGGAGGTGGAGTTGTCGAGGAGGATTAAAGTGGATTTGGAAGAGTCCCGGTTCTATTGCAAAAGTATGGTAATTCCTGTAATTACGGCGTCGATGCCACGGATTCCATAGATGGGAGCAGTTTGAACGGTAAAATGGAGCATAGTCTCAAGTTTTTCAACGACAAATATCCGTGAAAATGCACCGTTAGTACGGCATCCGGCCTGCAAGTTGATGACATCCTTCGATGGATCACCCCATACTCCCCAGCTCACGATGTCGCATCTGTTCCAATTGCTGGAGACGCATCCAAAACGCGCGGCAACCATTCTGCCATCTCCTCGGGGATTGGCGTAGGTACGCTTGGCGTACAGATCGCCTCGAGTGCGGGTGCGAAAGTCAGAGAACAGTCGCCATGCAGCGCAAAGCGGACGCTGCCGATCGCGACGCGGACAGACTTGTCACAGCCCAACCACAAAAGCGCCCTCGCATCGCTGTAGAGGACGCTCATCCTCTAACCTCGGGCGCGCGCCATAACGGCAACATCAACGCTAATAGCAGCGTCAGCAGCGTGGAAGCGAATACTGCTGCGAATTCAGACGATAGTGGCGTAGAAGACGCGTCGCTCCTGGTACCAGCGCAGGACTTCGTGTCGAACCAGGAGCTTGCGCCTCCTCCCCCGCCTCCAGCGCCTGCGTATGACATGCCGAGTCCGCCGCCAGCCCCTGGCGGCTCAAACCCAGGTCAACAAAGAGCAATTTCTGGTGATGCTGACGGTGCAAATGCATCCCTGCCAGCTTCACTAGACGACGCGCAGGGCGTTGCCGCGGCGGATGCAGCAGCAGCATCCGTGGCGGGTGCGACTTTCTTCGGCAGCGCCGTGCCCGCCACACCCAGTTCAAAACTCTCACGAAAGGGTATCAGCAAGAAAAAGGACAAAGATGAAGGGAAAGGGCCAAACAAGGTCTCGTGCATGGAATGCAGAAATAGCAAGGTCCGATGTTCCGGGCCGCTCGATGAGCACCGGCCAACATGCGAGAGGTGTCGACGCCTCTGCAAGCAATGTGAATACCACGCTCACCGACGCGGTAGACGGCCAAAAGACCCAAACGCGGCGGCCATGAGAGCTGCCACTGCAGGTGCAGATACATCCATCCTCTCTGCTTCCACATTCTTTTCTACGCCGAGCCGCTCCATCTCCGGTCCTTCACGCAGGCACGTGTCGTCTTCGGCATATGGTCACGCGCCCTATCCCAACGACGGTGTCATCCCTGATGATGAGGAGGCTGTGGTCGGCACAGGCATCAACCATCAAGGAGCCATTTTAGTCGAAGGAGATGACGCCGATGCGGGTTTGCCAGCCCTGAGTAACCCCCTTAAGCTACTTGCCTCAGCTGGTGCGTCGCGCATCCGCCCACCACCCCCCACTCCTGCCCCCGCACCGTCCATACCGCTGCATGGATCGTCACAACAGCAACAGCAACAGATCCAGCAAGAAGGAGAGCGGCAGCTACAAGAGCAGATCGAGCTGCATAATCAGCGCCTACAGCACGTACAGCGAGTCTTCTCTGCTGCCGGCGGATCAGGCATTGATGCCAGTCTCGGCCTTGTTGATGCTTTGCCGACACCAACGCCGGTCCCCGGTAGGAATGAGCTCATGACACGTCCGCGCTTTACATTTAGCCTCTACGCTGAGCGTTTGGACCTAGAGCCTCGCTTTGACGTTGTGCTGCCACAGAAATTGCAGCAAGAGTCGTCTCCTGAACGTGGCGTTCGGAGCGATGAAAAAGAGAAGGCGAAGGAAGAGCCTGGCGCCGCCTTGCTGAAAGAGGAAGAGGCGGAGATGCTCTTTGACACTTTTATGCGGCATATCAATGGGTCGCTTACGCGTGAGTCGAACCGAGTTGCTGGTTTAGTAACCGTCCATAAAGCTGGAACTTCATGATGCTGGCCTCGCACAGTCCTCGATCCACATCTCCATACATTTAACTTCCTTCGTCGGCGCTCACATGGCCTGCTTGCCGTCATCTGCGCGCTCGCATCAAAATTCACCTCGAGCTACAGCTCTCGCCCGTCAAGACGCTCCGGCCCCAGCTCAAGCGTCGACTCTGGTGGAGCATACTGGGCGAACAAATCGCATCAACTCGACAAGCACGTGCACAATATCATCTTGCCAGCCATCATGCTTGAGGGCTTTCGAAGCGTGGAGCTCGTCCAAGCGCTCATCATCGCCGCTGCTTTTCACCCACCGCCACCGAGCTTGAACACCAGCGGCGGCGGCAGGGCTGACCGAAGCTGGGCTTTTTTGGGTCATGCGATCTGTATGGGTGCCGAGCTGGATCTTAATGGAAAGATGCTCTCGACACGGTTACCTCCCCCTGTTCGAGCAGGCTGGGACGACGATGCAGCAGCGCCGGTACCTTCAGGTGCGGCTGCTACGCCGACAGAATCATTACACAGACGCCTGCGGAATCGCGAGCGAACATGGCTTAATTGCTACCTGTTTGAGCAGTTACTCTCTGCGCACACAGGTCGAAGACCAACCTTGAGCGCAGCTAACGACCCTGTCGTGCTGCAGTGCGATAAATGGCATCTACCTGCTGCCAGCCACGGTTTCGCGATACCCGACGACGAAGCGATTGTCGCGCTAGTGCAGCTCCAACGTGTCGTCAGTCGCTTGACGGAATTCTGGGAGCGTAGCGTTGGAGACGTGTTCCTCACTCCAGGGCAAGGGTCGAGAACCTCCAGAGCCTCGGCTGCGCGCGATGATGCGTCGCACGCGCACAGTTCCCGGCGGGAAGCTGATGTGGACATCGATGTCGACCCGGACCTCGGGCGCGAAGGCGCAGGCGCAAGTGTCGGGGGAGATGATCTGTCATCCGTTGACTGGGAGCAGGCATCGCGCGAAGCGTTGGTTGACACCTTTCGACGCGCTTGCGATGCAGAACTCGAGTCGTGGAGGACCACCTGGTGCAGTGAATTGCTCAGCGGCAGCAGCGAGGGTGGAAGCTTGACGGCATCCTCAGGTCCCTCTGAGATCTCAATAGCGACAGCTAATGGGAGAAGCAAAATGGCGCAGGAGAGACTGCAAAGTGGCCTGCTCTACTTTCACTATGCCAGTCTCCTGCTTCAATCGCACGTTTTACGCAGCCCTGGACTGAGCGCCAACGTGTTGCAACCGAGCTACCTTGCTGCATACACGCACGCTACGTCGTACTTGCGGGAATTCCGTGAGTCCATGCAAGCATGCAAGGTGTGGTGGTAACTTGGAGGCTTTCGTGCTGACTGTGTTGAAAATCAAAACAGTGCGCGCGCAAAAACCTGAACGTCTGCGGTATGCGCAAAACAGCACCGCGGTTACAGCATGCTACTGTGCGATCTTTACTCTGCGCCTCACAGAGCTGGAGGCGAATAACATACACACAGCGACAGGACCAGCGGTATCATCTTCCTCATCGCCAACTGCGCCTGCGAGCCATACGCGTGCCGACGTACCAGCCATGCTCACGCTGATTCGGCAGCTAGCGGAAGACTTGGAGCTTGCTGGCAAAGTAACAGCACATCGTCAAGGTTTGGCGAGCAATTATGCTGCACATCTGCGCGTCATTTTGGCGCATTTTGAGCAAGCGAACACAGACCCAGCACTCACGCAGTATCCAGCCCCACCGCCGCCGCTGTCGGTTGCTGCACATGCTCTAAATCAAGGTTCCGGTCACGCACATGCGCCAGGCGATCAGAATGGCACATATGTGCCCTGGCACCGTAGTGCTACTGCTGCTGCCAATGTAGCCGAAGCGAATGCCGCCAATAGATGGACCACAGGCGAATCTGAGCCGAGTGACTTCACGTTATCTGGCGACCAGCAGCAGCATCTTCAACCTGATGGGGGTGATGGGTCGTTGGAGGCTCTCGGTGAGTGTGTCAAAAACCACCTTCTCTTTTCAGATTCACTGACAGCTGCATCAAACGATCGCTGAATCATTCGGCTCAGATCGGTTCTTGACCGAGTCACTGTTCCCAAGCCATAATGCAGCTGCACTTCCACTGAAGGAATGGCTCGAACTCGCTCAATTGTAGACTCATTCGTCACTGCAAAATACAAACTTAATGCGGACCTTGTTGTGCCGGTGTATCAGGATGATAGCGCCCATGTGCGGTCTGCAAGGGTACAAGGAAGCTGTTGCGATCACAAGACTTTGTTCACATGTGACTGGACGCCATTTATGGGGCGGATAGGGCTGGTGGGACGGGCAGAGCACGGAAAGGTGTCAGTCGATCAGATAGGTGGTTCACACAAAGCTGTACGCACTGATCTCCATGAATTGCTCATAGCTGAGCGTCGCCCAGCCCTGTCGCTGCGTGTCGCATCGCTGGAAGCTCTCCGTGAGTGATTTGATGACGACGCAAGCGCGCACAAAGCGGTCGAATGTGATGCCATTGCCCCGGCTCAGCCCGCCTGAAGAGGTAGTAGAGGAGACGACTGCGTGTGAGTGATCGTGTGCGCGTTTTTTGTATGCATGTGAATATGCACAGGAGAAGATGGGAACAAATGTTTGGACAGACAATCAGTGCTCTGTTACCGCTCGCGCACAAGCTCGATGTGCACTCAGTCCAGCGCAAGCAGAGCGCAGAGCGGATTGCGTGAACTCATATTCTGAAAATTGAGCCAGATCGCAATCTGATGCGTGTGCAAAAGGGGAGGAGGGGATTGGGGTGAGGGACAGCTGCAATTTCCACTCACTGTACTTTTGCTGCACGACTTGGATCAAGCGAGGCGAAAGGTTGTAGCCAAAGCTTTTGAGCGCGTTGCCGAGCTCATTCGAGTCGATTGTGCCAGAGCGATCTTGATCAAAGTGTCGGAAGACGTTCTGCCACTCTTGGATATACCTCCAAAGACCTTGAAACTCGTTGAAGGTGATTTGACCTGAGCGATCCGTGTCGAAGATGGACATCTGCAGAGTTGCACACGAGCCAGGGAGAGAAGAGGGTAGAACTTTCAGTCTGGGCGAGTTGAGTGCCGGAAGCCCTGCGCCAACCACATGTCCTCACAAGCATCTTGACCGTATCGAGGTCGAAAGCGGACCAGTCGCCATTGACCAAAGCCTGCTGCAGCTCCTGTGGGCCGATAGTCCCGCTTCCATCTCTGTCTACAGAGAGGTACCATTGCCACAGCTGCGGGTCTGCGCCTGGAGGTGGGCCTGTGCGCGACGAGTAGGCTTGCGGGCGTTGCGGTGGGTAGCCACCGCCAGTGCCGCCGGCTGGTGGGGCGCCGTAGCCGCTTCCTCCAGGGGGTTGTTGGCCGTAGCTGCCACCATAGCCACCACCTCCGCTTTGTGCTGGAGGTGCACCGTATCCGCCGCCCTGAGGCGGTGGTGCGCCGTAGCCCTGCTGGCCGTAGCCTTGCTGAGGGGGTGGAGCTGTGTAATAGTGCCAGGAGGAGGCGAGGTCAGCAAGAGTTGTCGTGGATTGGGCAGCAGTATGTAGCACGCAGCCGCGAGGATAGGCAGGTTACTCTTGGCGATGAAGAGTGGCTGTGCACCGCAGTCAAGGCAAAACAGACTGCCTTGGTCACACGAACGATTCGAGCGGGGCGAGAACGATGCCAGCCGCTGAGGCCGAGAGACTGACTACTCACCTCCGTAGCCTCCGCCCCCGGCGTAGGAGTATTGCTGGCTCATATTGAGACAATTCTGGTAAGCGGTGTCTGCGCTTTGTTTACTGGATGCTACCTTCGTACACCCAGCGTGGATAGCAAGGCAAGCATTGAAGACTTGGTGGATGTGGTTCTGTTTGAGAGGGGGGGGAAGGATGTTGTGTGCTTCAGTCGGATTCGTGGCCCGTGTGGGTGGCCCGTGAGCATGGGTGCTGCTGAGCTTGCGCCTAGCGAGCGGCCTCGGAGACTCCGAGGACCGCGCACGAACCACCCACACCTGGTCTGATCCTTTTGACTCGTTCCATGCCACGTCTGGTTACCTGCTCAATTCTCAACCAGATCGGCTCACTCGTTCGACTCTCTACCAGCCATGACCATGCTCCAAGCGGCACGAAGTAGAAAAATTTAGCGTTTTACGTCATAGACCCCCCCCCTTCCCCAAAATTCACCGATCGGACCCCAGACGGGTATCGCCGCAGCGCTCTCCGATGGAAAATCTAACAACAGCAGGTGCTCACGTCATCACGATGGCCTCTTCACACTCTGAGGCATCTGGTTCCTCCTCACCCGCTACAGCCGCTCTGGCCGCCAAGCTCGGGAAATACTCGACTTGCGAGGTTTCAGATGCGCTGATCAAGCTCAAGCTCCCACACGGCGGCCATCTGCCCGGCATCGACATGCTCAGCCCCCAGCACCTTGCACGGCAGACGAGGATCTGCGGGCCAGCTTTCACGGTGAAAGTAAGTGGAGTCATGCAGCAGATTGGAAGTGCACAGCTGCTGAACCCCGAGGTCGATCGCTCTCAAGATGGTATCGCAAACAGAAGAGTCGGCACCGAAACCGGCAAAGCATTTCGTCGATGCGGCCGAGCCGGGGTCCGTCATGATCGTCACTGCTCCGTCAAGTGGGTGGGCTACTTCGCATTCGCTCACGAAGTCACGACTGACATCAAACGCTACCTGGGTGCGCCGCTGTTAGATTGTCGCTCAGCCATATGGGGAGGGCTCATGACGGCGCGTGCTCAGGCACTCGGTGTGAAAGGGGTCGTCCTTGATGGACGGTGTCGCGATCTGACAGAACATCGAGATGCTGGATTTGCGGTGAGTCATTCGCTCTCTTGAGATCAGCCAATAGTTTCAAGCGTCATCGGAACGAATCTGGTAGCTGAAAAAGGCGTGGTGTATTCAGGTGTTTTCCCGAGGTCACTCGACGCTGGGTCAATCAACCTTTACAAGGCCTTCAGAGTTGCAGGTGCCCGTCGAAATCATGGATCCCACCTGTCCACATACTAATTCTTCCGAGCCACACAATCCCGTATTCCTACCTCTGACTGTGCATCCGGGGGACCTGATCCTCGCGGACGTCGACGGCGTCGTGTGCGTGCCGCCATCGCTGGCTGGGGAGGTGTGCGAAATGGCGCAAAGGGGGAGGGAAGTGGACGAGAAGTGCATGGCGGATTTGAAAAAAGGGAGGCCCGTGGCCGAGACGTTCAAGGAACATCGAGGCAAGTAGTCAAGTATAAAAGGGTAGCCAATAACCGCGGGCACTCGAAGGGCAAGGGAAAATGGCACAAAGCTGTGACATGCGAAAAGCCAGCGAGAGGGTGACCACGCGGGCCTTGTAGGGGGGGGTCTTTAATCACATGTGAAGCAGATGCAATCCTAGTGCTCCTTGTAAAGCACAGCGGAGTCGATGATATTTCTGTTCATGGTGCCGGCAAACTCATGCATCAAATGCGTGCGATTGAAACCTGTGAGCCTGCTGAAGGCGTAGGACGAGTGCTGTGCGTACGTGACAAACGCGGGTGGGTGCTGTGCAATGGCGTCGAGGCAGTAAAAATGGCCTGCGGCGCCGAAGATGATGCATGACGGCGCAGAGGGGTTGTTCCGCCCGTTAGGGTCGGTTTTGTTGTTCGTGGTCAGCGGTATGCGCATGCTAATCTGTACGTGACTCTGCAGGACAATGTCGACGCCGTACTGGGTTGGCAGTGGCTCGAATGCTAGCTGGCGCGTCGTGCATAGGCTCAACACGTCCGCCGCCGTGTACCACGGTCGCTGCTTCACCGCGACGACCCAAGGCATCCTGAGGCAACCGACTTTGGCCAAGTCGGGCTTGATGAAGTCTAGCTGCTGATTTGGCGCGCTAAAGGAGCCCTTGTGGTACTTGGCGCCCGGCTGCGACTCGTCGGGCGCGCTAGGAAAGTCTGTCTAGGTGCTGAAGAAGATCCGATGCGTCAATGCGTCATGCCGTAGTCGAAGTTATACCAGAAAATTTTCAGGCCACCCGAGAGCTACGAAGGCATGCGGAAGCGGTTCGTGTAGTCGGTGAAATTCGTATGGCCTTGCGGGCAGTTTGACTTGGTGAAGCCCTTCTGCCAGCCATTATCACAGTTGGCCTGTGCCAGAGGAGACAGGGCCGCAAACTCTGCATGTCAGCTGGGGCAAGCAGGCTGGGATGAATGAACGAGCGCCTACCTCGTGATTCCTCGGCGCGACCATTTATGGAACAGCGGCAGTGATCACTGAGACCGAGGTCTCTGAGCGTGCCCATGTCAGCCACTAGGCCAACGGTCATTCGGCGCAGATCAGCGGCAAGACATGCCGTCGTGAAGCGGTATGTCTCGTTCGCGGTCGAGATGACGATACTCTGGTAGTAATTGGTGCTCGGCAGGAGATCATCGAGGACGGGGCGGCTATTCCATTTGCTAGCAATATCAAAATCTTCAGGTGTCAGGAAGTAAAAACATAAAGGTATATAAATCGTACTGAAGGAAAGAAAATGCAGCCCACCTAGAAGTCAGGTATGTGACGCTGTTGTTCGAGTGTGCCGGAAGCATCGTTGTATGCGGATCCAAGCCGTAGCGGACGGTGTGATTTGTGAGCTGCGAAGTGGTGTACCATGAGACGCCTACGCCAAACGGACCATGGTAGCCGAGGCGCTGCCGCGACGGTGCCGTGCTTGGGTTGTAAGCGGCTGGCCGGGTACAGGATAAGGCCAGAGTGAGCAGGCGAGGAGGACAGCGGAGAGAGGGGCGAGGGAATGCAAGGTGCATGAGTGGAGGGCGGGAAAGGGCAGCAGGATGGCAGAAGGCCTGTCTGATGAGAGGGCAAGGGTGATGGATTGGGTGCTAACTGCCTCCTCAAAGTTTATTTCTACTTTCCTCGAATACAGCAACAGCAATGCAAAGGCATGCATCACATCCACTTTCTCACGCGATTCAAGCCACAGCTGGATCGCACTCTGCAAGACCCTTGCATATCGACAATTCTTTCTCTACGAAAGGTGGCGACGCGAATTCGCGACGGCGAAGATTGTGATGAGTTGGGTTGAAGGTATTGCAAATTCCGTCAAAGCGAAGCTTGTAGCGAGACGTTGATTGGTTTGAAAGTGGCCAGCTAATAGCTCACTAGCTACTTCAACTAGCTTGTATTTGATGAACACACGTGGGAGCACTTTGCCAGACCACCCAGACAGACTCGAATGCATTGATGTACGAGTACAGATGTAGGGTTGCGCCAAGTGTGGCACACGGGTTCTTTTCGCATCTGCCCTCTACACGTGGATACAGCGAGCAGTACCGCCTGCATCATCACTTGGCGAGAAGAACCCTGCTCTCGCGCATAGTCTTGTCGAAGCAATCTCTACACATAACCCGGCCTTCCGCGTCAACCTTGGCGCCCGAATCGAGCTTCTTGCCGCACTTGCGCGCCGCCACTCTGCACCCGGCACCGCCGTCGCCGCAGCAGACGAGGCAAGCGCGGTGCCAGCGCGTGCCTCGCGGGCCAGGAACAGACTCGAGCGCCGTGACGGTGCGCTGGCATGCTGGGCACGCTTGCATGCCGCCAAAGCGCGCCGCAGAAGGGGCAGTACTAGTCGTAGTGCCACTACCCATGCTGGTAGCCCACGTGTGCTGTTGGACACCACCGGGGCTGGTGGCGCGCTTCTTTGGCTGTGTTGCGAACATTCCTGCCGCTGGATTCCTGCTACTTTCGCTGGGGAGCGGGGTACCGTTAGCATGTACGCTGCTCGTACCCGAACCTGTGAGAAAGGCCGACTTGGTCGGTGGAGCCGCTCCCGCAGTCGGCTTGAACGTTCGCATAGAAGGATGGGAATGAGCAGAGGCAGGTATGGATGCAGGCACGGAAACCTTGCTGTCAGTCCGCACCGCATTCGCGTTCACGCTAATGCCCGTCTGCTTGGGCAGATAGCTGCTGACAAGAACTGGGCCGGCCTTGTCGTTGGGAGCAGGCGAAGAGCCGCGCGAACGAGGTGTACGCTGGTGCGTTGCATGATCCTGTGCTGAAGACGCAGGCGGGGTGAGCGTTGCCGAAGTGTGCGAAGCGCCTGTGGCAGATGTTGCTGATGGCCGTTGAATGAGCGAGATTGGCGCACAGGCCGTGTGAGCATATTTGTTCTTGAGCACCCCTTCGCGCCTGCCAAGGTCACCACTCAGCTCGCTCTGAGCCCCAACCCCCGCGCTAAGCAGATCCTCCAAGCGGACAAAAGGCTTGCTTGCGTCGATTGGATGTGCGCACACGCCGCAGTTGAAGCATTCGCGATGCAGCTGTTCGCCGCTCTGTAAGCCAACCATGACTGCCTCCTGCACACCTTTCTGCAGACCCTCGAATGGCCCAAAGCCGCAAAGGGCACACTTCGACGAGGCAACCCTCACAGCAGCGGCCTCAGCGTGGCTGCCAGCTGGCATACTGTCCACTCTCGATGTCGAACGCGGTACGTCGAAGCTCGCGCGCGCTGTCGGTACTATGTCGTCCGCCGCTTTACTCGCGTTTGCGGGTTGCGGTACGTCCGCATAAGCACGCTTAACGGGGCTCAAGCTCCTGCTGCGCGAGTCGCTCCTGCTCAGATGCCCAGGCCGGGTGGACTGGAATGCAGCGAGATTGAACCTCGTGCCGGTGAATTGGGCGGTTAGCGGCTTTGGCTTTGTCGGCGACGCGGGTCGACCGGTGCTGGTGCCCATGCCCATGCCAAAGGAGGAGGAAGGTGAAATGACAGGCGAAGGCGTGGAGGCTGCCCCGCTGAAGGAGTTCGTGCTCCTTGAACTAGTGACGCCACCGCCACTGCCTACAGGCTGAGAGTGAACGAGCGAAGGTGGCGCCATCTTGGTTTTCAGGCCTGTACCCGAGGAGGCACCGACAGCACTTCCCTTTCCAAAGCGCCTGCTCAGCTCGGCAATGCTCGCAGCCATCTTGGTTTTTCTCGCTGCGTTGCCGCTGAGACCCTTCCGTCCCTGTAGCTCATGTGACTGCATCTCTCCCTCGGATGGTGGCATTGTCAGCGAGTGTGTACCGGAGGCCGGCTGCACACTGGCAAGCTTCATCGGCTTGTCGAAACACTCCAAACACGTTGGTTTTGACTTCATGCCGATGATGATCTCGATTCCATCACCCAGCGGCGGCTTGCCGCCTCCCTTGCCGCACGAACCACACTTGAAGCAGCGGCCGTGGTAAAGCTCGTCGGTCGAGCTCACACGCACAAAAGGCCCATCTTCTTTGGTCGTGCCGAGTATCGGGTGTGTGCAGCCCGCGCAAGACCCAAGTGCGTACAGTGCAATGTAGCAGCTCCTGCAGTAGTAGGCACCCGGATCGGACCCGCGTGTTGCTGGGGATCGATCTCGGCTACGGCTTCGAGATGCAGAGTCAGCGGGTTGCCTGCCCCGCGATTCCTCGGCGGCGGGAGTAGCCGCAGAGCTGGAGATGGTGCCGGAGGAAGGTGCGGCGTAAATGGTGGCGTCCCTGGCAAATATGCTGTGGCATCTTTTGCAGTTCCATTTGTCCCGTGTCTCTTGCGGCTCGACGAGAGAGCCGACAACTTTGGAAAGTGCACCCGACATCGGATCCGCAATGGTTGGCGCAAAGGATGTAGAAGGGGTAAGAAGAGGCGAAGACGGCTGTGAAGATCGCGAGGTGTACGCCCCGCCGGTAGATGGGGCTGTCAGGGATATGCATCTCGAGTTGGCCCCTGATCCGCTGCTACCATTCGTCGCGCTGCTGGAGTACAGATCTCGGCTGATGCTGCTGGCCAGACCCATGGTCAGCCCTGCACTTGTGGCGAGGGTGCTCGCGTGGAGCTGCCGCAGAGCCTTGCGGTCTTCATCGAAGGAGGACGATCTAGAGGCGCTCATTCCGCTTGAGTCTTGTGGGATGGCCAGTGAGGAAGTGTCTTCTCCCAGGAGGTAGCTGTCGGACAGGCGGGGCAAAGTGAGAAGACCGATCCTTCCATTCAAGCAGCTTGAACTAGTGGGCTTACCGATTGGCCCATGCATCGCTCTTTGGCTTACCGTCGCTGCTGCGTGGCCGTACGGAGGTCGCCATTTTGTGAAATTTCAACGTGCAATCGAGCAACAAAAGGGGAAAGGTTTCGGGTCGCTGTTAGGTGTCTTCCTTTCGGCTAGTAAGACCAGCTTATAGTGTGAAGGGATGATGACTTCGAGAACAACACAGGTTAGAACATGGAGAGTAAGAGCTTGGCCACTCATTGTGCTCAACATGTAGGACTGCAAAGGGAGCCCTCCTCTACCTTTACTATTAGCGATAGTGTGGTGGGGGCTTGTAGGTGGATTGGAGGTGTCGCACCGTCACGGTTGCAACGCGGTGCGCGACAGATAACGGTTAGTCACGTGATCCAATTTCACGCTCCTACAGAGACCCTCCTACCAACATCCATTCCATCGCCTCTATCCTTAATGAAGTCGTGCTTTCACTTTCGAGTCTCCTCTTGTGCATGGGCGTGTGCGTCCTGGCTTCCCCCTTTCCCTTCGCCATTTGTCCCCAGAGTCGAACTTACCTCATCTCGCTCTTCCCCTCCCTCTCCGAGTTCAGCGCCTCTGGACATGGCCTCTCGCCCCGAGAAGCCAAGGAAGATAGCCAACCGAACCAAGGTGGCGCAGCGTCGACCGACATACGCCTAAGCTGTACCTCTGCCGTCGACAAGGGATGGCACTCAATATAAACAAGATGAACCGTAAGATGGAGAGAAGATTTTGTGCAAAAGTACACTATTCACTCAACGTGCGCTTTGGCTTTTGCAGAGGAAAGTACAACCCGTCACCGTCGACCATCCACGATGCAGGGCATTTTTTCATGGGCAACCTATGGGCTCTAACGATGATTGCTACCACCTACCGTAGCGGCTGACCGTCTTCATTTCATCCGGCCTCCGATGTGCATAAAAGGTTCTCTCGGCTACGCTGCTCTGCAGCATGTAACATTCGTTTGCACGCATGTGCCAATACAGACGCAGCCACCAATTCGGAACAGGTAGTCACTGTTATTCTATGCAGTACGTGCAGTGTTCAAATACAGGATAAATTGCATTACCATGCAGAAGATGCGGGGCGCAAACCGTGCATCAAGATGATTAGCTCAAAGTTTGCTTCACCTTGGCGAGAGGAGAGGTTGGCTCCTGATGCTTGCGGCGCGGATTGTACTCACCTGCAACACTGTCATTGGGAGTGAATTTGGGTTTTCCGTTGCTCTTTGCGTAGCCTTTGTCAAATTTACTATTACTGGGAGGCGCACCTTTGCCGTTGCTATAGTACTTTTGCGGGTAAAGCTCGGCCTGAGCGTGAGTGTTCATTCATCATGAACGGTCAGCACTTTCGCCAGCAAAAAAATCACGCTTCTGCGGGACTCACGATCATCTGCTGAGTCGACAAGCCAGCGCTATGGTTGTGACTGCCCATGAAGCGCATCTTGGCAAGATCCTTCTCGTAACTCTGCACGCTGACATTTTTGGCGATTTGCGCTGTGAGAGGCACACCGACCTGGTGGAAGACCGAGATGGGGCGCGCGAGCACATCTTTGCTTGTGCTTGTGGACATGTGCCGGCTGGCATCCTTGAGGAACATCTCACTCTGCGTGTCGTTGAATATGCGGCAGTATAGCTCGCGCGGCTGGACAAAGTCCTGTGGGCTGACACCGGAGAGGAACAAGGTCGCGTGACCGTCTTGGGCTTCTGCGACGCGGTAGGGCTCGTAGTCGGGTGCAATAAAGTGCGGTGGATCAAGTGACGAAAGATGGATCGGACGCGCACCCTGATTGAGGAACGTGGAAGCACCGTCGCACTGGAAGTTGTACATGCCGCTAGTGTGCTTGATGGCAGAAGGTATGTTCACTGGCAGCTGCTGGTAGTTGGGGCCGATGCAGTGGCGGTGCGTTTCAGGGTAGGAGAACAAGCGTGACTGAAGGAGAGGGTCTGCGGATGATTCCAGGCCCGGAACGAGGTGAGAAGGGTTGAAAGCATTCTGCTCGATCTCGGTAAAGTTGTTCGGGACGTTCCTATTTAGCTCAAGCTGACCAAGCTCGTGGAGTGGAAATTCTTGCGGTCCCACGTCTACATCAGGTCGAACGGTTTGATCTTTGCCGCTTGCAGTTCGGCAGGCGTTGCGATGGGAATGCGACTCGGGCCAAGCATGTAGACCATCTGATGGATTGCCTTGGGGTTACTCTGAAAGGCATGACGAAGCAAGTGTGTCAGTGACCACCCGGGAGATACTAGATGCGAGAATTTTGCGGGAGAGACTCACCAATCCCAAACGCGCGTCGAATCGTCCGCATGGGTGAGGCAACTAGCAGAGTGCCTCTTTTGCGTGTGGATGAAGTGCACAAACGTTGTCGGATCACGCAGGAAAACGATAGGCGTTTCGTTGAAGACTCAGTCCATGTTTCCCTCTTCAGTTTTGCACTTGATGGAGAATCCGCGAGGGTCGCGTGCTGCATCGTGACTTCCTGACCCCCCACCGATAGTCGAGAAGCGCGCTGTGATGGGCGTCTTCTTGCCCGCCTCGCTGAAAAGCTTGGCTCTGCTGAGTTCTGGATTTGGGCGCGTGTATGTGAAGACACCGTGTGCACTACCACCTTTGGCATGGACGACGCGCTCGGGGATACGCTCGCGATCGCTGCAAGGCGGGGCACCGTAAGAAAGCAAGCCTCGATTCAGGTTGCAAGACATGAGTACGCACCAATGAGACAAAGAGTCAATCAGGTGAAAATCTTACAGCAGCAGAGCACCATCTGGCCAATCCTCGGTGCCTGCATGCAGGACAGCGTAGGGATGCGGCATGGAAACGCCGTTGGAAGTGGTGAAAACGCCAGTCTTCGCATCGGCATCTTCTGCGGACGATTTGGTCGTATTCGAGTGAGCTGAAGTCGGATCACCGTGAGGGTATATTAGCTTGGACTTCAACCGGCCACAGGAAGTACAATATTACTTACAGGTCTCATCTACGACGGATGAGCCGAGAAAGCTTAAAACGAAGGTGTGAATGAAATTCGAGCGTGTACGACTTGATGTGTGTAATTGGAAATCGTAGCGCAAGGTGTTAAGTAGCCATGTTGAAAGCAGCTAGCTCCGCTATATATATATCTATATATGTCGCTGCAAAATTATGTTCGTGTCAGCAGCCTGGGACGAAAAGCAGCTACTGGCCATTAGTTTGCCTTGGAGGTGCTCTCCAAGAGGAATGTCGAACGAGCAGCCTCTATGGCTGATGTCAAGCTGATAGTGACAATGGACGCCTGGCTGGCGGGGAAGACTGGATACTGAGCCGATGATGGGAGCAATGAGAAACTCTCGGGGTAAGCACATGACTGAACGTTATTCACCTACACTTGATGCAGGATCATCACGATGGGTAATGAGAGCAGAGCACGATCAGTCAATGAGCAAACGCCAGGGAGATCCGTTGGATGGTCGCTGAACCCGACTAACCCGATCGCTTATCTAATCAGAAGCCGGTTCGTTGACTTAAATGTATTTACGTATTGTCCTGTTTGAACACCCATCCTCCGTCTTCGGAAGCCGGAACAGACCAGGCGGGACACGGATGCCGCGGCTGGCCAAGAGTGCTGCGCCTGGCGGGCGGGGGGCCTCCAGCTGGCAGACGTGAGACAGTCCTACATTACGATGATGAATGTCACACGCGGTAAGCGCAAGATGCTGGGGTTGCTGAGGCTCCATTTACTGCTCTTGAGTAAGTGCGCCTGGTGCGTTCGGCGGCACTCGTCCCTACTAGCAGTCCTCTTTCGAGTCCGGAAGGAAAGCCACAGCTTCCTTGTTCCTCCAGGAGGAGAAAAAGGAGGCGGCCTCTTGAGTAACTCTGATTAGCGCACCTTCCCCGGACGCAAGTGGCAAAGATGCATGTCATCTCCCACCTGCAGCAGCCAACAGCAAGCTACTCCTCCTTGCTCGTCCGCGATCTGATCCCTGCGCATCCCACGCTCCTTGCTGTCGTGCAGCACACCAATGCCATCTTTCTCGCTTTACCCTCGGGTAGTAACGCCGCCGACGACGGACAGGTTCTAAAAGAGGTTATTCGGTTGGAGCTCAACGCCCGTATCGTCGCGCTGCGCTCCATTCCAGCGCCAGCATCTCCGACCTCTTCGACAAGCGCCAACGATGTATCTCATCTCTCCCGCCTCGCCATCTTGACTGACCATCACTCTCCACGCTTGCTCATCGTGCGATACGACCAGCACGTTCATGGCAGTCAGCAGCGATATAACCCATTCGTCACCGAAAGCGTTCTGCCGCTCGATGAGATCGCTCTACCAGCCGCTGAGCTGGGCATAGGCCTTTTTCTCGAAGACTTGATCGACAGCATGGTCGCGCCAGCTGTGGCAGGAGCGGTAGGAGCACGAGCAGCTTCTCGCCACCCACCGTACATCGCTTCGCACACACACTCGGGCTTGCTCAAAGTCGTGCCGCTCGCATCGCCTGTAGATGACGGGGAAGGAACGCATGCGCAAGTACGGAGAAGCGCAAAGGGAAAGGACAGAGCGTCTTCGGGTAGCAGTAGCGCAGCCAAGAGTGGCCGCGCCAGCGCTGTGGGTCTGGGCCCTGTATATGATCCCGCCGAGGCCAAGGTCGCCTTGACCAGATCTGCGTTCAACGTTCGGTGAGTCCTGAAGTAGTACATATTTGCAATGCATTGAAGACGTCGCTTATTCTTGTTTTCGCATTTACAGACTGCCGCATCCGACCTTGGTCGCATCCACCTTCCTTGACCGCCAATCGACTTCAGGCTCGGGCCTGGCAGGCGGGCCTACGCTCGCGCTCCTCTCGCTCTCATCTTCCACCTCTCGCATCGCAGGTCTCGGCCCACAATGTGTGCCTGTGCTGTCTTTCCACAGCATTGATGCCGATGCAGAGCAGCTCGTCAATGTCCCTTGGGGCCCAAATCGCAAGGTGCCCCACCCGCCACAGCAGAACAGTGGTGCTAGCAAGCGAAAGCCGAGCGACGCGGCGTCTGCCGCCAAACCAGGCGGAAGCGCGCCGCCAGGTCACGGAAGCAGCGGCCTTGGCGGAAACGCCAAGAAACCCAAAGCCAAGTACGGCCCTTCTGCGACGGGCAGAACGAAGGATGCAGCCGTCGTCGCAGCGGAGGAGGCGGAGCTTGCATGCTCGACCCTCGCAAGGTCCCACGTGCCTTTGCCCATTGTGGATGCACTTGGTGCCCATCACTTGATTGCGGTACCCGCCGACTGGGGAGCGGGCGTCGTCGTATTCTGCGAGGGTTGTCTGCTGTACGTTCCGCCACCACGGGCCGTTAGCTCAGAAAGTAGCGATCAGCGCCGCACTTCATCGAGATTTTCCCAGGGGGCCGAGGGTGTAAGGCCGATGAACGCTGCTAGCAGCAAAGTTAGTACAGGCGCTAGTGCAGCAAGTGCCCTCACCATCTCACAGGATGCTTCTAAGCGCAGGAAGGCAAGTTCCGGCAGCACAGGTGAGCCGAAAGAACAAGATACAGCATTCAGCCCTGCTAGCATTGAGAACGAGAACCGCAAGCGTGCGCGCAGGAGCAACAGCGGTGCCCTTGCTCTGGATGCCAATGCCGAGCCCGGCGGGTCGGCTCTGTCCATCTCGCCAGAGGTCTCCCATTCTGGGCCGCTCTCATCCCCAGCGAGTGCTAGGCGAAGCTCTGTGGGCAGCGGTATGACTGCGACTGCAACTGGCTCGCGCATGTCCGTGCTCAAAGTAATCCTCAAGATGCCGATCAAGGTCGTCGCTGCTGCTGTCATCGCCGAGCCTCGGTCCAGGGACGACGCCAATGGAGCGGGAGAATCTGGTACAAGCGGGCGCATTGTCTACTGCACGCATGCAGGTTCACTCGAGGTTGCCACCTTGCACTTTGCAGAAGACACCCTTCCCGGTTCTCAGCCGTTCCGTATCTCTGTCCAGCAGCTCGGCCACGTCAGTAGACCCGGCGGACCTGATGGCCTTTCCTACCTCGGCGAAGGGTTCGTGCACGTTGCCAGTTCCAGCGGCGACTCGATGCTTGTTCAGATTCGAGATGCACCAAGAGAAGGAGGTGACGACGGCGCCGATGGGGCAGATGCAGTCATGCAGACTTCTGCACTTGCCTCGTCTCCGCCAACGTCGCCTACGGCACCATTTATCAATCTTTCCTTTGGCGGTGCAGCGAGAAAGTTGCAACTGGCCGAGGTGCGCCGCTGGCCACAGATCGGGCCCATTCTCGATTTTGTCGTCGACGACGGCGCCGGAGGTGACGTGAGTGCCGGCAACGCTGTGCAAGCGCGCGTCATCACCGCCAGCGGCACCGACTCGACTGGCAGTCTCCGCGTCATCCGCAGCGGCGTCAGTGTCGACACGCTCGCGGAGATCGAGCTCGAGCTCGACGCGACAGGCATGTGGGCCGTTGATGCGGACAACCAGGGTGGCAAGCTATTCATCCTTGAAACGAGGCATGGTAGGCGCTTATGGCTGCTTGACACCGAGGGACAGCTGCGCGACCAGACGCACCATCTGCAAAAGGCAGGCATTAGCGCTGGCGATACCACGTTTGCAGTCAGCGGGCTTGCGGGTCAGGTAGGCGCATTCATTTTGGTCACTTCAGCCGCTGCGCATCTGCTCTCTGCTGAAGGCGGAGAGATCAGCGTCACAGCATCGCACACTCCTGCAAATAGCATCACTGCCGCTTCGGCACAGACGGACGGCAGTGTCCTCCTCGCAACTAGCAAGTTGGAGCTCATTCATCTGCAGCTCGAGAACAATCGCGCATTCTCGACCATTGCCAAGGTTTCCACCCCGTGTCCCGTCTCTTGCATCCACTTGCAACCGTCCACCCAAGAGGGAGGAGCACTGGCCGCTGCGGGGCTGTGGGAGAGCAATGCCGTCGAGCTGTATCGCCTGCCTTCTCTGGATGTGGTGACACCACCGTCGATGGATCTGTTGCCTCACGCTTCGCTGCCAAGGAGCGTGCTGCTGCATCGATTTGAGAGCAGACTGCAAGACGTGCCGATCCACCTGTTCGTCGGTCTCGGCGATGGAAGCATTGTTCTCTACATGCTTGTTCTGCCGAGAGCCGACTCGATCAACCGATCGATCCGCGTCATTGAGCGCAAGGAGGCAAGCCTTGGCAGTCAGAGCGTCTCGCTCTCGTCCGTCGCCGTTGCGGCTGGGGCTGGGGTGTTTGCCGCGTGCGATCGGCCGACCATCATTGCGTCGGACCCGGGCCTGCAGGGTTCGCTGACCTATAGCGCAGTGCAAGCGAGGGACGTCGTTGCCATGTCGCAGCTCTCCGCCGTCGAGGATGGTGATCTGGTGTGCGTCGCTCTGCTAAGCGCTGACCGCCTGCAGATTGCGCAGCTGGGCGAGGTGCAGAAGCTTGATATCACCAGGGTCGACTTGGGGCACGACGACCCGATCGCGCTGGCGCGGCACCCGCAGGAGGCCTGTGTTGCCGTCGCCACCTGGCGCTTTCTCCCATACGGCCGGCGCAGCAAGATCGATACCGTGCGTGGCTCGGTGAAGGTGTTCGACCAGGGCGACTTTGAGCTGCTTGATACTGCTCTGCTGGAGGACAACGAGCGGCCGAACTGCGTGGAGGTGATGCGGCTCGGCGACGGCGGCGACGAGGCGTTTGTCGTCGTTGGCACCGGCATCATTGACGAGAGGCAGAGCGAGACAGTCCAAGGCCGCATTCTCGGATTCAAGGTCATCCCACGGCGAGGAGAGCGGAGCGGGCGCGCACTGAGGCTCGAGTTTGCGCACAGGGTCACTGGCAACGTGTATGCGCTTGCGCAGGTCGGCGCGCGTGTCGCGGCAGCCATTAACTCGGACGTGAGCGTGTTCGACTACGACGCTGGCGCTGTCGCTGTGCACCCGTCGGTGTTGGCATCGGCGTCGCCGCCGGCGCGCTTGGCGATTGCCGACTCGTGGGGCTGCGCGTTTGTGGCGTGCACATTGTCGAGAGGGGCGTCGGCGAGCGAGCTGGTCGTGGGTGACGCGATGCGCTCCATGTGCGTTCTGCGCGTCGACGCGCGCGACGGTAGGATCCACACGCTGGCGCGTGACTGCGACCCGTACTGGACGACGGCTGCAGCGGTGCTGGACGCGGAGGCACAGCAGTATATCGGCAGCGACATTTCGTTCAACGTGTACATTTCGGAGCGCGCGCGGCTCCCTGCGGCGACAGCAGCGCGGCGGCGCGCGCGGGCGCGGGAAGAGGGCGAGAGCGAGAGCGAGGAGGATGGGTTCAGCCACGTCATGCGGCGCGGGGGTGTGTGGCACTATGGGGATCTGATCAACAAGTTCTGCGGTGAGACGCTGCTGCCACGCGCTACGTGCCCGGCCGAGGCAACGCCGCGGCTGCTGTTCGCCACGGCCGGCGGCGCGATTGGCGTCGTGTCGCGCATCGAGGACCGTGCGCAGGCGCAGCTGCTGAGCCGCGTCGAGCGCAACGTCGAGCGTGTCGTTCCGCCGCTCGGGGATATTTCGTACGAGGAGTGAGTGCGCGTCTGGCCCTGGGGCCCTAGCCCCTGGCTCTTGTTGCTCCCCGTGCCTTTTTTGGTTTGTTTTTGGCCTGTGCTGACTCGGACCCGCTCGCAGATGGCGCACGATGCGCACAGAGCACCGTGTCGCGGCGCCTGCCGGCTTCCTGGATGGGGACATGCTGCAGCGCTTCCAGACCCAGCTTACGCGCGCGCAGCGCGATGCTGTCCTTTGCAGCAGCAGCAGCGGTGGCGGCGATGGCGTGGGTGAGGAGGGCGCGGACGTTGCTCGGGTCGCGCGGCTCGTCGAGAGCCTTGCGCGACTGTGTTGAGTTGCTGAGAGAGCGCCTCTGCTTGTTTTTTTTGGCTGCGTGTGCACAGGCAGCAGTGCTGCGCTACGAGATTTGCATGGAGCCCTGCCCGCTGGGGTTCCACGCTTGCAGCCTGATCGATGAGTGCCGCCGCTACACGTAGTAGTGTAGTAGTGCCACTACTGGGGATGAGCTGTGCAAAAGTTGAATCACACGGTGGGGGCGGGCGGTGAAAGGGTCCCGCCGACGCGCCATGGCTAGGCACAGACGTTGACGCCAGACGCGGTGAGACTGTTCCTTGGCACACACTCTGCACAGCACTGTATTACATTGCACTGCACTGCACAGCCCAGTATGTATGTATGTATGTATCTATGTAGAGCGAGAGCTAGGTCCGCACGGGCCTCTTTTCATACAAGCTCTCCTCTAAAGTCTTGACAGATCCACATGGGGGGGGATGGGGGGGGGATAAAAGCATGCGGGCGCTCCCATCTCTGCACATTTCATCTCTTCGCCCCTGCTGACAAAGACGCGTGCATTCACATTCCCACCCAGCAGAGAGACAGACCATGGCGTACCCCTACGGCAGCGGCTCCTATGCGCCAAATGCAGGCCCAGGCTATCCGCAGCAGCCTCCCTATGGCGGCGTCGCGGCATACCCATACCCATACCCTCCACAGCAGCAACCCTATGGTGCACCGGGTTTGGGTGCACACCCGCAGCAGCAGCAGCAGCAGCAGCAACAGCAGCAGCCGCCTGTAATGGGGGGCGGCTACCATTCTGGCCCGCTGCCCCTTGCTGCTGCTGCTCCCCCCCTTGGTTCGATGGGCATGGCTCTGACATACAATGGCATTCCCGTTCCGCCCCCGCCGCCCGCACCACCCGGTGCAGCGACGCAGGGGTTGGACGTGCACGGCGCCGTCGAGCGCATCTACAAGGCCATGAAGGGGTTCGGCACCGACGAGCGCACACTCACCCTCGAGGTGTGTGCCCTTGACCCCTTTGCCGCTGATGCGGTGTGCATGGCCTACAAATCCCAAAAGGGAAAGGATGTCGTCGCGCATGTCGAAAGCGAGACCAGCGGGAGTTTCGAGGCCGTCCTGCGCGCCAAGCTGCTCGGACCCGTCCTCTTTGACGCGTACACCATCCACCGGGCCTGCGCTGGCATCGGCACTGACGAGGATGCGCTCACAGAGGTCCTTCTCGCACGCTCCAACTCGTGCGTTCCCCTTTCTGGTGCACGTTGCCTTTGTGACAGCTCGAGTCCCACGCTGACTTCTCCTGCTCCTTCCCCAGCGACATTTACATGCTCAAGCAGGCTTTCCAGGCGACGTACGGAAAGCCGCTCGAGCGCGTCGTCGACGAGGACCTCTCGTTCAAGACGAAGCGCCTGTTCGCCATGGCCCTCGCCGGCGGGCGCATAGACGAGCATGTGCCCCCAACGGCCCAGCAGGTCCAAGCGGACGTGGCGACGCTGTACAATTCCATGCGTGGCGCGGTGAGTCGCACGCAGGAATGCGTTGCTTCGCTGTTCCCACATCCTCTGCTGAACGCGTCGCTGACTGGGCCCTTTTCGCGCTGCAGGGCACCGACGAGACTGCTGCCTGCGGCGTGCTGTGCTCGCGCAACAATGCCCAGCTCATCGCCATTGCCGAAGAGTACCGCCGCACGCACGGCAAGCTGCTCTCCGCCGCGCTTGACAATGACTTTAGCGGGCACATGCGCGCCGCCCTCGTCTTCATCGCCCGCGGCGCCGAGCCCGCGACCTCTGGCGCGTCATCGCACCCGCTGCAACCGCATGAGTATGGCATCGCACGCGACGCGCGCTTGCTCGCCGACGGCTTTACGAACGACCGTGCGCTCGTCCGCCGCGTCCTGCGCGCCCATTGGGACACGCGCCGCTGGGTCGCCGTCAAGGCCGCTTTCCAGGCGCACCACAAGCGCGGACTCGCCGCGCGCGTCAAGAGTGAGATCAGCGGTGATTACCAGCGCGCGCTGCTGGCTGTCATTGGCGCCACCTAGGTCGTTCTGTAGATACCTGCCTGCGCGGGCCGACGAATGTGGATGTATGCGCTCGATTCTACCTCGTTCTCTCTCTTTGTGTAACCTACGGCAGAGAATCTGTGCATGGATCATCATCGCTTGAACTACCTATCTACATGGCCACCACCGCCGCGATCCAGTTCGCCAGCCAGTCCAGGCTGGCCGCTCAGTCCTGCAGAGAGACGTTGACGATCTTGATGTCCTGCCGCGGCCTGTCGTTTTTGTCGACGCGCGTGTTCTCGATGCGGTGCACGACGTCGAGGCCAGCAGTGGCGCGGCCAAAGATGGTGTGCTTGTCGTCGAGCCACGGCGTCGGCACGGTTGTCAGGAAGAACTGGCTGCCGTTCGTGTTGGGCCCGGCGTTGGCCATGCTCAGTGTGTACGGCCGGTCATGGCGCAGGGCGCGTGTGAACTCGTCGGCGAACTCGGCGCCCCAGATGCTCTGCCCGCCGGTCCCGTCGCCGAGCGGGTCGCCCGTTTGCAGCATGAATTTCGCAATCACGCGGTGGAACAGCACGCCGTCGTAGTATCCGCGCCGTGCGAGTCCGGCAAAGTTCTCCACCGCCTTGGGCGCGTGCTCTGGGTACAGCCGCAGGTGGATGTCCCCCACGGACGTGTGCAGCACCGCGCCGCGCGCCAGCTGCCGCGACGACGACGAGCCGCCGCCGCCGCCGGTCGCGACTGCCATTTCCTCGTGTGTCGGCTTCTCGTTGAACACATCGCGCTCCCCGCCCGCCTTTGACTTTGGGTCGCTGCAGCGTTTCAAAGTCAGCAACCGTAGCAAAGGTAACGGTAGCAGAAAAGTCAGCTCAGTCGACTCGCGCTTGCTCACGAACAGACGCATCTTCTGCACCCACCTCTCTGGCTCGTTCCGCGTAAACAGGTAGAAGCGCGCGCGCTTGTGCGCCGTGCTGAACAGCGTGGGGTCCAGCAGGCGCTTCACCTGCGCCAGAGGGTTGTCCGACGCTGCAAGCGCCTGTACGCAAGCGATGTGAGGAGAGCAGGGCAAAAGGAGAGCAAGAGAGGGGGAAGTGCGGTAATTAGTCGGACGCTACACGTAAGAGTGATGCAAAAAGGCACCCACGAGGCTCGTCATCGCCTTCTTGGCCGCGGCGCCCTGGAAGAGCGCAAGACGTAGGAAGCGCGTTGCCTCGTCTCTGCCGAGCAAGATGGACGCCTTGTTCGTGACAATGTTGATCACTGTATGGACGCGCAACGTGCCGAACGCAAGCAAGCAGAGCGCAGCAGGTCTGCGTCAGCACATACGCACATGCGGGGCGCTGCCCCAAGCGACTCGGCACACACTCACCTTTGATGCCGAGCATGCTGGCGTAAATGAGGAAATTCCCGCTCTCGTCGAACAGCGCATTGGCGCTGGCGAGTCCAGCGGCATTCTGCGCGCCACTGACGAGCAAGGCCACCGAGCCGCTTCCCGCGTCTTGCCCGCCGGCTGCTGACATGCCCGCACCAGTATACAGATCCCGCTCGACAGCCAGCCGCCGCCCGAAATCCATCTCGTCCATGTGCTGCTGTCCTTCTCCTCGTTGTTGTTGTTGCTGTTGCTGCTGCATTTCCTGTACGGCGCGCAGTGACTCGTCATACTTACGCAGCAGCTTGCCGGTCTTGAATGAGAACAGACGCACTTGCCTGTCCGGCAGCGACGTCGTGCTGAACTTGGAGCCGTCTGGGGCAAAGGTGATAGTGCACGGGACGGACTTGGCCTTCTTGAAGTCGAACAAGTCTGTTTCGGACTTGAAGCTCCATAGCCCCTGGTTGGACGGGAGGTCGTACGGCTCGTCCGGACGCCAGTACTCGATCATTCCCACCACATCGGCACTGACGGCACAGTCGTACGCTTCGTTGTACGCCAGCAAGTGGCATGGCTTCTTGTGCACGTTCTCGACGACGGCAAATGGCTCACCATCGCCCCGTCCGTCATACAGCCGGATCCTGTGGCTACCCTCCTCAGCGATAGCGAGAATCGACGCGGCCTTGCCCTTGCGATGCATCCAGCAACACGCGCGCGGCGTGTAGCCGAGCGTGAGCATGTTGATCATGTCAAAGTTGGCCACGTCGAACACTTTCGCCGTCCCATCGCTGCTGATGCTCGCGTACAGCACGCCATCAGCGCTGACGCTTGTGTCGACGATGACACCGAGGTGCGCACGGTAGTGCTTAACGAATTCGATACCCTCCTCCTGCTTCTTCCAGAACTTGACGTGTCCGTCGACGCTCGCGGTGATCAGAAAGTCCGTCGGGTGCGGCGTCACGTCTACACGGCACAGTGTGTCGCGGTGCATAAACGACTTATAGTACCGCGTTGCGCACGGCAGGTGCGACATGTAGAGCCCCTCGTGCGACAGCACGCGTCGGCGCTTCTTCTTTTGCCGCTGGTCGCTGGTGGCGTCCGCCGCTGCCGCTTCCGCCGCGGTGGGGGGTGCAGGTCCAACGTCGTCATCGGACGACTCGTCTTCATCAGCTGCGCCGGGTGCAAGCGGCGGCGGTAGCATGGGCCCGACCCCATCCTCGTCCGACTCGCCGCTGGTCTGGCCGTCCTGAGCTGCACCTACCCGGACATCCTCCACTTGCTCCTTCGCCTCCACAGGGCTGTTGCGTTGACGCTTTCGTGTCCCAGCCATCCTGTTCGAGACTGACAGACGCGCACGGCTGGCTTTGACTACACAGAACAGTGTTGAAGCCGGCGTGGGGACCAGGACGGTATCACGCAATCACTGCCCTCTCTCTGCACGCCACTCACTCGTAGCGATGCTGGAGAAGAAGCTGCAATGTCCAGACCCTTTCCCTTTTGCGCTTCTTCCGTTCCGAACGACGAGTGACCTCGGAGTCTCCGAGCATTTGACTCCGCAGCTGTCACGACACCTTGCCAAGTGGCTGGTTTTCAGGGCTGTATTCCCCCTGTTTTTGCGTCGGGCCCCCGGAAATCCGGTTTGAGGAAGATTTCCGCACCATACGACACATTGACTCCACAGTCTTATCCACTGCACCAGTCAGTCTCCTGTGTGACTCGCAGTGATAGTAACAGGAAGGTTTGCGATACCACGCCTGCATGCATCCATACAGGCGTACATAGACACAAACGGGCGGGACGGACGCGGCGCAGCGCCATATGAATAGAGGCCTTAGCACTGGAGTGGTCTGTGAGGTGGTCAGTGATTTGCGGCAGGCCAGCGGGCCAGCAGACTCGCTGTTCGCGTCTCTTGTGTGCGTTGCCGTGGCGCGCTTCTGCCAGTGCCCCGTGTGCGATTCGCCTCGCTAGAACAGCGCCCCCCGCCCTGTAACGAGGGCTTGGATCGGATGGAATATATAAACATAGGCGACACTTGCCTCTGATATTTCTTTTCTTTCCTTTCTTTCTCCAGGCTTGCCTCATCCGGTTTCCTTCGTCAGCTCCTCCCCCACTCATACGTCAATCGTCTCTGCGCTGGCCGCAAGACATACCGTGCTATCCTACATTCTCCAACCCCACAGTCCAAAAGCTTTTGAACAGCCAGACGCAATCACTTTTTCTCTATCTCTCTGCATTCCAACTGGGAACCCTAATCACGATCACAATGCGTTTTTCAACAAGCACCATTATTTCCGTTTCGTTGCTCGCGGGCACCGCCGTCGTCGCTGTCCCCGTCCCGTGTGACCTCGCTCCGGGTGGGTGCCAGCTGTCGGTTCGCCAGGCTACTTTCAGTAGTACCCCGCTCACGTTGCAGCTGTCGCGCGAGTACGGTACTCCTTTGCTGAAAGTGAACGACGCCAGCGACCCATTCGGCATCAAAGCATCGACCGCGTGGATGGGTTCTGATTTCGACCCGTTCGCATCACGCGCAGGCAAGTACAAGCGCCCTTTTAACAAGTCCGGTTTGCAGAGCAGCGGTGGCGTATTCAATGGCGTAGGCGGCAACCGCCCCAACTCGTTTGGCTCAGTGTTTATCAGCAACAACGCGGGCGGCAACACCTTTGGGCGCGTCACAAACGGTGCCAGCCGCGGAGAACATAAAGCCGCTACAAAGGGCAAGGAAGAAAGTATCCGCCACATCCACATTGAGAGCAGCGTTGGGGGCAACAAAGGGCATTTGCGCGTCATGGTCGAGCAGCTCAACAAGAAGATGGACTCGATAGCATCCCAGCTGTCCCACATAAGCCACATCATTGCGCCCAGCAACACGTCGTTGCCTACTCAAACGCCCACGCCGAGCCCGAGCGAAAAGCAGGCGGCAACCTCGAGCTCGAGCACGGCAACCCCGTCCGCGACGTCAAGCTCGCCTCCCGCCAAGCCGGCCGAGAAAGAAGGAAAGGACAAGGAGGAGCAGAGCAAGCGCAGCATTATCGAGCAGCTCGACAAGTGGTGAAGGGAAGGGGACGTGGACATGTAGCATACAGCAATAGCACAGTAAACCCAAGGAGGCTGACGAGTTAAAAGAGCGCACAGAAGGTGGCGCTTGAAAGGTGCTTCGGACTCGGACTCTTTGATGGCATAAGGGCCACGCTCCGGTACCGATCGATAGAGTATGTGTAATTTCAAGTAGATGGATGCACACACGCTACGACAGTAAATGACACCTGATTCTAACAATCCCTAGTAGGCACCCGTATGCAACTCGATTGCGCCGAGCAACAGCAACGCCATGCCGAGCGGGAGCACGCCGCCAATGACAAGCAGGTCCTGCCACCTGCGCATCCCTTTCGTCTTCTTCTGCATCTGCCGCTCCTTCTTCGCGAGCAGGATCGCAGTCTGTTCGTCGCGATGGTCCGCATTCGATTCGCGGAGCCAAGTGCGGAAGATCTTGCGGCGCTGCCCTTCGTCCTCCGCATCGTAGTCCGAGTCGCCGCCGCCCCTCGGCGTTCGCGTGGGGAGAGCCTGCATGTTCGGATGCCAATGCGGCGAGTCAGCTCCAGTGCCCTCTTCGCCTTCATGCCGCCCTGCTGCTGTTGCTGCTGGTGGTGGTGGCGATGGTGATGGTCTGTGGTCATTGATCGAAAGCGCGGAGCGAGGAAGCAGTGGTCGGCGCTCCAGGTCGCGCGCGTTCTGCGACTCGCCGACGGGCAGGATGCTTCTCGGTCTGCGAATCCAGAACAAAATGACCCACACCAGGCTCGGCAGGACAAACCCGACGGCGGCGCCCATGAGCCCGAGCACCTCGGACGCGCGCGTAAAACGCGCCTCCTCGCCATCTTTCTCTCCATCGCCGCGCCGGATGCGCCCGTTGCCGGACGCATACGCGAGGCCCGCAACGAGCGCCCAGAGGATCAGGCCGGCCAGCGCGTTGCGCGCGAGCTTGCCCCACCGTCGCGGTGGCTTTGGCAGATTTCCGCGCAGGAAGCGTGAATTGCTGCGCGAGCCGCGTATGGAGAAGGGCTGCGCCGGCGAGCTTGCGGCGCTCCCGGCCGAGTGGTGCCCGCCCTCCGCTATCACGTTCCCCTCATCATGCGAGCATTCTCCAGTGGCTTCGGGCTGGTGATGATGCGGCCCTGCGCTGCTGCTGTTCACAGCAACGTGCGGCGAGTCGTCTGCAGCAATGATCCCCGCCGACGACATCTGCACCCTCCGTCGTCGACGCAGTGGATTCAGTTTGAAGCGCCGGAGGATGCGGGACCACGACGAACGCGCCGTGACGACGCACAGCGTCAGATGGGAGCTGAGCAGGAGAACAAAGAGGAGTCGCGCAAAATTTACAGTATCATCGCCCTTAGGTAGGGACGTGAAGAGGTTCGCTGCAAGGCGACAGAGAGTGTTGCACAATTCAGTCAGATTTGCTCGAGTCAAGTTATACAGCGGAGCGGAGCCGTGGCACTCACGGTGAAGTTGCAAGCCCAAGCGCTCATGCATTCCTTTGAGGCCCACGCCGACACCCATCGCCGTGCAAACACCAATGACGGCAAGGACCTGGCCAGTTTGGGCGCCCATGAAAGCCTTGACATTGCTCCCGGACAGACCTTTTCTTCGCAAGCTGCGCTGGTGCTGCATGATTTGCAGTGGCGATGAAGAGAGCGTCAAGAGCGGTAGAAGCGAATAGGGTCCCCAAATCGAAGGCGAGCTGAAAGGGTTCGCGTTCGGAAGTTCAAGCTTCTTTGGATGCTCAAGAGTCACATCGAGCGACGGCAGTGTCTCCTGCTCCCAGGTATAGATCTTGGCGAACAAGATCGTGAGAATCAGTGGGTATAGAACGATGGTGAGGCCCGAATTGAGACGGATCAACGTCCGCTTGGCGAGTGGAAAGACAAGGAGTGGCGTCGTAAAGATCCCGCCGATCACCAGCGTCACGAAGGCGCGATCGTGCAACGGAATGCCGCGAGGAGAGTAGTGAAAGAAGATTTGGAGCAGCAAATCGGCCAACGCTGGAGACGGTGAACATGAAAGACAACGTGTCAGTTGCTTCTGCGCAGAAGTGTAGGAGAGGGTTGACCACCTTGCACACATACCAAAGTAAGCAATGAAGGCACTACCAGTGGCGTACGTGCCTACCAGAAGACCTGTGACGGTCCTGCCAATCTCTGCTCGCCAGCGACTATTTCGTGCGCACCCTGCCCCTACGATATTCTCGACGTTGGTCGCATTGACATAGCGCCCGAGCACGACCCACAGGCCACCTCCCACACCGCCGAGGATGGCAACTGCACACAGCCCAAGGATGCCCAGCAGCACCTCTGTGCGCGAAAAATAAAAGGGCAAGCTGAGCAGGACGGCGGGGTGCAATGATGTCGAAAAGAGGTTGAGCGAGACGGTGAAAATGGACAGCGATGCCGGTTGCGACGGATTTGACGTTAAAGCTGACCACAAACGGCGAAGCGTGATTTTCGACGGCAGGAGCGCCGAGAGGGACCGCATGCGCGAGTAGTCGCGAGTTTGAAGCTCTTCAAAGCCGTGGAGTGTTCGCTCGCCATGGATGTTGGTGGACATCCATGCTTGCGCCCGGCCTTCTCCTTTCAATATCCGTGCACCACCGCGCTGAGAGTGTGAATGGGCCTGTAAATTCTCGTCTTCGTCTTTATCTGAGTCGTCTCCGTGACGACGGACTTTGAGAAAACGATGAGGCATGCCAATGCCACCTTCGTCCTCATCGTCGGAGTCATCCCATGCAGCAGGCACTTCCAGCGTTCCAGAAGCAGGGCGCCCATTTGAAGACCCCGCCTCTAGGTTCAAGTCCTGTACGCTGGACGACGCTTCATCGTGCGAGCGCCCATTTTCCGAGACTGCTGGAGCGTCAGAGGTCGGCTTGGCCGACTGGAGAGCAATATGGGAGTGCACGCTTGTACTGCGTGCCCCATCGTTGCCGAGGCTCGCAGCGGCAGAGGAGGTGCTCGCAACCGATCCAATGCGGCTCTCGTATGTCACGTCTTGTCTTCGACGTTCTTCTTTTGGCTGATCAGCCATGTTGATTGTCTGCCCCTCACTAGACACAGTGCAGCCTGGTGTCTCGGCACGGTGGAGGGGCGTCTGCAAGGCTTCCTTTTGGGATTCGAGCAGATTATTGGCGATGATGGCCAGCCCACTGACGGCCGAACGCAAAAGTGCACCTGTTTTAAGAGTACACCAGTAGTAATAACTGATAGCCAGAGAACAAGATGCCTTGGAGTAGTGTTAGCCTTGTACACATGGCTAAGGGAGCGACATCAAGGAGAGACGTTACTACCACATGCTTAATTTTTGGCTCCGCGTGAGTCGCGGGACAACAACTGCACAAAATATGTGATCGCACCTTGCTTCATCAACGCTCACCGCTTATATTCTTTCTTTCAATCCATCGCACCAACACCTTTGGTGTAGCCATTCGGATCGGCCCCTTACGCTAGCAGCAATCTTGCTAACTTCTGCCTTGGTACGCCACCATGTTCCCCTCCCGAGTGGGCACGACAAGGCATGGCCCGCCTCGCTCGTTGGCAACGGGAAGCCGACCTATACAGCCCGTCTGTCAACGCTGTCTGAAGCAGGGTCACGAGACGTGGACGTGCCACAAACAGCGTCCATATGTCTCGCGACCGACGAGGAGCCAGGCACTGACCGACCCAAAGGCGCTCAAGAAGTTTAAGAGTAAAGGAGGGGAGGACATTCCGGAAGACCTACGAAAGTGCGTCCTTCTCTTGCGCAGCTACGAAAAGGGCAACGCTGAACTGCGTACTGATATCCAACCTGGCTGTCGCAGAACGGGAACGGCTGATGAAATTTTGAAACAGCGCAAAAAGGCAAGAGAAGAGGAAGAGGAAGAGGCAGGCAAGAGCAAAGGAAAACGGCGACGACGCTCTCGACCCTCTATTTCGTCATCCTCCACGTCATCCTCACACTCCTCAAGCTCGTCTTCGACAGGCTCTTCTCGCTCGTCCGCCTCGCTTTCTGACCACCGGAGAAGCTCGAAACGCCCAAGAAGGGCGAAGCGCAGCTCTTCATCCCGCTCGATATCTCGGTCCTCTTCCAGATCGTCGCGGACTTACAGCAGTGACAGCCGCTCGCGGTCGCGATCACGATCACGGTCTCGCTCAGTCTCATCAGGCTCGCGCACCTATTCGAGAAGCCCCACACGCGGCGCAGTCAGGCGAGGGCGTAGTCGAACGCGCAGCTTTTCGTCAAGCTCAAGGTCGCGGTCGCGTTCATTCTCGCGGTCTGTTTCAACACTCAGCAGGAGTAGAAGCAGGGACAGAGATGCAGAAAGGAATACGAGACAAGCTTCAAGATCGAGGCAAGAAGGAAGTGAGCGCTGAGTGTCACATAAAGTTCATTCTTACTATGAAAGTGCCACCTTGTGTGCGGGGACGACGTGCACAGAGGCGAATTGGACCATCCTCTCGACCTAGGGCGCACTGCATCCGTCGTGTACATATTCCGCCGGCTTCCATTCCTTGTACATGGCGCACTAGCCGAGATGAACTCACCGCCTCTCGCGAGCGTTAAATATGCAGCCCAATGTCTTCTTTGAAAGCCGTCACGTCAAGCACCTTCTGGTCATTCTCTCCCTTGTAGCGATGGGAAGGTAGGAGAGGAGGCAAGGAGGTCGTGGACAGGATGCAACCAGAGCACGATGCTAGCTGCTAACCCTACTTGGGGCCCATGGGGGGGGTCATGCGCTTATGGACGCGTCGCGCGCATGTTAGCAACTGTAAGGCGCGTCGCGTTTCCTTTATAAGCACTCTCTTTTTGCCGCGTTGTTGACACACATTGCGTGGGTGATGTGGCACTTAGGAAAAGACTTCAGCCCCGTTCCTTTCCAAAATTTGGCGGCTGTTCAGTGTGCCCCAGAAACCAAAGCTACGCAGTGTGTTCAGTAACAGCCAGCCCTAAAGCAGCCGATCACACCGACTGCTGCCTTTTGATGAAGCACAGGCGGCGAACGACTTTGGAGCTCTCTCATTGCTCATCTTGTGCTTTTGGAAGCGAATTGCCTATCAAAAGCTTACAAGCGATAGCGAGTTTGGCTCAACTATTGCGCCATGTACAAGGAATGGAAGATTGAAGAGGAGGAGGAGGAGGAGGGTGACCAGATCGACGACGATATCGACCTGCTCTATAGCAAGCGCAGGACGCTCCTACAGCGCAGAAATGATCCGCACGGCTACAACGCGGCCGCTCAACAGGGCAAGAAAGCAGGGCGGATTCGCAACCCAGCACAGAAATTGCCTGCCAAGCGCCTGGACGAGCTGCTTGAAGATCTATTCGAAGCAGAGGATTCAATACCCAGCATCGACGAGATTCGAGCTCTGGAGCGATCAGAAGGCAGGGCTTGGTCGAATACGTTCTTTGAGCTGGTAGATGACACCAAGGTGGTCCTCAAGGAGCAAGAGGTTGTCCAGCTGCTAAAACTCATCCGCGCCGCGAACCAGGACTTCAAAGAGTTTGCTCTTTCGGAGGTGCTCGACAAGGCGGCTCTGGAGAAGATGTACCCGCCTCCACGCCAGCTGTACGAGATACAGCACGAAAGCCTGCTTCGCCTGCTAAGAATCCTTGAGCGTACAACCACAGCTTCAGATGGAGTGCAACCAGTCGCAACGAACAGGTCAATTGTTGCCAAGAGCGCGGCAAGCAGCAAGAAGAACAATTGCAAGAAGCGCAAGAGAGGCAGTCCGTCCAAAAGCTCGAAGGAGATGCAGGAGGATTACGGTCTTAGCGAAGATCTCGAAGCGACTGATGCAGTCATGCGCGATGTATCTGCAGACTCTGGGTTGCATGTCGAGACGACAGCCAGCGTTGGCGAGGCGAACAGTGACGTGATCACGAATATCGCGAAAGACCGGGCAGCATACATTCAGCATTGCAGCATCCTATCGCGCGGCTGCCTAGGGGCTGAATGCACTTTTGCGCTTATGAGCGGTCGCAACCCGCCCAAGTCACTGTTATCCGAAGACGCAATCCAAGCTGCCTTGGAGCCGCTCAAGATCTGCGTGCAGTCCATCATCACCCACTACATCGAGGCCTCCCCTGAGGCGACCCTTCCTGCTGCTGGCTCGATCGAGCATTTCTTCACCCAGCTCATCCGTGATGTGACGCCGCGCAAAGCCACAAGAAAGAAAGGAAGCAAGGACTCTGCTGCTGCTCTTGCCGACTCTGCCGCGACACTGGATGCTGTCGCGTTCACGAGCGCCTCGCAGTGCATTGATGCTACTAAGCAAGTTTTCGACGTGACACACTCGGCTCTGCTTGCTGTGCAGCGGCTTTGCATTTCGGACACTGTCCCACTTTCGGACGCGGTCGCCATCACGCTTGTCTACCTCACCCTCAAACCTTTCTTCATGGCGGAGTCTGATCATGGAGGTGCAAGTGTAATGGCAAACACAAGCACGAGCACAAGCGCAAGCACATGCACAGGCTCCACCACAGGTAGCAATAGCAAATCCAAGGCAGTCGCGAGCGCATACAGCCAGCTGGATGCGATTGGCGGGGCGTCCGCGCCAGGCAAGCTCCGCAGACCTTGTCTGAGCATTCTTTGCTTTATCTTTGGCAAGCATGCTCAACAGCGTACATGGATCGTCGAGGAGATTCTGTCGAGCTTGATCAAATTGCCGGATATGAAAAAGGGCCGGAAGCAGTATCGTCTCTCCACAGGCGCCTTGGTCCATCCTATCAATGCTCTGCTGCTGCAACTCATTCAGAGCGCGGCAGACGTGTCCTTGTCTCCTTCTTCAGCCATACTGGGTCTCGGCACGTCTGCGCGTGATATCGAGATGAGCGATGATGACTTGGGCGGCGTCAGCGGGGGAGAAAGCGAGGGCAGCGCCTCACACATCAGCTTCTCTCTTGAAGGATGCATATCGGCTTCCCAGGCTGTGACGGCATACCTGGTACACAAGTGAGCGAGCAGTCGATTACATCTCTGACCTTTTTGCATCCTGACATGTCATTCCCCTGGCACAAATAGGCTTCAAAATCATGGCAAGGTTGTCAAGTCGTCCTCAGATATGAGCTATGTCAGCATTATCGAGAATCTCATCGTCGATCTAGTCTCTATGCTCTTCTCGATCGACTGGCCTGCAGCTGCTCTACTCTTGACTCGCCTCTCCGCTGCATTTGCAGCCCTTTTGGAGGATAAGGCGAGCGCAGATGCCAAAGGCGTGGCCATTGACCAGCTCGGTCTCGTCGCTGCCGCTCTGCGTCGTGCGCAGCTCATCATGGTCGACCATTCGTTGCCGCTCTCGCGTCTCGGAGTCCACACCAACGCGGACGATCTGAACAAGATTGTCGAAGCATACGTAGAAACCATTCAGCATCTCGATCGGCAACAGGGTGGCGACGTTGTCGCTATCGAAGCCGCAACGAATTACTGGCAGGCTCAAGGGCTTGGCGATCTTTCTGCGCTGCTCAGTCACTTTGAGGAGAGGGGCGGCGCTGGTAGTGATGATGCCGAATCAACTTCCGCGATTACCCGGCTGCGAGACGCAGCGCGGACTGGCAAAGAAAAAATCAGCCGGCTGTACGGAGCCCAGCAGCAGCGTCAGCACCAGCTTGTGACGGCCTCTGAAGTCAAATCCGAGTTCGAGAACGACACTCCAATCACAAGACTCACGGAGATGTTGACACTGACAAGCATGAGCTTCGTGTCCTTCGAATTCGTCAAGAAACGCCTACTAAAATCTGTAGACGAGCAAGCGGTAGGCAATCGTGCCAAAGCACTCAGAGCAATCGGCGCCATCAGCATCGTTGATGCTGACTTGCTCGAAGACGAACAGATCTGCGGCATGGTCGAGACGCGGCTGGCGGATAGTAGTCCCGGTGTGCGCGACACAGCCGTCAATCTGCTGGGGAAATATCTCTTGCGCAAGCAGGATCGGATCTCTCATCATTTCCGTCAGCTGCTGAATCGCCTACATGACTCAAGCTTGGCCGTTCGCAAACGTGTCACCAAGCTGCTCACCGGGTTTTACGACGTGCTCGAAGACGATGACCTTCGCGTTGAGCTTTGCGTACGAATCGTGCGTTGCGTTCTCGATGAAGATTCTGGACTCCAACAGCTTGCGCTCAATGCCATTGGCCAAATCTGGTTTGGCCAGGCGTTGATACAGGATGGCGACGTCAAGCCGCCAGCTGCAACACCGCCTGAACACACCAATGTGCTCGCTCGGATCAAGTTCGATAATTCAAAGTCGTCGCGCTTGAGCCGTGCACCGAGCTCCTCTGGTGCCTCGGAGAGCGAAGCAGGCGTAGATGACCTTGCAAAGCATGCTGTCATTATCACAAGGGTATGCGGTCAGCTAAGAGAGCGTCCATCCCCGCTTGAGGAGGTCTTCAAGCGCATCGGCCAGAGCTCGACCGATCCAGGTCTTGGGCCCAGCGTCCATCGGAAATTCAAAGGCTTGCTCGAACGCCTGATCAACAGCCTCGTCACAGAGGAGCCTCAACAGCCTGAAGCTTTGTTCAACTGCATCAAGGCAATACATACCATTGTTTCTACGCACCCAACCACATTGTCCGTATCCAAGACGAAAGCGCTGCTGCCGTACCTCAAGAGCTCGCAGACAGTGAGTACACTTTCGTGCATATTGCGAACCTTACTGATGCGAGAGAATTGCTCTTTCCAGCCAGAGGAGTTACAGATCATGGAGTTGCTTCTGAGGATATTCCATGCGAGGCTCCCGACTCTACCACGGAGCGCGTTGATCTTCGCGGAGCAGCTGCAAAGGACGCTCATCTCGATGGTCAGCAAGCCACCCGCAGTTTCGCCAACGTCGCCGCTCATGCAAGAACTCATCGCGTGCTTCTGCACGACCATTAAAGTCTTAACCCATGATTATAAGATCCTGGTCCGCACACTTGAAGCTTGCGCGAGTGAGTGAATATCTCGTGCAATAGATACGGACTGCACCGACTCACCTTCCTTGCCCCATTGTAGGCCGCACTAGCAGAACACTATCGCGTGCGATGTCAGAAATGGATTACAAGCCAGACCGTTCTGCCGCTCTTGTCATCGCGATGACAACCCTGCTGTGCGAGAATGCCGACTATGACAAGATGCGTGCAGAAGTTCCCGAACTGCGCGTCGACCTCGATAGATTCAGCAAAGGGTCTATCTTGGACTCTGTTTACAGCATGCTTCTGCAGCTGTACGAAGCGAAGTTTGAGGGATGGCAGCTGATTGCTCTCCAGAATCTCGGCATGCTTCTGCGAAGCTATGCCCATCTCTGGACCCTGCCGAGCACGGTCGCCCTCATGGACGCCGTCTTCGCCGGAGATAATGCGAGGAAAAAGGAACTTTTGTTGCGCATCATGTCCGAGTACCTGACTCGAGAGGACGAGCGCAAGGCTGCTGAGTTACGAGCGTTCTCGGAACAGGTTGCACGCTCCGCCCGAAAAGGCGTGGATATGAGCCAGCTTGTTGGCAATACGGAAGCCTTTGCAGACTCGAGGTAAGTGCAAACAGATCGTGGTCCATCTCATGCCTACTGGTTTCTGACGAGATACTTCTCTTAGTGTATCGACTCAACTTACTCAGCATTACCTTCGGCCGGTCCTCCGTGGAGCTTTAAGCGTTGACTTGCCAGTGACGCAACGTATTTCGCTTGACATTCTCAAACACACAGTCATGCGCGGCCTTTCACACCCACTTCAATGTCTTCCGGCGTTGATCTCGCTAGAGACGTCAGATGATCCTCGCATCAGCGCCAAAGCGCTGCACATGCACAGCCATCTCGCATCCAAGCATGGGTCCATTCTTGCCGTACGATATCTAGATCATGCTCGAGCAGCCTTCGATTTCCAACGGAGTCAACATCCGCAATACAGCGCATTGCGCGGTTATCGAGACCCAGAGGATCCGCGAGCCCTTCTGCAGCACTGGTACAACCTGATTCGCGATCGACAGCAGCCCCGATTGGATTTCATCAAAGGGATGGTCAAAGCTTTTGACGTGGATGCCAGTAGCGATGTCAAGGCCATGGACGTCCTGTTTATACGCTTTCTCGCTGACAATTTAGCGACTTTGGAGTACAAAGGACAGCAAGAGGTGCTCCTGGCTATCCACGAGCTTAAGATTATTCTCTCCGTTGGAGGGATGCAGGCTTTGTTCACGGCACAGCGCGTGGTCCAGGAGGGTCAGTCTTCCGCCACACCAGCGGCTTCCCCTTCTAAACGCAGGCGTCAGGTTTCCGAACCCAAGGTGAGCCGTTTGGGGGTACCATCATTGCAGCACAGTCACTGAAATCGTGCCGATCTGCAGACACCATCTACCGTGGCTGGCTCCTTTGATGACAGCCCGGGGAAGATTTCGCAAGGCTTCGCTGAGGACTCAGAGACAGCCGATGATGCTTCACAGTCTTCGGAGCCAAGCATAGTTGGCATCCCACGGGTATGCTTGATAATGGCTACTGCTTTGGCATTACGAAACCATCTCAAGTGGCTCTACAACATGCCAGAAAGGTGAGAGCGGGGAAATGTATTGCACCGAGACCTAAAGCCTAATCAACTCACATATCTATATCCTTCGCTCTAGCAAATGCCTCAAGTTCGTCCCTGGCAAGAAGAACAGCGCTGGCGGTGAAAAGCCAGCAGTGCAGCGTCTGATGACAGATCGGTCTTGGGTTTCCCTAGACCTGAGCGAGTTACCACACGCTTTCGAGGAGGAATTGAACGATAAGCAGAGCCTCGAAATCATGGAGTCCTATCTCGTGAGTCTTCCCGGATCTCTAGTATGGTCGGATAATAAAGTTGCTGACACAACTTCCACAGGACATCATGGCGAATGAAGGGACACAGATCGAACCAACCGATGTGCCGGACATCGACTGAATGATTTCTGATCATCATCAAAAAGGAGCATTCCACTTTAGTCTTTCTTATTATGACTGCATACGCAAGCAAACAACACATCATTGCTACCCATGAACTCACAAAAAGCCAGCATCATGCGTTCTTCCGAAGAACTCATAGTATACGTTGTAATTCAAGCATCAATCGAGCAAATATAACAGTCGCAGAGAATGCAAGTTAAATGGATTTCATAAGGGAGGTGTAAATCAAGGGTGAAGCTTCCAGAATACACCTGATGCCGTAGCGCCCGCCACGATCTCTTCTTCTACGGTGACGGAGTGCTTGTTCGCCTTCTCTCTCCCGAGGCTGGAGCGAGTATCAACCTTTGTGCGCGAAGTCAGCTGCAAGCGATTGTGCTGTGGGAGTGCAGATCGCCAGGCGAAATTTCGTTAGCGGGCGTTAGAGGACCACTGATGCCACAATGGCCGAGTTGCGACACTCACAGGCATGTGCATCAAAGCGCCGCTATTGGTATCTACCTCCCTATCCTTTTGCGTCTCCTTGTCATAACCATTCCTCTCCGACGATGGATCGTCCTCTGGGTCTTCAGACGCATCTGACGGTACGTCCCCGATCGCCTTGGTTAGCGGGAGTAGGGGTTTGAGGCACTGCGGGACAGAGAGGTTGGCACGCTTGCCATTGCCGAGTTGGAAAGCAGCATTGTGGCCTTTGGGAACGGCATGGGCGGTCCAAAGAAAGAGATGAGAGAAAATTCCATTAGCCATACCTCCAGAGAGAATCAATGGAGTGCAGCGCACACACCCCACACCATCACGTCGCGGCCAAAGGCGACGTGTCCACCAGGGTCGGCCGTGTCGAGCACAAGCGTCACATGCCCGGGTCGGCCGACGGATAAGCTGTAGATGTTGACTGGATGGGTCTTGCCCGTGATCTCCGAGTCTGGCAAAAGAAAGAGCATGGCCGAAAGGGGGGAGGGGTTGATTGTCAAAATGCCCATTCTTTCAAGGAATGGGGTCGTCTAGGCGTGATCAGAGTACAACTCCAAACTCACACTCCATCAAGCCACTAACAGCCTTGACGCGCACGGGTGAAGCAGCGACCTGGCTCCACATTGCGTTGCCGAGTGTGCCCCACTGGCCTTTACCAGCGGCGAGCACGTCGATCTTGAAGCCATCGCCGGTGCCTCTGGTTCCGATGCTGGTCGCGTCCCTCCTGCTGGTAATGAAGAAGCTGTTGTCAGCGCCGGCCTTGATGCCGATACAGCTGACGTCCCTGGACGAGTTGTTGAAGCAGCGGCTCAGCACGACTTCCGTCGGGACCGGTACGCTCTCCATGACGACCTGGCTACCTAAGCCGCACTGTCCGTGCGTGTGGCGCCCCCATGCCAGCACGCGGCCCTCGCTGGTGCGCGCGAGCGAGTGCTCGTTGCCGACGCTGATTTGATCGATGACAATACCGCGCAGCGAGGGGATCTCGTGCAGCGTCGTGCAATATCGGATACTGCTCGGCGGTTCGGTGACGGCAAGCGCGAGCTCGCGCTCGCGCCGCTCGACTTCCTCCTGCACCGCCTTTCGCATCGCAGCCGACGCGTCCGGAGGCAGGCGCGACAGAGGGTGCGTTGAGGGCGAAAAGGGCAGCTTCTGCGATTTCAATGATTCTTTGCCATTTCCCGCCACCTGCGGAGGCAGCGCCCAGTCTGGCAGCAAGTTGACGAGAGTCAGCTTGCTTTCGTTCTCATAAAATTTATCTAAGCGGAAGATGCGCGGCTCTAGCGTCGCTTCTTGGGCACTCTGCTTGACCGCCGTGCTACCAGGAGCAGATGGTGAGTTGAGCCAGACGCGCTTAGTGCCGAGCTGGCCGTAATCGTTGGCGCGGGGGCCGATCGGACAGCTGAATGTGCGGCCCTTGTTGGTTAGCGCAACCAAGTGGTATAGCCCTGCATCGATATCTACGACCTTTTCACCGCGAGCAAGCTTGGCATTCGCAGTGGCTTGCAGCCTTGCGTAATCTACTGTGCGCGAAGCGAAGAGACCAAAGAAGGTGAATGGGTTCCAGGACCAATCAGCTGGTTTCCCCGGCTGTTGAAGCACTTGCAACGCGGACAGGACGAAGACTTCGCCTTTTTTGCTCAGCGCGTAAACCTTGTTCTCGCTACCGACAACCTTAACGAGGTTCTTTCCTTTGAGCGTCTTGACCGGGGCCTTTGCCTGCGCGGCTTCGCACCCTAGCGGTGTGAGCTCATTGGCACGAATCCTGCCTCTCCGGCGCCCAAGCGGGACCTCCTCTATGTCTCCGGAGCTGTCGCTGCTCTTGCTGGTGCGCGAAGCGGCGTCAAAGAACCCGAGCCCCCACTGGAGCAGGTCACCATCCGCATCGATTGCAGCTGCGTGCTTCTCCTCGAGCAAGACGTGCCGCAAGGCCATGCCGTCAAAGTAGGGGATCGAGCGCGGGGAGCGCACGAAGGTCATGAGTGGGGCATCCGGCGCGACGACGTTGTACCTGTTGGAGCCCCACAAGTACAGACCCTGCGTTTGTGCGCGGCGGCGCATCTGCTCTTCTTGTGTCAGATCGCCAGTGACTGGTGTAATGGACCTGCCTTGCAAATTCGCCAATAGCTCGCCTCCAGGCGGCGGTTTAAATGTTGGAGAATCAAGTAAAAGCGGCGAGCTGATATTCGAGTAGATGTGATAGCCGATCAGCGTAACAGACAGGCCGATCAGAAGGGGCTGTATTCGAACTGTCAAAGGCAAAGCGCGAGCTCGAGATCGCTGTTGCTGCTGCTGCTGCTCTTGGCGCCACTGGCGTGGCGTCTTGAACGGCCGTGGCTGCGAATGCGAATCGTCATGGAAAGCCCGACGCAAATGTACTTGTGACCTTGAAATCTGTGCGACGGCAGGCCAACGTCCACTATTGCTCAAGCACGTCAGGAGCCGGCCATCCACGGGATATATGGATGTTCCACGGAAAGTTACAGTGGCTAGGCGGGAGCTGCCGCCGCGAATAACGACACGAGCCATTTTGGTTGCCTTCGCCTCGAATGGTGTCAGACCTTTGTCCGAATTGGAGTAGGTATTGGCGTCCAAAGAGGGCTTACAGTGCGTGCACAAGGTACGGTGACTGAGCTTCTTCGAGTGGCCCGGCGAGAAGCTGCGAATAGATCTTAAAACCTTTGGCGTCAAGTATGCCAATGCGCCGTGCAATATGATGGCGTCCATGCTGATCTCGACTTCCACTGACCTCATCAGCAGCGACTGTTCCGAGTCCCGTGTTCCAATTCCACACTGAATTATCCGGCATGTCGCATGAGGAACAGCCATGTTTCTGCAACAATTCGGGGGTTTCTTCCTTGAATAACCCTATTTATCAGGCTAACTTCTACAATGCCTGGAGTCAACAGTCAACCAAACATTCCAACACTGGCAGTGGCTGATCGCTGACGCTGCATCCTAAACTCCTGATTCCCTGTTCCTTACTCGATCCTCTCGGACCTGAATGCGATTGATGACATCAGTCCATCGGGCAGCTTGCAAAATGTATTTTTCTAGCGCAGGTGTGAGCGTGGGAACTTGAGAGACGGTGCTCTCTGATCGAGTCATGTGCTAGATCTGGGAAGGGTGCCGAATGGCCAGTGGTGCTGTTCTCGCGCCTGCATCGTTGTGGGTCTTCTTGCTCAACGATTTGAACGTACATTGTCTCGTTGGAAGCGGTAGTTGGAGCTGCTCGCACATAGTCAACGCAACTTATATGCGACAGCTTCATCTTCCCATCGCTTTATCAACGGGTAACCCATTCCCGAGTTTTCATCGCAAGCAGAGTCCAAACGAAGGAAGCCAGTGTACATGATGGCGTAGCTGCCTTGTTCACCAAATTGGCATCAAACCTGATCAAACTGGCGGCTTGGTGCAAGGGGGTTACAGAATGGACCACTTCACAAGTAACCTCGGAATAGATTATATCGTTCCACTATGCAATCCGTAAGCTTCTACCGTGCGCCAGTGTCGTCCGATGCGTGACGCTTTTGCATCTTCCATCTGTGCCGATCGTTCAGGAGGGAAGAGTTGTCAGTACCCATCCACGCACTCAACAGAGTGAGATGCCAGCTATCTAAGAGACGTACATGATCGGTCTCCAGGGCGGACTTTCGCTGCATTTGGGTATTAGCGCTCGCTCTTGTTCCCACGCGGCCATTGCCGAGGTGGCATCGACCTCTTGCGCAAAGTTGTTCAGTAAAAACACAGAATCAGCTCCTTCCCGGGCTGGTAACAAAACGGGCGCCGACACACCTTCAAAGAAGCGATCACAAGACCTAGCACGACGATATAAAAGTCGAGCAAGAGGTCCGAAATCGCTTCGGCGCCAAACGATGGGTCTACCATCGGAACGTACGTGGCGAAGCTGTCACCCTGTTCGTGTTCTTCCGGTCGGAAGGGAGGCGTGGTGAGTTCCCAGTTGAGAGCTTCATCTTTCCAAGACCGTCTGGTTGGAAATCATTTAGAGGGGGGGTACATTTGAGTGAGTTGCGATTGCTCCTCCTGATGCAACCTTCGCACATTTTCAGGACGACAATACGCACAATCGCTCGAGGAAGACTGATGCCTCGCTCTCGCGTCTCGTTGTGATCGAGTCAGACCTCTCCCTTTCCACCTCAACACCACCCGGCAAAGGTTGAAAGAGTGAGCTCTCAAGGATCTCCTCGCACAGCATGGCCAAAAGCGCCGAGTACTTCCCATCGCGAAACGTTTGCCGTACCTGCCCTTCGCCGTGAAGGTGTTCGTCCATGCAATTTTCTCCTGGGAACAGGCCTGGCGGACCTGCATGCATGTGCTGACAACCAAGGAGAGACAGAAATCGAAGCGGTGAAGTGTCAGGAAAGGATGTGTAAGCATTAGTGTAGATGCTCACGCGCACCTAATGGCTTTAGAAGCTGGCCCAATGTAATATCCGAGCGAATGTCCTTCCAAAATCGGTACGCGACGAGCTCTACGAGGTGAAAGCTGTAGTTGAGACAGCGCAGTCAACGCCAAAGTCAGAATTTAGAACGTTTAGCCAAGGTAATGATCAGAAAAAGGCCATTCACTGAAACAACCGGCGCCATGACTGGTTCATTGTTCCCGCCGCTTGCTCCGTGATCCCACTGCTGCTTGGCAGTGGTGCACCTGCTCCGTTTTGCGCTGCCACTAGTAGCAGCTTCCTGACGACCTTGGACATATGTACGTAAGCTGAATGCGGGCGCATCGCATCTTCAAGCAGCGTCATGGCCTGGAGAGCATCGAGCGTCAGTTCGTCCCGCCCGAACAGACCGCCCTCGCGCGGTTGCAAGAGGCGCCAGGCGAGCTTCATGGCGCCGAAGCCGTCCTCCCACAAGCTGATGCTCGTGCGCGTCTTGCTCACGCCCGCGCTCAGCACGAGCGGGCCGATGTACTGCGCACTGGCGACGAGCGCCACAAGAAGCATTGCGGCGCGCTGGTGCGTCTGCACACGCGTCCATCCGTGGTGCGCCTCGGTGCCGTTGAGGATGACCTCCATGTGCTCGACGATCTGCCTGCGCCGGAGCAGCGGGGAGGTGAGGCGCATGCACAGGTCGACCTCGATAAGATGCGCCGCAGCCAGGTTAGTGAGGAGCACACGCGCGTGCTGCAGGAGCGGTGTGTAATCGCCTCCTGATAAACTGCAGCCAGATGGCCACAGGCTGAGACAGTCGTCGCGCTCGAGCTCCGCCCACGGCGGAGAGAACAGTTGGCCCGATGCGGAGAGCGAGTACCATGGTTGCGCAAAGAGCAGCAACGAATTGAGGCAGCAGTCGGTGGCGGGGACAACCTGAATGAGGACGTCCTGGTCCAGCAGGATGACATGTGGTTTCCGCGAATTCGCTCTAGGAACCGTGTCGCCCAGCGCCAGTGGCTGGGTTTTCGAGCGGAGAGGCATGTGGAAGCCTGGCGAGAAGGGATCATCGTCCTGGAGGACCGCGTGGTCGCCACCTTGCAGTGCCAGGACTCCCTCTGGCTTAGCAGGAAAGCGTCGCAGGACGTAAGGCACGCGCGAGGCGGGTGCATAGTCCGTCTGCTGCGTCGTCGTCTCGAGGCTTTCGAGGAGGTTGAGAACCTTCTTGTGGTACCTATCGAAGATCAGATCGCGCGTGTCGTGAGGCAGCAAGCGCATCACTCCATTCGCAGTGAATATTCTGCTGTCGTCCTCGTTCAGGTTTACCTGTTGTGTGTCGTATAGCGAACCATTCGCGTAAGTGCAAGTGCGGGTCTTTGCTCAGCGGGCCTGAGGAAAGAAGGTGATCTGTCAAGAAGAGGCCACCGTCCGAGAGTGCATCACGGTCTGGATGGACACCATGATTTGCCGTTTGGTATTGCCTTGGGACGGTACACAAGCTGTGTAGACTGGAAGAGGTGCTGGGGCGCTCATCCCATCCTAGCCATGCTGGTCATCGATTGAACTCTCCCGTGTGACACCTGATCGATCCGTAGCATGGCCGTCGCGCACAGTGTTCTCCAGCTGCGCAGTGTTTTGATGTCTCAAACGCTTCCTTACGGTTGAATAAGCCGGTTTGACGTCCAAACCAGCCAGCTTGAGCGCGCGTCTCTCCTCCTGGCCCATCGGCCCTGGGCGCAGCTTGATGTAGTTGTAGCTGCACTCGATGCCTGCTGCGAAGCAACGTGTGCACGGCTGGCCCATGCTACAGTGCTTGCGTTTCTTTCGGCACAAGTCGCACGGCTTGACGGCAGCAGGAAAGTTGGGGCGAGACGCGGCTGTCGAGGTGGACGCGGAAAGAGCTGCAGCGGCAGCAGGCCGTCGATAGAGGAACTTGATCTGGTCGGTGAGGGCATCGGGATCGGTGTTGAAGGCGCACTTCACGGCATCCGCAGGAGACAATGTCGGCGGGGCGACTTTACCACAGAAAGACGAGACCTTGGGGATCAGCGAGCAGAAGGGTGAGGTGAAAGATAGGGCCAATCGGAGATGAGGGGATGAGCAGCTATTGCAAGCAACCAGATTCTCTGCTCCAAACCGAGGGATGGACGGAGATTTCGCTACTTAATTGAGTTGCCTGTTCGATTCATTTCCGTTTATACATCGTGAATGGTTACTTGTCATGACGATCATGATCAACCCTCTCGCTCCTTAACTAGTGAAGTCACCTTGTCCCATAGTAGATAGGATCTAGAAGGACGGCCAGGAACCACGTGACTCGCACCCCACCGTTTCAAGTCGCGCGATATTCCGTGAATTCCGGAGATGGGTGGCGCATGGATGGGCGCAAGCGCTGTCGCCGAATGCTGAGACCGACCTTCAATTATGGATACTTGTCTCAGCTCGCATGTGTAGTGTCCAACGTCATTTGTCATTGGCAACATGCACGAACTTCACACCTCACATCCACATGTGACTATAGAAAGCTGGTAGGCAACAGTCAAGTCACCGATAATCATGCGGCGATGCAAGTATATACCAACGCAACGATTTGGCATCTTCGCTCGCTTGATGTGATAAATATTAGAGCATATTGTATGCTGTAAGGGCAAACACATGACGCAGGCAGTCCAATAGTCGCGACACCCAATTTTCGGTGCTAGTTCCTTATGAAGATGAAGACGAAGCATTGTTTTCCTCGTATGCCGGCAATCTACTCCTCTGGTGCCAAGCCGCTCTCCTTGCTCCAAGCGCCCTTGGCCCAGTCCCCTAGTTTTCCATTGTTGCTGTCGCAGAGACGGCACAACCGGCAAGAGCTAATGTCAATACATTGAGGCAGGCACGTGCTTTGAGACATTCGGGTGCAGGGTCAACTCACGTAGCGCCCATCCCAATTTTGGAAGCAGGTCGGTCCCAGCAGCGCTTGATCCAAGCTTTCACCGACTGTGGGATCTCTTCCTCGGGTACTACGAGCGGACCCCGGTAGCACCAGGTCCAGCCGTTCATGTCCGCCAGACTAAACTTGCCGCGCCCTTCCCCAACGAGGTAATCGCGGTCCTTCAATCTCGCGTCGAGGACAGAGTATAGACGCTGCGTCTCGGCCTTGTACCTGTTTATTGCGTACGGAATCTTTTCCGGTGCGGCGCGTGCAAAGTGGTTCGCTTGGCCCTGCATGGGCCCGATGCCACCGTGGACGAAGAACATCCATTGCATCACTTCAGATCTGTAGTTGTCCGCCTTGGGATCCGTGCTCGGCCAGCTGAACAGGTGGTCTGGATCATAGTGCTGCTCCAGGCTGCAGGAAAGTTCAGCACACAGATGGTGTCAGTGTCGGCTTGTATCGGCGTGGCAATCGCTCCAATTTCTGCTCAACCTCAAGGAACCTACTAGAGCAAGATCGCTGCCGTTTCAAACACGTTAAAGTCACCCCTGTTCGGGTCTGTGATGGCTGGGATGCGCCCATTTGGATTGATTTTCAGGTACCAATCTGCTTTATGCTCATTCACGCTCATGTCAATCTTGCGGTACTTGACATTGAAGCCTGTCTTGCTACCGTATGCTCGCTTCAGCTCCTCGGTAAAATTCGTAACTTTTTGGCCGTTCTAATAGGATTGCGAGCAAAAGGATGTCACGCATGGTCAAAGAGGAAGGAAGAGGTTATCGACGAGAAGAGACGCACAGGCGTGTCGACAGTGAAAACGACGAGAGGCCTGAAGTTTGATAGAGCCGACATGGTTGCGAATGGTCGTACCGATTGAGAAAGGTGCTGGGAACGAGAGGCGAGTCGGCTTTTTAACTTGGTGCTGCTCCTTCTGATCGTGGGCAGAAGCATCGATGAGAATGCTGTTTTGACGCTGCTGTGTCCAACGATGAGAGTAATATGTAGGTGGAGGAGGGGTTAGGAATATTCCACTTAATGTTGTAGTACTTTATAACAACGGCAAGTAGATCAACGCAACCGAGCACCGAGCACCCTGGGTAAGTCCGGGTACCTCGAAAATGACCGATGTCACTTTCGAACAGGGTCGTCGACTCATCGTCTGTCGTCAAAGCACATCAGTCGATCGCGTTCGGGTTCCGGAGTTTATTTTTCACGGAGGCTGCTTTCTGCTTGTTATCGCCGTCCAAGCAGGTGAACTAAATAATCCAGCTTTTGCGCGTAGGCTTCGGTGCAACCGTTACTCTGGGACTCCCCTTCCCACCCTCCTTGCTGGCCTGTGGAAGGTGGAACAAGCCGCGAGGCCTTCGAACGACCTCACCTCACCTTGTTCACTTATCATACTCACAGCATGGCTTCTCCCGGGAACACTTGCCATCTCTGCCTGTCCATGGACAAGTGTCGCTGTGGCAGGAAGACAAGGACCATCGATCGGAGACGCTCTTCCATAAGGCTGTGTTGCAACCATGCGCTCATCATCTCCACTCGCGCTACTCTTTTTCCTGGTATTCGCCACCCTGGGGGCAGCAGCTGGGAGCAATGTTCGCGACCTGACCAAGACCAAGGACTTTGATGCGACAATCGGCAAAGGCAAAGGCGCGCTGGTTGAATTCTTCGCACCTTGGTGAGTCGTAGTCCTAGTTTTCAAGTGCCGCGAAGCAGAACAAGTAGACAGCGCAAGGAGAGAACAGATGGGGGACTGAACTGCGCGTTTGCCGTTCTTGTTAGGTGCGGACACTGCAAGTCACTCGCGCCAACCTACGAAAAGCTTGCCGACGCATTTGCATCCTCGAACGAAGTCGTCATCGCCAAGGTTGACGCCGACTCGAACAAGGCCTTGGGAAAGCGCTACGGCATCCAAGGCTTCCCCACGCTCAAGTGGTTCCCGGGCTCTACCTCTGCGCCCGAGTCGGCCGAGGCGTACAGTGGTGGTAGGAGCTTGGATGATCTTGCCGCCTTTGTGACGCAAAAGACGGGCGTCAAGAGCAGCATAAAGCCTCCGCCGCCATCACCGCCTCCCGCAGCGGTGCAGTTGAATGCGGACAACTTTGATCGCATCGCACTCGACCCGACCAAGGACGTGCTTGTTGAATTCTATGCGCCATGGTGCGGTCACTGCAAGAATCTGGCGCCAATCTATGACAAGGTCGCCAAGGACTTTGAGAATGAAGATGATGTGCGTGCTCTCTCCCTCGCTGATACGGAAATGGCGAGGAAGCTAAAACACTATACTCTTCTCCACATCCTACACCTGTCTGTTGGTACAGGTTGTCGTCGCGCAATTCGACGCAGACCAAGCGAATCACAAGACCATCGGGGAAAAGTATCAGATCAGTAGTTACCCAACTCTACTCGTACGTGTTCGCTACTTGGTTTCCGGCTGTCGCGCCGTTCAGGGTTGACTTTCAACAACTCATTTTTTGCAGTTTTTCCCGCGCGCCTTGCCTGGCACGACGGACAAGTTCCCCCGTCCATGCAACGCTGGTCGTACCGAAGAAGCGCTGGTTGAGTACCTCAACTCGAACGCTGGCACCTTCCGCCAGGTAGGCGGTGGGATGCTGTCGAACCTCGCTGGCCGGTTGCCCGCGCTCGACGCCCTGGCTACCAAGTTTATGTCCGCTTTGCCCGGGAGCGCGGACCGTGAAGAGGTGCTGAAGCACGCGCAGCATTGGCGCGAGACGATGCAGAAGACCGTTGCGGACGGTGGAAATGTCTCGCACTCACCTGCGAAGGACGAAGCGGCGCGCTACTACCTGCGTGTGTTCGACAAGATCGCCGATAGCGCCGAGTATCTCGAGAAGGAGACAGCGCGGCTTACTTCGCTGCTGAAGAAGCATGCGGACGGCAAGGCGCAGCTCACCGGCAAGAAAGTTGACGAGATCACGCGCAAGGTCAACGTGCTCAACGCGTTCGGCGACGACAAACTCGCGGAACGGGTTAAGAAGGCTGAGGCGCGCGCGGCAGAGAAAGCGAAGAACAAAAACGCTGCAGCTGGCAAGAAGCACGATGACCTCTAGATGATAATAATCAGACCCGATGAGAAAGCAAAGTCAAATAGCAAGAGGCAAGAGGGTCGTCGGTTGCTTGCTGTACTGTTCTAGTGATGTATTGAAACAGGATGGTAATCAAACCCATGGCTTCACCGTGCCGAAAATCGCATGTATAAGGCCTGGTTGACTCACTGCGCACTCATGTTTGACACTTCCATATCTTGAAATGCATTTCTGTTTGCATGACTGTTTCACCCAGATTGGCCAGATGTGTGTGTGCAGTCATAGTGATGTTGGAAGTGACCGCAAGTTCAAATCTGCTAGATGATAAGGTTGGAGACGGTGATGTTTCACTGATTTTCTGCTGCAAGTGGGGAAATGTTAGTGTGGGAACGGGGCGGCGGATAACAAAAGCACATACCGCGGGGAGGCTAGCTATGCATCGCATTGCTTATCTTCTCTGCGTGTGCAACCTTACGCAACTCGTTGCTCAACTTACTCGACACACCTTGCAGCTTATCCGGAAGGCAGCAGCCCATTCTGATCTATGAACGCAGCACGGCTGTCGATCTGTGCTAAGGCTACCCTCGAAAGCAACGAGGGCCAAGCAGCTTTGCAAGAGCGAGCGCTGCTGATCTGCTGGAAAGCCCGTCGCGGTAGGTATTGAATGCGGCATTGCACGTCGCACGCCGTAGGAGAGAATCAGACAGCAAGCTGTATGCAAGTATAAGCCTCTACAACTGAAAATCTCATCGCCACGATGCATCTCCTACCTCGCGAGAGGGACAAGCTTCTGCTATACCAGGTGCATCGGAACCACTCTGAGCTGTGTGAACGCTGACGCCGGAGCTGACTTAACTGGGCTTCTCCCCTTTGACCGTGCCTTTGCAGGCCGGAAGTTTAGCACAACGGCGCCTGGCCTCCTGTACCCGCCTCAACGTTTCAGAAGCAACTGCGCTGATCGCTCACGTACTCGGCGAGCTGATCCGCACGGGCCAATTCTCCGTGTCAGATCTCATGTCTCTCGGCAAGTCATTCCTGGGGCATGCCCATGTGCAGCCGCACGTGCCGGCGCTGCTGCATGAAGTCATGGTGGAGGGAACATTCCAGGACGGAACTTTTCTCGTCACGGTTCACGACCCGATATGTACGCCTTGGGGGACGACATCAGGGGACGACGAGCAGGAGCACCTGCGCTTGGCGCTTTTCGGCAGTGGGCTCGCCGCGCCCAATCGGGTGGCGTTCGGCTGGGGCCAAGGCGAACCCGAGGTCCTTCACGGTGCTGAATTGCCTGGAGCGACTGTTGTTGCGAGGAGCAGTGTGCCGATAACCCTCTGCGCCGACCGCCCGCGCGTCAAGGTGTGTGTGACAAATACAGGTGACCGTCCTATCCAAGTGGGCTCGCATTACAATTTCCTCGAAGTCAACCCGGCGTTATCTTTCCCTCGCATGCTAGCGCTCGGAAAGAGGCTCGACATCCCTGCAGGGACTGCAGTGCGCTTCGAGCCAGGTGACGTGCGAAGCGTCACACTCGTCCAGGTCGGAGGCGACGGCGTGCTCAGCGGCGGCAATGGAATCGCGCAGGGCAGGATTGCTGACATAATGTTCGATGAGGCAAAGGTCAATCAAGTCAAGGGCCGTCTTAAAGCACTCGGATGCAAGGATGAGCCTTTGCCTTCATCCGAGGAGGCTCAGGACATCCAGCCCGCTTCACTCTCGCGTGAAGCGTACTGTGCGCTGTACGGTCCCACCGTCGGCGACCGCGTGCGCTTGGCGGATACGAGCCTTTGGATCGAGCTGGAGAAGGACTTTACGTCCTATGGCGATGAGTGCAAATTCGGAGGTGGAAAAGTGTTGCGGGACGGTATGGGTCAGGCATCAGGCAGGAGCGATGAGGAGACGCTCGACACTGTCGTCATCAACGCGCTTATCGTTGACTGGTGGGGAATCGTCAAGGTGCGTGCATGGTCGTACATACTCTATCTCTATATAAAGACTGATGACCAAAATCATACGCGATCATGGGGCGGGCGTATGCAGGCCGATATTGGTATCAAGCAAGGCACGATCGTCGGCATCGGAAAAGCCGGTAACCCGGATATCATGTCTGGTGTCACGCCGGGCATGGTCATTGGTAGCTGCACGGAGGTGATTGCGGGGGAGAAAATGATCCTGACGGCAGGTGCGATGGATGCACACGTGCATTACATCTGTCCCGACCTAGTCGAGGAAGCCCTCGCGTCCGGTATCACCACGTTGCTCGGGGGCGGCACGGGTCCCAGCGCGGGAACGAGCGCGACGACGTGCACGCCCGGACGTGACAATCTGCGCTTCATGTTGCGTGCGACGGATCACTATGCATTGAACTTTGGGTTCACGGGAAAAGGCAATGACAGTCAGGTCAAAGGGCTGCAGGATCAGATCAAAGCTGGGTGCTGCGGGTTGAAGATCCATGAGGATTGGGGCACCACACCTGCCGTTATCGATGCCTGCTTGACCGTTTGCGACGAGCTCGACGTCTCGTGCAACATTCATACCGATACCCTGAACGAGTCCTCTTTTGTCGAAGGCACAATTGATGCGTTCAAGGGGCGGACCATCCACACGTACCACTCGGAAGGCGCGGGTGGCGGCCATGCGCCAGACATCATCCGAGTGTGTGGCGAGCCGAATGTGCTGCCATCGTCCACGAACCCGACACGACCATACTCCAAGAATACCCTGGACGAGCACGTCGACATGCTCATGGTCTGCCACCACCTGTCCAAGGACATCGCTGAGGATGTGGCCTTTGCTGACTCGCGCATTCGCGCCGAGACGGTTTCCGCGGAGGACGTGCTGCAGGACAGCGGCGCGATCAGCATCATCAGCTCCGACAGTCAGGCGATGGGACGCATTGGCGAGGTCGTCGCACGTACGTGGAGGACAGCTGCGAAGATGCGCGACCTCACCGGTCCGCTCCAGGGTGGCAAAGGGGGCCCGGACGCGCAAGGCAAAGACAACGAAAGGGTCAAGCGATATGTGGCCAAGTACACGATCAACCCGTAAGTGCTTACTTACGACCGGAGCAAATCAGGCCTCTAACTGCCTTCTCTCCTCCTGACCAGGGCTATTGTGCATGGAATGTCGCATCTGATCGGTTCCGTCGAAGTGGGCAAACTTGCAGACTTGGTATTGTATAAGCCCGAGAATTTCGGAACGAAGCCGGAAGTCGTCATCAAAGGCGGCCAGATTGCATGGGCGCAAATGGGAGACGCCAATGCCTCGATCCCCACTGTGCAGCCTATCTACGGCAGGCCTATGTACGGCGCGCAACCGGGTGCTGCACCGTACAACAGCATTGTCTTTGTCAGCAAGGCTAGCTTGGAAAATGGTGAGCTTGCTTGCTTCCCCGTTCCGGAGAAATGCCTCATCACTGAGTGACGGACTATCCATCGTTCTTAGGCAACATCACAAGTTACAGCATTCAGAAACGAGCGGAGGCAGTAATTAAGTGTCGCGATATCAGCAAGCGCGACATGAAGCTGAACAATGCTCTTCCGAAAATCACCGTCGACCCAGAAACGTGAGTGCTTAGAGATGGCTCGCACGAATTGAGGCTTCTCAGAAGCTGACAGGGGAATGCGCTCCCTCCCCCCATGAAAGGTATGACGTACACGCCGACGGCCAGCTGTGCCAGGTACCGCCAGCCAACACATTACCCATGACGCAGGCTCACCACTTTTTCTGAAATACTCTCAAGCACTTGAATGGCCACGCGTACAATCGTGTATTATAGGGGCAAGTCAGAGCTGGACTTCCAACCGCTCAGAAGACTCGCCAACCAGAGAAAGAAGGGCAATTGTATTGGCATGATGAGCATTACTGCACATGCTCTTCGCCTGAGAGGATCGACTTTAAGCCTTCCGCGACCGACTGTTTGAACTGAGAGACGCAGCGCCCCACGAAGGACGACAAGTCAGCGTAACAGAATGATTATTGACGGAGAGCTGCTGGGTAGCTGGACATCACCTACTCACCGGTGCAGAGATCGCATCCTTATCGGCAAAGTAGGCCAGAAAGAGCTCAGAAGCGACACTCAACATGTTCTGCTTGCCTGCGGTGACATCAGATGGAGGGGGGTCGACGCGCCCGAGCAGCTTTCCTCCGTATTCCAGCGTTAGTGCCATCCGTGCGCCTTGCTGGGCTGCGCTACCCCTGCCCGCTCTCACGCTGGTCGCCGGCTCGGCCGGCGCAAAGACCAGGTCGAGCGCGGCGCCTTTCGGCAAGGATGCTTTGGGGAAAATTGACTTGAGGTGCTGGATCGAGGCGGAGAGATGCTCATCTACTTCTGCAGTCAAAAGTTGCGGTGACAATTTGCGTAGCACTTTCAGCCTCGCTTGCACCGCGCGCGTGAAGCCGTCTCGCAGATGAGCAAAGTCAGTCGATCGGACAGGGACTGAAGAGGCCAAAAGTTCGCATTGCATGAGCGACAACGATTCCGTCCAGCTTCGATGCCTCTTTGAGGGATCATCGTAATACGCACTGATCCGAATGACACACGGAACCCCTGCGTCCATCAACATTCGCATGAACTCCTCACCCTCGACACCGCCTCTCGCTTTGCCCTTGCTCTTGTCCAGCAACCTTCCCTGCTCAAAGTTCCTCCATAGGTCACCATCCTTGTGCAAAGCGCCCTTTTCCGACCATGCAGCCTCATCGACAAAAAGTGCGGCGACGTACACTCGTACGCGCAGAAAGGAGACGGTGCGCACACCCAGGCCAACCAGACGTAGCTTGCCCGTCGGCGTTGAGGCGAGGGCCACAGGCGGGGGCGAGAGGATCAGCGGCACGGGTGTGCCTGTCGCTGAATCTGTACAGAATGAACCATACAACTCTGTTGGAAGAGTCGAAGATGAGGAGGCAGTAGCATCGAGTGAGATGGGATGTTGCGCTTGCCACACGAGCGTGACGAGCAGCAGCGCTACCCCGCCAACGCCGGAGGCAAACAGTGGTCCGCGCCCAGATCTGCTCGTGGCAGTCTGTTTAATCGTTTGCGAGGAGCTGCCACAGGAGGACCACTGCCTCGAACTAGCATTAGGGCCTCTCAAGCTTGACGCGAGTGATGCCCGCAGACGAGACGGCAATGCGGCATGTGGAGCCAGTGAGGGGGCGGCCGTCGACAACTCTCGGATCAGAGGCTGCAAAAATGAACGGTTGCCTTGCCGCAGCATGGTAGCGTGTGTTCTAGATGATTGCTCGATCTGGCCCTTGAATGAACACTCTGCGTGCCGGAGAGGAGTACAAGACCTTTCAGGTGATGCGGACGACCTGATGAGTGGTGAACTTAGTATTTTCACCTATAGCGAGCGCGCCTCCTGTTCCCGCGAGTGAGAGCACCCACGTGCAGGCCAGCAGTGTACGCTCAGTGATTTGCGACAGGGTGGCCTTCCGCAAAGAATAGCTAACTAATACTCAACAGAGGCACAAATCACACAAGCTGATCGCCCCAACTGCTGTGCTCTTGTCTTCCTTCACTCTCATATTTGGCAGGCGTTTCTGGCTGTGATGCACCGGCACGGAAAGACGCCGCTCCATCTGCCATGTACCCAAGTGACAGCGGACGTATTTCCCTCCTTTCAAATTTCTGGTAAACACCCTACCCCTTGTCTCTTTCGTCGTTGGCAGGCGTTTCCAGCGAAACGCTCTGCCGTAGTTGGCTCCATTTGTGCCAAAGGCAAAGTTCACAAACCGATTTTTCCACCACCTCATAGTCTACCGAGCCCGGGAAGCAGCAACGCGGTCCCTTTGTCAATGTCGTGTCCTGGCAGGCATCTGCGGCTACGGAGCACCTTTAAAGAGGGTCACTCTCCAAGTGCCACCAAGCAAAGCGGCAAGCAGTTAATTTCCATCTTTTGCAAACAAAAAAGTGAAAGCATTGAGATGATACCCTTGTATTATATTTTTCTTGTTTGGCTTGGAGGTTGCCGACAAGTGTACACTCGGAAGAATCATGGCCATCACTCCCATCACCCGTCTGCTAAAGGCGAAATTGACAAGCAATCTTCCCCCTTGAGAGATTTGCAGAGCCATGTTGCTCTTTCACCCTTTTTTGCTTTTGGCAGGGACTTTAAATTTTTGATGAATTTGGGAGGGGGGTTATGAGGGGAGGAGGAAACGAAAACATGTATGATATCAGGGGCACCACAAATACGATCACAGACAGAATCTGTCCTTCCACTGTTTTGCCACGTACACTCCCGGGTTCTCCGGGAACACGTGGGTATATACTGGGATTTATGTTGATTGCATGCTTATACATGGAATAAGCATTTGGGCTCCGATCGGTCACACAAACGTCGTGTAACCCCTTCCGAAATTTCTCGTATATTACAACATCTGCGGTCTTTAAAAATACATTTCGTTTAGTGCTCAAAATTGAACAACGAATCGGTATACATTCTGTAACACCTTATAAGCTCGCTCACGAGGAGTCGATGGCCCTGAAGGATGAAGATCAGTTCCAGCTAGCTTTACAGAACACAATCACATTGGCAGGACACACAGGGTATGCAGAATGGTAAAAGCCGGGAAGCTCAAACGTGAGTGTGAATGTCAGGCGTCACAGGCAGCCCTCGGTCCTGTCCCACATCTCGAGCGCAGATGCTGATAGCAATGTTTGTTAGGTTCGGAGAGGAGGCAGCCAGAACCACAAATTGAAGTTGGAGTTCCAAAGGGTGAGGCGAATGCAATCGCAATGTTTGCATCAGAACAGTCAAGGCATCTAACCCGTTTCTGTCGAATGTGCCCATTTGAAAACGTCCCTGTGGCGAAGCCGACAGCACGGGCGCACACTCGCAGCATCATGCGCCTCCTCCTCCGCCAAGATCATCGACTAAAAAAGGTGCAGGAGGGCGCCAACGCGGCTCGTTATCGTCCGCAAAGGCGCGCGCGAAAAGGGAGAAAGCTCTTGAGCGAGAAGAGAAGCTTGAGGTCAAAAAGATTCACAAAGCGCTCAGAGAGGACAAAGTCAAGGCTGCCAAAAGTTGAGGCTGTATTCATAAAGCGGATTTGTTGTTCGAGCGATACAACTTGCAGTGTGGTATATCATTTGTATTTGCATGACCGTGTTGGTGCCCCTAGAATGCAAGTAAACATGCCTCGATGCTTTCCCACAGCCATCTCTCAAGTCGCAGCCATTGCCGACCATGAAGGCTCACACGCGATGGGCTCGAAGACCTCGAACAAGAGCCGCTGGTAGATAATAAGCGGATAAAGTGGTTGCCTGGGAGCAGCGATCACAGTCGCAACATAGCCATCGTGGTCACTGATGCTTCGCACGGTGAATGCGTCGCCTGAAACATGGTGGACATATGTACCCAACGCATCGGTGATGCGAACCTTCCCAAGTATGCAAGAGCTCCATGCGCGGGATAAGCATCATGGGGTCATGCGCACGGTCGCACAATTCCATCGTCCCAGTCGCGCTAGCGTGCAGACCGTGAAATGCGGAGCCCGCGCCAGGGCCACCGTGAGGGTGCGCAGCAGTCGGAGCATGCTGCTTGTGCTGGGGCCCATCCCCGGGATCATTTCGCACGGACGGTGAGCGCAGCAAAGCGTCTTCAAATTGAAGATCGCGATTCATGGGGCTAATAGCCCGTAAAAATGGGTTGTTTGTCAAGGTTTATGCAGGCAGGCCGTCAAGTTTAGGACATGCTTTGGTCGAGGCGCTGGGCGTGTCCTGTCGTTTGCGCTTGTTTGTGCTTGTTGGAGCCCTCGTGTCTTTGCTTATCATCTGAAGATGCGTAGTTAGGTGGAAAGAACTACTTTCGTTCATTGGTGCGGGTTTGAATTTTGACGATGGGCCTGCTGTCAAAGCCCCGAGCGCGCGGGTCGAAGGCTTCCCATTCGCTTTGCTGCCTTTGCTCAGTATTGAAATTGCTGGCGTGTAAGGGGCGGTAGTGCCATCCAATAAGGCTGCAGCGTCGCTCTTTCTCGCGGCTCTTCGCGCCACGCATTCGTATGGTTGCTTCGTGCTTGGAGTTGCAGTCTTGGTCGCAGTCAGGTGGCTGGCGGCTTTAGAGCGTTCTTGGGAGGTCGGCCTGGTCTCCTCTTTGGCGATGGAGCGAATGCGTCCAACGAATTGAGCTCATAAGTATCAGCAACGGCAAATGAAATGTTTGTCGTTTTCGTTTTTGGCCGCTTCTCGCGCGGAAATACACTGGCGTCCGTGCAAAGTGTCTGTTCACTCTTTCTCATGTTGCGTGGACCTATTGGGCGTAGCAGGTGGCGAGTTGCTCATTTTCGTTTCTTCATATTGAAGACTCGAGCTTTATGAGAATCTGTTTGCCTGGCGTGGGCTTTGCTAGCGGGCAGCTGCGAAGGTTCGGCTGCACCTTGGCTCTTGCCTTGGATTGCATATGAATCCGCTCCCCTGCTTTACGCACTTTCTGTCGCCAGGCCTTGCGAGCTGTCGAAAGAAGCTCGTCCACCTTATTCCAAACCACACTGGCCTCATCTAAGTCTCTTATTCAATCGAATAGATCCTCCTCTAGAAACTCCTCGTCCACGAGCGGTTGGGTGTCGTCGACCCATCTGTGCCTTTGGTGCCAACGGTGGTGTCTGCATACCGAAATCGCTCCACCGTAATGGTCAACAGAATTTGCAGTACCAATTTTACCTGTCAGACAAAGAGCCATGCAGAACGACGCATGACCACTGGAACCAATTTTGTGCGCATTCAGGCCCATCGCATCAAATCATCTGTGGCATATAGAAGCATTTAAGCCAGACACAGTAAGCGCATGTATTTCGAGGTTTTAATTCGACCTTGAGCCCCACGTTGCCATATTTAAATATGCCGCAACAGCCCAAGCCTTGGCCCGTCCTTCAGCAGACCTGCGTGCTCGATGGGCACGATGGGCTCCGTTGTCCGAACCAGCTGCTGAAACTAGGCGTAGCAGTCAAATGCCTTCGTCTGCGCCTTTCGATGTGCTGATAAGTGAGCTGTTGTAACCGAAATTTCCGGTGCGACAAGCGGAAGTTCCTCTTTGCAATCCGCGACTTACAGTCGGTGAGAATGACCATCTTCCTCCACTGTGCTAAAGCCGGAGGAACTCATATCGTGCGACGGTAGATGAAAATTGCTTGATGACATGAATGTACGGCAAGTTGCTGTTAGTGGTGCTAATGATAGTGCTCCTGCCCGATCCGGCTGGATCTAAGTTGGGTGATAGTGATTTGAGGGCCAGGTGGTGGAGACACGGTGCCCGTCGTTCTTATTGCGGATTCAACGGTGACAGAGCAGCAACACCAGATCTGTTGCGAAGAAGTAGCTCTCAGTAAGGCTCATGCCTTTGATAATTTCTTTCGTCGTTGGAAGATCAAGTGCCAGTTTGTAGCCTGCCTTAATTGTGTCATCGCACTCGGTGTCAATTGCTACTTGCATGGGCGTGAATGAGGGGTTCAGGGATGCCATGGCCGCTGGCTCATCCAACGAGACGGCTCGGGCCGGCATGGTGGATCCATTAGGCTTCACTCAATGTTCCTTCAGTAAGCCCTTGGCGACGGCGGCAAATCTCTTGGACGCCGGGCTAGCTCGGTTGCTCACGGTCCGGTCGTCTTCGAAGGCTCGAAGGAACGGCTCACAGAAAGTGGCGAGTTTGTAGCAGCACACTGCGGAGCTAGTCGCTTGGTGGACTGGACGATGGAGTCTGGAGCCTGGTGCGGTTTGTGTGGTTTAGCTTGAGATTCGGTGCAAAGGGGACTTGAAGACGCAACCCTATACGTAAGCTGCCACCACCTTTGCCCATGACAGCGGACACGACACGTTCTCTTCCACAGCTTTCGACTGCTCATCTTCACTTGCCCTTCGCCTCACTTCTTCTTTAACCCCCACGAACGTTTGCCCTGCACTCACCAGTGAATCCACATCAAGGTACATCTCGATATCAGCAAACATGCCACGCTCATCCCGCTCATCAGGCAGCTCGCGCTCCGCGCCCTCGGGCTCGCGGGGCATGCACACATCCTCGCAATCCAGCGCTCCCGTGCAGCCAGCGCAGCACCCCCAGCACGTGCCGCAGCAGGGCGCATACCCGATGCAGGCACCACAGCAGCAGCCGCGGCAGCCTGGGCTGTTCGCAAACATGGCGTCCACAGCTGCTGGTGTTGCGGTAGGCTCGACCGTCGGACACGCCGTCAGTGGTATGCTCTTCGGCGGCGGAGGAAGCAGCGCTCCGGCGGAGCAGGCGCAGCCGCAGCAGCAACAGCCGGCCGGTTACGATGGCTACAACGCCCAAAGTGCTTATGGGCAAGCTCAGCAGGTGCAAGGAAGCTGCGATTCTCAGTCAAAGGGTGGGTTTTTCCGAAGACCCAGCTTAATATTTCAGACGCCACTGGCGCTCACCTTTACGAGTCCTGATGACTGACATATCCTATTTCCCTTGCCACCTTACTGCTTCTCTCAGAATTGATGCGCTGCCTCGATGCCAGCGGAAACGACATGAGTGCATGCCAGTATTACCTCGATGCCCTGCGCGCTTGCAGCGCAGCTTCTCGCTCCTTTGCCTGATCTTTTGCCAAGCAGCTTGCGCGCACGTCCTGCGCCTTGTTCTCGGGTAAACAAGAGAACATGTAGAGTTTGGCTATAAGACAACGAAGCGCGATTCAATTCACCACTCATCTGCTTCCACGATGTCATTCTGCAAGTACATTCATGCAACAAGGAAAAAACCTCCACTTGCAATGCATATTCTTCAAAGCTATCTTCAATAGTCAGAGCCTGTGAGATCATGGGACTCAAGGTTGCAAAGCTCCTCTTCTAGGAGCTTTGCGGGTTTTCGGAGTGGATGGGATGGATGCATCGGGCGAATGGTATTTAGCGGTACATTTAGATTGTGGCGACACGCGATTGAAGCCTGCTTTGCAAATACACTTGCTTATGCGACGACGCGATCGTACGTTACGCCCTCTTGCGATGTGAGATGAGCGAAGTAAGTTCAGCCACCACTTCTGCCCTCTCAACTTTACGACAGCGTGCCCCTAGTGGGCAGTGGCTGAGGGCAAACTCACTGAAAGAATCACCCGCAAGGGTCTTTTTGACGTTCGTGGCGAAAGCCTTCCTGTCACGCCTGAGATCCTCTGCCGCCTCCTTGTTGAGCGGATCGTCAGCATTCGGCTCGAGGAACAGGTATTGCAAGCCGACCATGACGCTGTTCAGGTTGAGCACCGGTTTCCAGTCTTCACGCAGGATGTTGAGGCACACATTGCCTTCGAGATCTAGATTTGGGTGGTAGACTTTCTGCACGCATTTTACCTTTGGCGGCTCGTGTGGATAGTTGTTGTTGATCGTGAATGTGAAGCGAAACGAGCCACCTTTGTACATGCCTAGTGAAGAAGTTGTGATGATAATGAGATAGGCTGAGATGGGCTTGGCAAATTGGGGCCAGAACAGCAGCAGCTTGATAATCTGTTACCTACTCACCTTCGTCTGGATCTATAGTTAGCTGAAAGTTAAGCAGATCACTTGGATCTGGAAACTCGGTCTTCATTGTCTTTGGTAGCTCAAGCTCGGTAATGTCTGTGTGAAGGTAGAAATCATTGAATCGGGGATGACCTCCTTGACGACCTTCAATCAGATGATGAAAAATCGGACTTACCCTTTTGCACTCGCAATTGTGCTGGTGACGTTTGTGGCTTCTTCTTCTTGCTCGCCTCCTCCTCCTTCTTCATCGACCAGATCTGATGGTACAACGAGACCGGTCCAAACGAGAAGAGGCTTCAGTAACACTGTGCTCGTGAAAGAACAAGGGATCCAAGGGCCAGCCAAATACGGAGCGATTATGGCTGCGATGGCGCAGGAAGCGACCACAGAGAATGTGCCCCAGTTAGAAACAGACGCAGACCAATTAAATGGGGCTGGAATGTCGAGAGAAACTCATGACCACGTCCGCGGTGCAGCTGTGCTCCAAGGTCCATTCTCATGCACCGAATTATGGCGGCCAACCGTGGGTGAAGTTGCCGAAAATGCGTTCAATTGAGACTCATTGCGGGGTATGAAACCTCTAAGAGCTTGCAGCTACTGCGAAGCTCCAGACCGTAGCAGATCTTTGCAGTCGGGTGAGCAGGTGCTTCCCGAACCTTCATCTGGAGGAGCGAAAACCCTGCTGTGGCGTGTCCTACGCAACCCTGGACATCCCGAAAGTGTCGCGCCCAGACAATTCCCGATGATCGGCCACCTGTTGGCCTGACTGCAACATACGCTTCTCACCTTAATCATCTTGCCCCAGCTTGCTGTTTCGGTTGGGTATGCGTGTGTGGCAATTCGTGTGCCCTCGCTTGCGGCTCAGTCGTGCGATTGTGAGGCGTGAGGCTGAAAGTCGTGACGCGTGACCTACTGGACAGTGTGGATGCTGCGATGATAGAACCTCGCTAGACAGCCGACCTGTAAAGTCAGAAGTCTAGCCCGTTATTCGTGGCCGAATCTCGGTATATTTTGGCTGGGCCAGATCCTGGCGGCTGACGGAGGTTGGAGATGCTGAGATGTTGCCAAGATGCTATCGCACAAGTGGCCTTGGTGTATGTTGCTCGATGCTGCCCCCATAGTCACGATAGCGAGATCGCAAGACCAAGCCGCATTGGGCTTTGTTCATGGTGGACGGATGTTACGTAAGCATTGATGATACTGGACTCTCAAACTCGTTCCGCCAATTTTTCGTTTCTCAAACAGGATGAGCGCGCCTTCCTTTACTCCGACATGGTTGTATCTCAGCTTGGTAGCTTGTCGGGAACATATCGTCTCACTGTCGTACGGATTCAGGGAGCATCTCTGGTATAAGACAGGCATCTTCGCACAGTTCCACATCCTTCGACTACCAGTGCTGGATTTTCCGGAGAGACACGAGCTAGGATAGAACAGCTAAAGCCATGGCAACGCCAGCGGGTTTACCTCCGGCTGGAGATGGAGCGGGATTATCACCAACGCCTGAAGTGGTCACACTTACATCGTCGTCTAAAGGGAAAGGCAAGGTCACTGAACCTGTGGCTGGAGCTTCTGAAGCGCCTACCTTCTCCTCTTTTGCCCACCTCCTCGATGTACGGCTTTTGCGCGGTCTCTCAACGCTCGGTTTCGCTCACCCGACACCGATCCAGGCCGAGCTAATCCCTGTGGCACTCGGCGCTTCGAGACCTTCTGCATCTTCTACCAATACCACGATCGCACCTGGAATAGGAAAAAAGGGCATTAAAGATGTTCTCGCGCGCTCGAGGACTGGCAGCGGAAAAACTCTCGCTTACGGGCTTGCGCTGATGCAAAAGATCCTCGACGCCAAAAGGGTGAGTGTGGTCACTGCATTCGTGTGCTCAATCCTCTAAACTGATTACTCACATAATGGGCTGGTGTAATTATTGCTACTCGCAGTCTCTCTCACCGACTTCAGATGAATATAAGTGTACACGAGCGTTGATCATCGTCCCGACCCGAGAGCTTAGCGAACAAGTCACTGCCCAGCTTAGTGCTTTGGCAGCAGCATGTGGTGGCCGCTCATCAACAGCCTTCTCCAACACTCCTCAGTTGTCGTCGCACATCTCTCAAACGCTGGCCGACGGCTCCTCCAAGGGCGATCAGCAGCAGTTGCGCCGCTCCGGACTCAAAGGCAAGGCTCGGGAAGATGCTGATTCTGGCAGCGGTGGAGATGCTCAGATGGAGGTGCTCAACATTGCAAAGGATGTCAGCTCCAAGGTTCTGCGTATGGTCTTGCAGGATGGCCAACCTGATATCATTGTCTCGACTCCGACCAAGCTGCTGCACTTCCTCCGCTCGACTAGCTCCGGGTCTGCACCCAAGGGCTCGGGCCTCGACCTGAGCAATCTCGAATCGCTTGTCATTGACGAGGCGGACCTCATGCTGTCCTATGGCCATGATCTCTTACCTGCGCAGGAAGGTGAGGGCTCCGGGGGCTTTGTCAAGGAAGTGCTTGAAGCGGGTTGGTGGACCAAAGCAGAAGCCAAAGGTGGTGTGCAACGCTTCCTGGTCAGTGCTACGCTCAACAAGGATGTTGAGAAGTTGAAAAGGATCATTCTCCGGCAACCTGTCATCATCGACTTGAAAGACTCGCTTCTTGCCTCATCCGCAGGAGGGGCAACGTCAAGTGGCGGCCAGCTGCTGCAATATTCCCTTCACCTCTCCGAAGTCGACAAGTTCTTGTTGCTCTATATTATCATCAAGCTGCGTCTCATCCGGGGCAAAACACTTATCTTTGTCAACTCAATCGAGCGTGGGTATAGACTCAAACTGTTTCTCGAGCAATTCGGCATTAGCAAGAGCGCCGTGCTCAACCAGGAGCTGCCGTTTACCAGCAGAATGAAGAAGGTAGAGGCATTCAACAAGGACGCAATTTCTATCATGATCGCTACAGATGAGCAGGGGTGCGCCCAAGTCGACGAGGACGACGGCGAGCAGGAGCAAGAGCAGGATGATATTGAGGCGGAAGAAGAGGATGCAGGTGAAGAATTGGCAGGAAAAAAGCGAAAGCGCAATGATTCTGCTAAGGCAGTGCAGAAAAAATTGAGGTCATCGAAGAGCAGCAAAGGGCAAGCAAAAGACGCCGAATATTCGGTGTCGCGCGGTGTCGACTTCCTTCAAGTGGCCTGCGTTATCAATTTCGATTTACCCACATCGCTGACGGCATACACGCATCGCGTTGGCCGGACGGCACGTGCAGGAAACACAGGCACAGCGCTCAGCTTTGTCGTTCCGAAAGACTTGGCTGGCAAAACAACGGGTGCAGGCGGAAAATCTATGAAGCACCTTTGCTGCCCGACTGCCGCGACCGACGAGGTGGTCTGGCGCAAAGTGCAGCAAGCGTACTCTGCAAATCCTAGCCAGGGTGCTGATGCTGGTGCAACAGGGGCCAGCAAGATCGAAGAGTGGAAATATGACAGAGCGCAGATCGAGGCCTTCCGATATCGCATGGAAGATGCCTTGCGCAGCGTCACAAAGTTGACCATCAAGGAAGCGCGCGTCAAGGAGCTGAAATGGGAGATGCTGAACAGCGAAAAGCTCAAGAGCTACTGGGAAGACAATCCTAAGGACTTAGAGTACCTCAAGGCGCAGACTGCAGAAAAAGGAGGTGGCAAATTGCTCGGGAACGGGAAAGTGCAAGGACACCTCAAGCACGTCCCGAACTACCTCATGCCGCGTGTCGCCGGCTTTAAGCAGCAGCAGCAACAACAGCTGCAGCAGCAAGCTGCAGCAGGGGCCGGTCCTTCCAATGGAGGTGCAAAAGCGAGAAGTCAGCGTAAAGTCGGCTATGTCCCCAAGCATGGTGACAAGCGCAAGGCTGCCGCACCAAAGAGAAAGCACGACCCTTTGAAGAAGTTCAAAGCAAAGGCCAAGAAGTGACCTTTGTATTCTATTACAAGACGTTTCTTTTCGCGGCAAGCCGCCGCCAATACCATTCTACCATGTGTTACCCTTGAGACGGATAGACCAGCCTGGAAAGCGATGCAATATGCCCCGTGGAGGCCTTGCAGCAACCGCCAAGCCACACAGCATCAAATGCTGCCTCGCTTGTGCCACCAGAATCACATACATTCTTGAGCACCCCAGGCTCTTGAGTTAGTGCAAAGAGATCGCGCGCCCACGTTTCCTCTTCCGATAGTGAAGATGCATGTGGCTTATTCACTTCTGTAGCCTTGTCCGCTGTCATTGGTGCCCCACTGCGCCAACATCGTGCAATCCCATCCCATGTCAAGCCGCCGTCGGGATAGAGCTTGTAGTTCAAAGGTCCGTGCAAGATAGGAACTCTGTCAGTCGAAGTGATCAATGGGCTCACAAGGGTGCAAATGGACTCACGAAAAGCACGGGTTTGCCGCTCTTGCTGGCGAACGTGCTGGACGTTTTCTGTTGCGCGAACGCTTGGGTGAGGTCTCGCACTATGCCTTGAATGAGATGGGGCTTCGTGCAGTTGATCCCGAGACCAAGGATGGGCCAGCCTTGACCGCAGAGGCTCTTCACGCATTCGACAAGAGCCGGCACCGTGCGGTGTTGCGATGGGTCCGCCCCTGTGCGTTTAGCGGCGGCACTCATGTCAGGGGGCAATGGAAGGAAATTGTCGTTGTTGGGCTTATTTGTCTCCTCTCCGTTTGCGTTCTCCGGAAAAACGAAGGAGAAGTAGGCCGGAGGCCTGTGTTGTTGCCCTTTGCTTGTGAGCTCAACGTCAATGTCGTGAAGTGCTCGCCCAATCTCGCCTACCTCGTCAAGGCGTGGAAGCGTTTCGAATGCGATCAGATCAATTTTCTCCCAGGTGTCCTTCACTTCTGCATACGCTTGTAAGCGGTTCATTTGGAAGGTGTGCAGTTTCTTGCTGAGGCTGACGGCGTCTGCACTTGCCCCTTCATAATCACCACTATATTCTCGTCCTCCCTCTAGCATCGCCCCGTATGGGCCAAGACTGAGAGTAAGCAGTGGCGTCTTGGAAGTCGCCGTCTCCACTGATTGCTTTGATGAGTGAGACGCGATCGCTTCATGGGCCAGCGTGACAGACTGGCGCATGAGCTCTTCTGCCCCGGCTGCCGTATATGTTCTTGGAGGCTTGCTTTTCAGGAAAGATTGTGTCGAAGCTTGGTAGGAGGCGCTCTCGATGAGTCTGGCTCCGACGTCGAGAAAGGCACGGTGCGTTGCACGAACTGCATCGTGGCCCTTCCAGCCTGCTTCTTCGCAGGTTGGATCGAGCAAGGCTGCTGACCAGAGCGGTGAAGGCGTACTGAGGTGCAAAGCATCTTCGAGATGCGTGGCCTGGATGTCAGGGAAGACGCAACGTCAAGATGGACCATTCAATTTGATCTTCTGGAAAACGATGCGAACATACAAATCCACCATCCATCACACCGATACGCTCGGCATTGAGGAGGCCTTCGAGGATGTCGGCACCGCCTTCCTTGCTCTTCCCAGCCATGGCGAATGGTCCAGCTTTTCTTCCTTGGCAGTGAGGGTGCTAGGGTCACAATTGATTCGTAACTAAGCACCAGCGAAGAGAATGAAAGAGGGCGAAAAGACCAGTTCAAGAAGCACGGAGCTGTCAAAAACTCAAGTGCAGGCAGGATCGTCGTGAAAAATAACGTCACAAGTTCCCCCATTGAACGTGCTCGCTTACTGGAGCACACCAGCCACTTTTCTCTTCAGGTACCGCAAGCAGATCATTCAAGTGAGCAGCATGAAGCATGTGCCATATCCCCGTTGTGCTGCTTTATCAGCAAGACCAAGTCCAGGGTCCCTTTCCAGGTTTCACTATTGGCTTCACACAGGTCACTCCCTGCAAGGACACTTCGTCTCAACGGCATTTGTATTTTTAAATTGCTGAAAAGTCCCTCGCAGATATAGCACCTGAAGCGAACATTCCTTGGAAGGTCTCCCTCAAGACTGAGATGCTCGGGAACTTTTGATGGGCGGTCCCATAAGCATGAATGTTCAGGTCATTGTGGAAACAAAAGCGCAAATGAGTATCGCCAATTGCCATCCTGCATAACCAAGCTTGCCTTATTCTCCCAATCGCCTCCCTTGACCCCACGAGTACCTTGGGCTCTCATCCGTGCGGGCTGGAGAAGAATCGCCGTCATGGTTGCTGTTCGCGCGGGAACCTGTCCTCCTCTGCTCCGCAACGCGTCCTCCGCTTCCGCTTGCATCTTCCTCGTCTGCAGCACCTGACTCTGCCCGCTGGCGCTCTTCGCGAGCCGCAAGCTGGCCAAAGGTGATGCTTTTCGCGTTCACGCTAGATCTAGAGGATGCAGTTGATGCGGCTGTTCGACGGATCGCCTCGGAGGTGTGATTGGAAGCTGGTAGCGCCGAGCTAGTCGAGTCCTGCCCGGCTGGCACATTCGACCTCGTGGTTCTCATGGTGTCGGCAGATAAGGAAGCGGCAGCACTGGTGCGATGTTGTCCGATTATGCTATTGTTCGCACGAGCGCGAAGTCGCCGCTCTGCTGCCGCAAGCACCTCTTCTCTTGACGGCGCAGCCTGTGTGCCACCTACACCTGTCACCGCTCCTTGTGCCCTGCCAAACCATGAGCGGGCTCCTGCAATCGCAGATGAAGAAGCGCTATTGAGTGTCCTTCCACCAGCGGGAGTGACAGATCCACCGGAGCGCGCGTCGCCAAAAGATCGGCCTTGTGGGGCAAACGCGCTGCCGTATGTGGTGCGTCGTCCGGCGCCACCCGTTGGTGTTGATCCTGGTCCAAGTGTTGGGTCAACGCTATCTGGAAGAAGATATTGTAAGAATGCAGGCGGCTCGGACGTGAACCGTCGAAGCCAGGCAGGGACGGGTAGGGCTGCATCCGCGGGGGTCGCTTCAGCGAGTTGCTCGTAGAGGTAGGCTGCAACCAACCCGGTGGCCGACTGTACTGCGAGACCCACGCTTCCGACGACTAGATCCAGCACCAGTTGTACATAAGGCAAATACGATGCTACGATGGTGAAGAATCCGAAGAAGGAAACCCTTGCATGAGGGTTTGCACGAGCCCAAAGGTACTTGAAAGGATAAGGGCATGGTAGTATGGATGGCTTCAATATCCAGGGTCGACTGCATAGCTTTGAGGGGCCTCTGACTTACAGTCAAGGACATTAGTAAAGGCTTCCATAAAAAAAAACTTCCCAGTGGGTAGTTGAGTACCAGGATCATGGTGGCTGTAAGGAGTAGTGCCCACACGTAATTGCTAGTCTTTCGGAAGAATTTGTTGCTTTCCAGGTCATTCCCATTCCTAAAGAGAAAGTAGATGTCTAAAATCATGGAAATGCCCCTTCCCGCGTAAAAGAAGGCTGTAAAGAGGCGATAGAACTCGCTGATGGGGTGTCGTGAGACGAGTGGCCAGTAGAGGGCAATGCGATATGGAGACATGATGCTCAACGTGCACGGGAGCGTCATGCCTAACGCTAGGCCGAGCATGGTCCGCGTGACAGGCGGTATCTTGCGACTGTTTAGTTTCATCATGAGGAATATCAGCTCTTTGGTGTGCGGGTGCGTTAGTATGACGTTCGCAATGTCACTTACAGCTCGTCCATTTTGCAGCACCTTGACCGAGCCCTCCGTCCTAGATTAAAAGAACTGATTGTCTGATGGCCAGAATCTGCACGCAGCCTATTTGAACAGGAAGAAAGTGCTGTTCAACTTGAGAGCAGATTTAAGTCGTGGCCAATGGAAAAAGATATTTGGCACAGTTCCACACTCGGCATGCAACTTGAATTGGAAAGGTTTCGAAGAATCAGTATCGAGATTAACGACAACGATGATGAGGATGCTAAGGATGACGACGTTGACGTGGAGCATTGTTGGTTTGTTCAGTTTCTACTGTTTTCGCCCCCAAAGTCAAAACATAAATCCAACGTCAATCTTCATCGGCAATCGAGGTTCTGCGCAGCCTCCAACACATGGGTAGGGACGCAAGCGGCAAGCTTCACGCAGCGAAAAAATCTGCCGCATAATAATAGTGAATGCAGACTAGGTATTCTGCAAGCCCTCGGACCCTTCAATGTGAAACAGGGACGATCATGTACAAGCATTCAATTGATGCCCGTCCGACTGTATTCCATCCATAGCACTGCATTGGTAAACAACTTGAGCCGTCCAGTAACGCCGGTGGTGGAAATTCCTGAAATGATTTATTTAGAAGATCGCCTAGCGCTGCTCGAAGGCAGCTCATCCATCTCGGCTGCGTCGGTCTGAGACTGGTTGCTTACCTCGGCAGCTTTCTGACTGGCACCCGTCCAAGAGGCTAGCACGTTGGAGAGCGAGACGACCCCCCATTGCGAGACGGAAGGTCGATGTGAAGGGGTATACGGAGGTTCTGTGGCAGCATTCGATCCGTCAACAACGCTTTGCGCAATGGACGCCTCGCGCCGCCTGACAGCTTGCTCGTGCTTAGCCATGATGGCGCTAGGAACAACAGGCAGTGCTTTTCGGTCAGTGCCCGTGATTTCGAGGAGCAATTATACAGCACGGAACTCACCTTGTTGGTACTTCCGCCGCATCATGACTGGCAGCTTCCTCGTCCTTGAGCTTGCGTCTACGCTGTGCGTTCTTCTGACGCGTCATCAAGTTACGGCCAATCGTTTCCCTGCGCTCCTCTTCAAGGACTTCGGCCTGCAGTGCTTTCTTCATTGTGATCGAGCGACCACCCGCCGAGCTGACGCCGCTCATTGCTGTACCGTGTGACATGTAGCTTGCGCCGGTGGCACGGCGCGAATGCGATGTAGCGTATAAGCGGCTCGAAGGATGGCCCTTGTGTGGGGAGTCGACGAAGGCTAGATGGCCGTGGCCAGACACATTGGCCGCTCGGCGCTCGCTTGCGGCTGTATCTGCGATGATACCATCCGGCTGAGCTATCTTCATGCCAGGATAGGTCATTGCTGACAGTGGGACCGGCACCTCGCTTATCTGCTCCGAGGCAGCTGAAGAGAGCTCGCCAGGCGCCTTTGCCTCTCCCAAATGCAAAGACGCAAATGAGTCAAGAGTCGGCCGCCTGTTCGCCGAGCAAGCCTGTTCCGGAGTAGACACCATTCTAACAGTGACCGGGCTGCCCGGTTGAGAGCTCAGGCTCACCACTGATCTGGCATCAGAACGCCAAGAAGTAGCGCGCAGTAGGCTTGGCATGCGCATGCTGTTTCCGTCCTCGCTGCCGCCATTGCTCGTTCGACGGATGGCTCTTTTGTAATCTTCCATAACAGCTTTCGGAAGACTTGTAGCAGGATCAAAAACTTCGTCAGCCTCTTCGACATTTTCTAGGCGCCGAGCGAGTGACTCGGGCACCGCGATGACTTCATCTCCGTCAAGATTAGCCAGGGAGAGACTGTCGAAGTCGTATTCGTCCTTTCCATCCTCGTCTTCACTGTTCTCCCATTCTCCCACGTTGCCCTTGCCACCTTGTGAGCTCACAAGCGCAGCCCCATACCATTCGATAGTGTTACAGAGATCGAGGACTTTCGAAGGCTCTTTCGGCAGCCACAAAAACGGGTCCAAGACGGCGTTGTAGTAAGGGTTGTTGTACCGAGCCAAATTGTTCGGATGGTCCTCCCACATAAGCTTTGGATGCGGATAGGCAATGGCTTCACACTTGACTGCATCGTTCGTTCCATGTGAATTTTGACTCCTTGGTGAAGTCGAGGGTCGCCTCTTTTCTTCTTGCGCGAGGGCCGCGCCTTCAACTCCTTCTTCAATCGTTGGCTCACGTGGAGCCATATCAAGGACAACTTGACTTCGTGCACTGCGGGAGCGAACCAGCCCAACGCTGCTTTCTTCAGTGCGATAACCGGTGAAACCGGGCGTGGCCGTTGCCTCATCGCTTGCTTGCCGCGAGTGGTTGTTGGACACGGGTAGCATTGGCTGCTCATCACTCATCTTGCTGCTATGATGTCGGAGGACCACATTCTGGAACTGTATTTGAGTTCCAGCATGGGCTCGGCTGAGAATCGCGCTTTTGTCACCCATATTCGTCCCGTCACCCTCTTCTCTCGCGCTCTCTTCCTTGTTCTTGCGATGAAGTTCTTGCTGTGTCTTGACGGCGACAGAGAGCGCCTTCGTCTTTTCTGCAGTACGTTCGGCAATGTGGGCGGGCGCATGAACGAAAAAGCGAGCAGTGCGCCGGAACGGATTGTACGGCGACCGTCCCTTGGCTTCTTGTTGTATGATGTAGCTCGGCCTTTCATTCCCATTGGCGTGAAAGGAGTCATGGAGCCGCTGCCAGACACGGTACATGCTCGACGTTGTGGTTGCCGAAGGCGGTGGGTTAATGAAAGGGTAGCGTCCTGAAGCTCGGACGTCGAGAGGACTGTGCGTGTCGAACGAATCATCGGCTGCGGCCTCCGAGTCCGCGTAGTCCTTCCGAATACTGCGCCGCAAGCGCTGCCAGCTCGGTTCAACGTCTATTCCGCAAAGCGCATTAGCTTCATCGTCTTCCAAGGCCCTGACTTGTGACTTCCACAGGCGTGTCCCGAGGATCTTGAGGACCGCGGTCAAGGGAATGAGCAACCCGGTCAAAGCAGTGTACACGGCTCTTTGGTTCGTGACACCGAAAAAAATAGTCAAGACGACCTGGCCAGTCATCAGGCCATCCAGAGAGAAGCGCAAGAGGCGCACAAAGTAAAATACGCCTTCCTTTTCGTTGAAGCGACGGATGTAGACGTATGCAAAGTTTTTCTTGAACACAACCCTGTGGGATAATGCAGGCGACGTCAGCAAGCTTGACCATGATCCACAAAATAGTACCTTCCGGACACTTACATGGCGATCCAAAAGTAGAGGAGTGCGAACGGGAGGACTAGCGGATTGAGGACGGTGAAGATGAAGATGATGGTCATGATGAGCACGTGGAAAGGCAGCCAGTAGTAGCGATTGAAATTCCTCGGCAATGTCTTGGCCGCGCGGGCTCGCGGTGTAAAAGCGTTCCGTGCAGCTACGTGCTGCACGAGGCCGATGATCGCTTGGAAGAGCTCGAGGCCCGTGTGTGTACCCATGCACAGAATGAGGTACGACACGAAGAATGGCGCAGCGACGGGGAAGGCACACGCGATGGTTTCGAGCACGGTGCCAGGGGCTGGATTGCCGAACCTTTGCAGGATGGTCTGGATGGCGGTCGCGCCGATGCAGAAGAAGATGACGACATTGCAGATGATAAACTTCCAGTATCTGCACATGCACTGATCGTATAGCCCAGAGAACGTGACGAATCCCTGCGCACGTTTGGAGATCTGGAACACCAGTTCGGGCACAGTCATGGTGACAACCGAGACGAACAGCGTCGGCAACGTGATCGACACGAAGGCAACAGCACCAGGATAGCGAACGAAAATGGAACGCAGAGGCGGGAAGACCATTTTGAGGTTCGGCACCGAGAACAAAAACTGGACGATGGACTGGATCAGCAGGACCCAGAAGATGGTGAAAGCCCAGAAGAACGCATTGACGCCTGCTCCACGAACAAGATCGCCGGTGAAGCTGGTGCGCATGAGCCGTTCCCAATCCAAGTCCTTCACTTCTGGCGCCATGCGAACTTTGATGATGATCTGGCTGTCGAGCTCGCGCCATACCATGCGAGCCTGTCTCGGATCGCGGAATGTGACGAATGCCGTCGAAGTCGGCTCGTAGCTGCTTGGCGGGCGAGAGCGCATCTCGGTAACGAGTGCAGTGAGCAAGTTCAACTTGGTGAGAAGGTAGTCGATCGTTGGGACCGTTTGGCCGCGGAAGAGTGCCGAAAGGCGCGTGACCGGCTGCAACGGATCGAGCAGCTCCCTAGGAACATCTGCTAAAGCTTCCCAGATCGTTTCGCTCGGCTTTCTTCGCGCCGCTCCGGTCGTGTTGCATGGCACAAATCGAGCGAGACGACACGTCAGCTCCTCCAACGCCTCCTGCTCATTCCAATTTTTAACATCCGCTTTAAGGCCCTCCCCAGCGCCGGCCCGCTTGTCCGGAGATGAGCTCGTCCTCGTCTTAGAATCTCCAAGTTCAAGGTCGGCCATTTTGTCTTCCGCATGCCCGTGTTGCTGTACCTTGCGTTTGCGCTTGCGCTTGCGCTCCTTCCGGGCCTCCTTGGCATCTCTGCGGCGATTGGCGATTGTTTGCCTGCCAATGGCTCCAATCACGTTCTGGGCCAGCTTGATATGTGCAGCTTCGAGCTGTTGCAGCACTTCTTGACGGCGTTGCAGCATGCTGCTGAGCTCGACCATCTTGCGCACGAGTACAACGGTCTGGACAGGCGACTGACGATGTCGGAATGACTTGTGAACGTCTGGTTCAGGACCGATTGCAGGTGGAGCAGTGATAGTGTCGGCGCCTGCTGTTGTCACAGCATCCTTCCCTTCACCGGCCGTCGCACTACACGTGGACGAGTCCCCACGCCAAGGCTCGCCGTCCTGGTACTCATCTCCATCATTGTCACCCTCATCCCTTAAATGCGAGTAGCCTTTGATGTCCGCCGCACGCAACGTGCCGATGTCTTTCGCATCCTTCATCTCGAGCGAGCCAGGCACTTGCGCACGCGAGCCATCCCGTTCTTGTGAGAAAAGTCTCGTCTCCTCCTGACGCGCAACCAGCTCCGACATTCTCTCCCCCGCTTCTTGCCGGCCTTCACCTAGCATGGAGCCGCGGCCTTCATCTCCGTCATTCTCCTCGTCGACATCGGGCCGAAGGAACTCTTCGAAATATCGCCGGACGCTGGCTTCGTCGCGCATGGTTGATGGCATGTTGGTCACGATGACTGTGCGCTGACGCCATCCGGCAGAGGAAGGGTCGAACTTTGGCTTGCGCTTTTTGGAACTGTTCTTGCGCTGCTGGTGCGGCCTTTCCTCGCCATTTCCACTAGCTATCTTGATGGTTTGAGCACCTCCACCGCCTTCGTTTGCGGAAGATGCACGGACGAGCGACGAGTTGAGTGGCTCCACCGCGTCTGTGGGAAGCAGAAGCTTGGGGTCCTTACTGTCTGGGTCATCAACAGCTCGGCATTCCGGGTGCGAGATGGCATGGACATGCAAACTCTGTTTGCTCCTCTCCTGGTTTTCCGTCTCCCGCCCTATTTGGTCTTCTTTGCTCTCCTCGTCATCATCCTCAACGCTCAAGAGATCCTCTTCGCCGTCGCTAAATTCATCTGGGTCGTCATATCGCCGCTGGCGGTTTCCCCTCTTCTTCTGGCCCTTGTTCCTGCGCCAGGGCGTTTCATGCTTGAAGAAGAGCGATTGGTGCGCAGCAGCGTGGATGAGCCCGCCGAATTCGTTGGCGGAGTGTCCGGCTGGAAGGCCATCGATGAGTTTCGCTTCGCTGCCCTCTTGACCTGCGGCTCCCTCTTGCCCTCCACCGGCCAGGCCGACGATGGCCTTCCCGCGGGCCTTTTTTCTTCCATTCTCCAATGCGGCGATAGCCTTCTTGTGCGCATGACGCTTGGGACGCAGCACGTTTCGTTCCCTGATGCGCTCGACGAGACGGCGTCGAATAAGGACGCTGCCGCGTCCCAACCAGTACATAGCGTATGCCCAGGTCAAGGTAATGTACCACATGATGCACAGGTGGATCCAGAGCAGCTTGCGCCCCTTCTCGTTGGCTTCACGCGGGCACTGGCCGTCGGGCTGAGGCCTCAAGACGAGGTAGGACAGTGAGGCGCGCGACATGTCTGAGGCGTGCGACATGTCTGTCAGTTCGACACCTTTGGAAAACTCGAGGTGGATCGTCAGCAGGATAGGTGCGGTGGTCAGCGTGTGTAGGGTGAGCCACCAGACTGAAAGCAACGCGGCAAACATGCCCCAGTCCAGTCAGCAGTCATCAGATTTATAAACGGTCGATCACGAGCACTCACCACACGCCCTCAAGAAGCGAACATACACGACGGTGTCCATGCCGGTGTGCGTGGCGTAGAACCAGTCCTTGAACCGCAGCGCCTGCAACGCCCACATGAATGGGTACCTCGCGGGCGGAGGGGAAGGAGTGGACGCGTGGAATTGACGAGCCATGTAGAGGTGTCCCATTTCCCAATCCTCCGGTGTAGTACCGAGGCCGTGTTTATAAAGCGGTCTTTCGCAGTCGGTCCCCTCTCCAAAGCCATCGCTGGCACTGCCACCTCCATCATTGGTACCCTTATGCCGCCTCTTTCGCCGACCATGGTGCGAAGAGGGTTTAAGTTGATTTCGGAACGACCGGAAATGAAGACGCGGCAAGCGCTTGAGCTGTCGCAGCGTCTCAAAGCCGACCAAACAGACGCCGCCAATGACGAAAAAGATGATCGAAGTAGAGATGAGGCCCGTGAAGCCTGGGTTGATTTTGCGTGCAGCAAAGTCTGCCATGATGCTGATGGCGTCTAATGTAACGATGTTTGAAGGCGATTGCGAATGAAAACAGTGGAGACGCTTGACTTGGGCTTCCTGTGGTTGCCCTTTCGTACACTATTTCAGGGGTATATCGCCGGCAACTTGTCACCAATAGATGCAGGGTAGAGGTAATTTTCAGGCAGAGGTAAGTGGCCAGAGCCGATCAGGCCTATGGCACCTCGCGAGCCACGCTGCTACCACGAGTGCATGGGCGATATATGCGTCGATGGCATGGGGCGGCTTCGCGGTCCTCTCAGGGAAGGAGACCAACCAGCGGGATGCAGGTGATTACACAGCCGCTGTTCAATGAACGAGAGGTGGTGGTGGTTGTTAAAGAGGTTGGGGGGGCATGATGAACCAATCCTCCAGCTATCCTTTCTTAGATACAGCAGCCAGGGGCCAAACACCAAGCGCTGCTGATCGATGGCCCTCTACGCAACGAAGGCGATCCCCGCAATCCAGGGCAGCAACTCCCGAGTTCTCCGAGTCGTTTCAAGGAGTTTGCTAAAGATACCACAAAATCAAGAGAATTTGCCGCTTGGCGGCAAGAATTTGTCGCACATGAGCCCCACGCGCACTAAAATCGTGTTTTCCCACAAAACAACAACCAAGCCCGGGGAACAAAAAGATGTGGCTTGGTCCACCCAAATCTAGGTCGTGTGGCTTCGCCAGCTCTATTTATTGGCGTCTCATATCGAGGTAATCGTTGCAATTGCCCATTGGTATGTTCCTTCTCCCCTCTGCATTGATGGCGTTGGTTGTGACGTTGTAGCGTTGCCGTAAGAGGCTGCGATTCCTCTATCGTTTCTGATAATCTAACCCTGAAACCGGATAAAAGAGCGGTCGGAGGCAGCCTACACACTCTGAGCCTCATCATGACATTTTGAACACTGAATTAGAATCGTGAAGCCGGCCTTGTTTGAGCTTTCGAATATGTTGGGGGACACGATCTCACGCAACCCGGTGACGCATCCTCTTTATTTGGATGTGGCCAAAACAACATTCTAGCACACGCTCACTGCACAGCTGGACTGAGTTTACCTTTTCTTGAACCTCCCCAAAGCTTTCCTTCGACACGATCTTCATTTGGAACGTGTGGCCTTTGTTTTTGCCCGTATGCGTCCCACCTTCCTCATTTTCAAGCCTGAGGAATCCTCAGAGCGCATTTGAGCAGGTCTTCCGCGATAGAGCCCGCACTTCCGCCTGGACCTGCATCGCCCTCAACCTTGCACACGGCGTTGTTTTCGATCGGAAGCATAAGCGTCGAGGAGGTGGACGGAGCGAAGGCGGCATGCGGATGCACTTGGGCGGCGATATCACGCTTGTGGTCTTTGATCAAGCGACGACGGCGACGGTGCAGAAGCGCAGGCTTGTGTTGGGCTGCAAGCATGGCAACGACACGGAGACCAAATGCTTCAGCGCAAGTATGCTCCTATGCAGTTCGCTGACACTCGCAGACGACCCACCAACACAAGCTTGGTATTCGAACGGGCACTGCGACTCTAGCTCCTCCACCGTGCTGTCCAAAAACTCGATCCAAGCTTTGCATTCGTTGTTGTAGTGCTGAGAATCAGAATGAAAAGAGGCCATTAGAAAACCAATTCATTATGAATCGAGGTGGACTTCGATTCCGATCCGGTTAGACCTACCGAGCGCAGCCCGGAGAGAAAATTTCTAAGCTCTTTCGGCGCCTCATCTTGCAGTTCATCATGCTTTCCTTGCGCGAACGCAGCTTCCAATGCATCGAGCTTGACGAGCTTTTCATCCATCGCAGTTTGAAGTTCCATTTGGAGGGTACGCTCGACTCTTGTTTTTAGCTCGTGGCACTGCAACTGAAAGTTTCTGCGCTCCTGTGCAGCCTTACGGGACTGCTGCTCTGCAAGATGAAGCCACGGTCAAGCGCAGCGCCACGGACAGCGTCAGCGTCAGCGTCACCGTGCATTTATCATGCAGTACCGGCCTCCTGAAGAGGTTCCTCCGAGTATATGCGCGTACTGATAAAGCTCTCGACGATTTCTTGCGCCTCTGTACCTTCTCTGAGGCACAGATTGCGCATACAAGCTGTTAGCACGTTCATGAGAGAAACAAAAATGCATACAGCCAGCTTTCGGGCCCGAGTCTTCGTTGTCTACCGCCACAATGTCGCTCGTTACGGTGCTGGGTACGGGGCTCTGTGATAGGTCCCTATACTCACTGGTTGAGCTCGTCAGATCGACCTTGAACATGCTCCCCTCCACCTGGTTGGCTACTGCGAAGGCGTGGCATATCGGTTGCCTTACTCTGTTTCTGATTCAATCGGGACCGAGTAGCTACACACGTTTGAACACGGTGTGCAAGGACGACCTTGGGCTGCGCCGCTTGTGATATCACTTGAGTGATATCTGGACAGAAAATTGCAAGCCCAGTAATAAAGCAGAATCAACAAGACGGCATTCCGATGGCAGTCCAAAGACGTGTCAACGATCCAAAGGGTAATGATCATCACATGTATAGAAGAAGGTTCATCGACATTCTATGGTACCGATCCAGGCGTGGCGGTCGCATTGAATCTTGGTGGACCCTTATCCGCCCTGCGCGAAAGCAGCGGCTAGTAGCGGTGGAAGACATCGGAGGGATGTAGCGAGCAGAAGAAGACAGCCGGGAGAGGGGGAGGGGAAGGAACAGAGGATGGTCAGTTCGTCGTAGCCGCGAGGCTCGGATCAGATCAGTGGATTAGTATATCCGTGGATCAGCGGAAGCCACCATGTCGCACATGGGCGGTAGCTGAGAACATGGAGAGGGGAAGTAAAAGTATCTGCAAGCTGCGATCAGTCCAGCAGGGTTGAGTCATATGTCGGGCCCATGGACCAGAGAATTGCTTGGAATATGTCCCAAAAGAGGAATTGCACTTGAGCCAACTCCAAGAGAATGGATGCTTCCATGGCTAGCTATGCTTCTGTTGACCGAGGCGATGGTAATTGCAATGCGCGAGCGTATGCGGGTGCAGGCTCATTCCGGGCGGAGCTTAATGGGATGGTATCGGGTTCGCGTTCGGATTGGCTTCAGTCTGTACCAGCCACGAGTAGTACATTCTTCGCGTCAAAGCGATTGCGATGCCACCACCTCCCTGAGTCCGGGCTGAGTCGGCGCCGACCACTGAAAAGCTTCGGAAGTCTGAACGCAACTATGTGACATGTTAAATTCTACTATCCATTATTCTCGGGTCTGCTCCTCTGTAGTACGGTAAAGTGCGTTGGCAATTATGAGACTGCCAAAAAGGGGTCGGGAGGGGAAGGACGAAACGATGTGAAAATGACGTCGCGCTACCCTTCGTCTGCTAGGCAACTGCGCCACTGCATCACTCTCCCCCTCTCGCCCGGCCATCGCGGCAGAGTCAGGTCCAAGTAAGACCTCAACACCCTGTGGAGATAACCACTTCATCGCATCCATCCAGACCTGTCCTCTTTGTCGCCTCTTTTGTCAACGCCTTCTGCAGCGCCAAGAAGATTACACTCCAGAGTTACTGTGGAAGTTCGAACCAAGATAAGCAAGATGGAGTCCCAAGCACAACCGTCCCAGGTCGAGGGTGCGATCCCGAGTTCGTCAGTTCCCACGACGGAGTCAAAGCTACAAGTCGGCTTCGTCGGGCTGGGCAACATGGGCCGGGGTATGGCCTTGAATCTCGCCAAGGGCCTGCAGACCATGTCACCCTCTCTGAACCACCTGATGGTATATAATCGAACTACCGCCAAAGCCCAAAAGGTCAAGGAGGAGGCAGGCGGCGCGGTGCAGATTGCGCAGAGCGTTGAGGAAATCGGCAAGCGCTGCCAGATCGTCTTTGTCTCCATCAGTAACGATGAAGCTGCCCTTGATGTCTTCACTCGCCTGTGCAATGGGGAAGAAGAATCTCGAGGAAAAACAAGAGAGGAAAGGAAGGATCCGAGTAACACCATTTTTGTCGACACCAGCACCATCTACCCTGCGACCACTGGCCAGATTGAGCGCTTTGTCAGTGCTCAGCCCAGGAGGCACTTTATTGCCGTGAGCTTGCATGCATCTTGAACAATCATCTGCCTCCATCGATGAGTCACTCACTCAACTGTCTCGCTCATGCTTCCTAATAGGCCCCCTGTTTTGGTCCCCCTCCCATGGCTTGCGCTGCGTCGCTCATCTTTGCCGTCGCTGGCCCGTACGCGAGCAAGCAAGCCATTGCCTCCCTCCTCGTTCCCCATATGGGCCGAAAGATCATGGACTTCGGCTCTAATCCTGAACGTGCAGCAACGTTCAAGCTAATTGGCAACAGCATGCTTCTCGGAGTGATTGAGCTGCTCAGCGAGACCATGACGCTCGCGGACAAAACTGGCGTAGGATCCGATCGCTTCTATGAGTTCATCCAGGAGTTCTTCCCAGCGGTGCGTGCGGTAGACAAAAAACGAAGTTGCCCATTTGGGCCCATCTTTTCTAAATTACCTTGATTTTACAGCCATCTGCCATCAGCTATGGCAAAAAGATCCTGACGAATGCGTTCTCCGGCGAGGAGGGATTCTCTCTCGATGGAGGTATTGTGCGTATTACGTCGGACTTTCTTCATCTTGATTGCGCCTGCGTATCGATTAACACATCCTCTCTTCTCTCCTCTTTGCCCAACAATGATGAATCATAGAAGGATTGTACGCACATCCGCCGCTTGGCGACCTCGGTTGACTGCCCAATGGGCGTGATGGACCAAGCACATGCGCATATGATCGCTGCGCGCGCGAACGGCGGCGGAGACAAGGACTGGAGCAGTCTCGTCGGTGGACAGCGGTTGAGCGCAGGCTTGGATCCATGGGAAGGCAAGCGGCCGGGCTTACTGAAGCATTAAAGGGCGTACGAGAGTTCACAATAAGTAGTTACAGTGTCGTACCAATACAACTGGCAGATCGTTATACACATGAGCATCACGCTTTGATCACACGTCGAATGTCAAAGCGTCCATCGCTTGCTGCCAGTTGTATTCCTTCGAAATTGCCGCTGACACAGTCACGGAGGAATTCTGCCGTCCTCGTTGCTCTTCCAAATCGGCGGCGGCCAAGACCTTTCGGACAGCCTCAGCGCAAAAAATGTTGCCCTGCGGCTCTTCGCAGATACCTTGCGCGCCGCCTCGATCGCTGCCACCGACACCCGGTGCTGCCATTCGCGAGCCTACGCGCCACCAGCCGACGAGGCCGCCTTGCTCCAGTGCAGGCTTCACGAGGGTCAAGCGCTGTTCGTCGCCCCATCCCTCGACGTCGCGGTGCATCTTCCAGAAGCTCGACAGCACCGCCGTGGGCTTTTGCGCCAGCTGGTTTGCATGCACATCCGATACCGCAGTTGAGACGAGCGTTTTGTAGTTCCGTGAGCTCGTTCCCCGATTCGCATCGAGGCGCTCTTGCAGCGAAGTCGTGAGCAACTTTGTTGACGAGCCGCCCGCGCCTAGGATGCGGAAGCCGCCGCCACCGAGGTCGTCTGCGGCGGACCCACCGCGATAGTGGGGCGACAAGATGCGGTCTGCTGGACCTCTGCCTGCCAAAAGGCCAAGGAGATGGGTGATGCCGAGTGGACTGAGCAGTGCAGGAACGATGTCTTTCAGCAGCAGGCCAACGTAACGATGGCCTGGCGCCTGGTACCCGGCTCGTAACCCTGAATGTTGCGCGACCCTCTCGGTGTACCAGGAAGTGGGTGTTTCTGCGTCGATGTAGATAAGCGATTGGATCATATCCGGGTATGCTGCTGCAAAATGGCGCGCGAACAGCGAGCCATAGCCGGTTGAGACGAGCATGAATGGGCCGCCAAAGTACCGCTCTTCTGCGAGTGTTGCATTTGTGGCGGCACTCCCGTCTTGCTGTGACGGCGGCAGCGTCCATGCACCCATGCCCTCCAGCGCACGCTTCAGTACTTCGGTGTGCAGACGAATATCAGCGCTGCCACCCTCTACATAATCGCTGAACCCGTAGCCCAAACGGTCCCAAAAGCAGACGCTGTCGAGGGAAAGATGGCCATCATCTCCGTCTTTGCTGTCCTCATTGCGGGCGTGGGCGACTAGAGCGCGCAGCCACGCACCACCAGGTACACCGGATACACCACGCTCAGTCATGACAAGTGCAGTTGGCCGCAAATTTGGCGGATGCGGATGCTTCGGGGGAGGTTTTTTTGCCGTTGCTTGCCAGGTCCTCTGGCCATGATAGGTCGAATCCGAAGAGCTCTCACATTTGATGTGTACGCGGAAATCCTTAATGCTTGTCCTCTTTCCGACAGACGCTATTCCATGCACTTGCTCGCCATGCGCTTGCCGTTTGGCCGCGCGAAGGTCAATCCACACTCTTGTTCCTAAGTCCTCGGCTGGTGCAAAACCGCTGTCGGCGCCAGTCAGCGCAACGTCAAAGAGTAGCATCAGCAGCACAGCCGTGACGGAAGTAGTGAGAATCGTGATGAGAAAGAGCCTGAGCGATGTGTGGATCTTGCTCTTGAAAGGCACCTCGGGGAGTGCAAAAGTCGCAATATAGGGTGTGCCGAGGAGCGGTTCTCGTTCCGCGTCGATGCTCACATGCGGTACCCCGTCTCGCGAGTGCGCCGGGTTGAGCGAAGCTCCAGATGGAAGCTGTAACCCATCCTCCTGCTCGTGAAAGGCGCGAGGAGGCCTCGATGTCCTGTATTCCTTGCGCACATGCTCGCAAATGCGGCCCGCAGCCCATGCCCAGGCACAGCTTATCCAGGCCAAGGCGGCGGCAGGTAGCGCTAGCGCCAGCTCGCCTTCTCTGTACACCTGCAAAGCGCAGATCAGCGTGAGCAGGATCAAAAGAAAGAATGCATTTGTGGTGTGCAGCGCTGAGGTTATGTTGTGCAATTGTGGGTGCAATTCGAATGCGAAGAGCGACGGCAGCAAGATAAGGAGCGAGACAAGGAAAAGCCAGAACGAGAGGAGTGACGGGGAGCGATGTGGCGGAAGGAGCGTCGGTATTGGGATTACAACGTTGAGCATCAGAAGCATAGAAGCTAGGGCACTGCACAAAAGCATTTGGTTGAGTAACGTTGTGCTTTGTTGAACATGGAGCTACTCACGTCACAAGCAATAACGCCGTGCCAATGAGAAACGTGAAGTGCACGACAGCAACGTCGAATGGTGATTCCTGTAGTCCGTCTTCCTCATATATCTCCCTTCTGTGACCATATCCATCTCCATTGCGTCTGGACCATACCGATCGTTTGCGAAACGTCTGAAGGTGACCGCCCCCGGAGAGCAGGGACTGAATGCTGAAGTCCATAGAACCGTATGATTCCAGTCTCTGCGCATCTGGTTGGGAAGGGCTTGCCTGTACGCTCTCTTCAGCTTCCGCCGACGGTCTTTCTTCGGCCCTGGATGGGTCTGGGTCTGTGTCAGGTGGTAGCATCGTGGGTAAGGGACTCGCTGCGCAGTTGATGTGGATTGCAGCTCGCAGGTGACGATGGACGCCGCTCGGGCCCTTCAAAAGAGAGAACCGCTGGCGCCCATATCGCAGCCCCGGACTGAGAAGGTTCCAGGAACTACCCTGTCCCCATGTAGATGCGGGGTAGCATGAGCTATTGGACGCTTGGTGTGGTATGGACAAAGGAGATATTGTTGTGAATGACCCTGATGACGAAACCAGGCCGCAACCGCGGAACATCATCCGTCGCCGCACCCAAAGTAGTGATCATCGCACTTCTGTTCAGGGACCTCAGCAGGACACTCAATCATATTTGCATTGCAACTTGGCGAATCATTTTGCTCGCTCGGGACAGCACGCACGTCAAGCCAAGAGCTCCAGCTGAAGCTCTGAGGATTCAGTTACCCATTCTCGACGCTGGGCTTCTGCTGCCCCGGACTTTTGACGGAGGCTGCACAAGGTCACATCTCGCCTAGACAGACTCCGAGTGCAACTTGCGAATACGAACGATGGACCATACCGTCGTGCGTCAATGGCTACACTCTGTGCTCGGGAAGTATTCCCTCTCGGATCGAGTCTTTACGCATGTCGACGCACTACTACTGGCATATAGCAGTCTCACTCCCAGGACGGAGGTATATAGTGAGTGTCGAGCCCAGTTCTCTTGCTTGCGGAAGGAAATAGTCTGATGCTGATGAGCTAGCCCTTGTCCTCGCCTTCCCTTCAATAACCTAAAGCATACGACGATGGTCGCACTGCCCTGCTTTTACGTATTTCAGGAACAATTCCGATTTCATACCGGTCCTCGACATACCACATTCCAATCGCAATGTGGCTTCCGCATGCTTACCCTCGCGAACCTCCTCTCGCATACGTCGAGCCCGTCAAAGGCATGGCGATACGCAAAGGTCACAAGCACGTCCAACTGGATGGGTACGTCGTGACTCCGGCGAGGGAATTCGAAGAGGAAAGACATAAGAGCTACCTCAGGCGATGGGAGCGCAAGTGGGAAGCATGCAACTTAGTAGAGCTGGTGCAATTCCTGCAGAGTGTCTTTGGGCATGAGCCGCCTGTCTATTCGGCTGCCAATGGCAGTGGAAGCGCGAGTGCCACGGCCGGCTCGAGCAGGCAAGATGCCGAATTCGAGCGCGGGTCAACAAGTATAAATGGAATATCAGGTTTAGGGCACCGACCTCCACCAGCGCCTCCAGGTGCATTAGGACTGTCTTCTTCATCGGCGGCCCGTGACCCGCCGAACCGTCCGCCAAAGCCAAGGCAACCGGCAGATGTGTTGGGTCGCTCATCCAGTCTCCGCAGTTCGTCCTCTGGTAGCGCCTATTCACCTTCTGGTCCCACCCGGATGGGTGTCTCAGAGCAGGCGTCGCCAGGTTTGAGTCATGCGAAAGTGACGCATCAGGCTTGGCAATCATCCATAACGCATCTGATGGCGGGCAGTTCCCAGCATCTTCACCCTCATCAGCAACAGCAATCTGTCACCTTACCCTCTCATGTTCTTCACAACGCACCTCAGTATTATTCCAATCAGCACCATCAGTTTTCTCCTAACCACTCTCAAGACCGAGGGGCCTCGCGTCGAGGGTGGAGCATGCCCCCTCCCGCCCGGGAAAGGTCGGTTGACTCTTCTATGGGGTACTCGCCACTATCTCCGCCAGCTCAGCCGCCTTTATTTGCATTGTCGCATCATCCGCACGCTTCGACGCAACAGACAAACCCTAGTCAAGCCTTCCTTGCTCAGCCTACCTCGCCCCCACGACCACCGAGCATGGGCCATCCTTACGGCATGCCGACTTCGTCATCGCTCAACTTGTCTCTTTCTGCCGCCGCTCCGCCGCATCTACCCCAAGGCAGCAACTTTGCGCCACAACTCCCTCCTAGCAAGCCCCCTCTGCCGCGGGATCTTTTAGGTGTAGAAGACGACACGGAAGCGTCTGCATCTGTGCAATCGTACCCCTCTTCTTCAGGAGCACCCGGCGAGCCGCCTCCTATTCTCCCTCCAAATCCTGAGATCCTTTCATTACACAATGCCCTGCATCAAAAGTTAAGCGCGCGCGTCTCTTCCATCTCGGCCCACTTCGCGCAGCAATCGCAGCGCATGGCTGTCCTCTCCTCCGATCTTGACAGAGGCGAGGCGGCTATCCATGATGAGATCGCGCGGCTCGAGGCGGTCAAGGAGGTCTGTAAAGGGCGAGCAGAGCGGATGGCAGCTTTTGTAGAGGAAGCAAGACAGGGCTTGCAAGCCATGGAGGCCAAAGTCGAGGATGAACTCGAACAGCCAGGTTCCGGAAATGACTGGATTTGTGCGACGAGCATCGTCGGAAATCAGTGAGTATTCTTCCAACCGAGAGTCCCTTATACGTCCCTGTGCTGAAAGTCACCCACAACTCTTCTTCTCTCTAGACTGATCGATCTTGTGGCTGAAGACAATGCGATTGAGGATACGCTCTATCACCTTGGACGCGCGTTGAATAGCGAGCGCATCACTCTCGATGCTTTCCTCAAGCAGACACGCTTCCTCGCGCGAGAACAATTCATGCGTCGAGCGTTGGCCATCCGCATCTGTAATTCTGTTGGCTGGAACTAAGGAGAATGAATCTTCTTTGCGTTGATTGCGCATGTTCATTAAAGTACAACATGTGGAGTCAAACGATTCGTTGTCGCTTTATAGCGTTCGAGAATACTTAAATTGCCTTCTAGCTGTGTTCATGTTTCATGCTGCGACTGGCGCCGACTTGGCCTTGGTCTCCAACCTGCAAGACCTGCCGCACAGAATTTCGCCTTTGCGATTCATGGCGCCGTTGACGACAGCTTTGCCGCAATTGGCACAGCAGCCGCCTGTGCGCAATTTACTCTGGTCTTCGGCCGCGGCGAGAACGTTGTCCAGGCCGTTGACAGTGACGGAGGGTTGTTTGGCCAGCGCAGCAATGTCAACCTGCGAACTGTTTGCACTGCTCGCATGACTGCTGTGCCCGTAGGACGTGTTGGTAGGGTCGAGGCCGCTGAAAGCTCTTCCGCTGGCAGTAGACCGCGCCGGGCTGGGTGGTGGCAGCCGTGTCTCTTGCATTACAGCTTCTTGGCGGCCAGCTGGGAGCTGAAGCGGAGCGGGAGTTTGTGCAGACATAGGCAAAAGTGCGAGAGCATGTTTTGCAAGTGTCTCGATCGATGTGCTGCTTTCTAACGTACCTTTGGCAACATCTAGCGCTGGCTCTGAAGCAGAGTTGATCATGGACAGCGGGCGCGGCCTTAGACTACCCTTGCTGCGCATCAGCTTGGTGGCAGGGTTGATAGGATGCGGACTGTGTGCTGCAAACTGGCGCAGAGACTGGCTGGCGTGCGACTGTGCCCGTCCGACAGTGCCAATCGCTGTGAATGCGTGGTCCGCGGCGTGGGGAGAAGCGACGGTGGGAGGCAGGAGGAAAGAGAGCCTGCGCGATGATTTGCTGCTGCCGAGAGGCGCAAAAGAGCTAGCGGGTGGCCGGATCATCGGCAAGTGAAGCGAAGGAGAGACAGCCACAGATGGCTCGCCGTACATGCTTACCACCCTTCTACGGTCGGGCAAGCCACTCTGACTGCGATTCCGCAGGGATGGCCGTTCTGGCGGCGCAAAGCTCGGCGTAAGGGGTGACTGCATAACGTCCTCGCTCGCATCCTCTCCATGCGATGGGAACATGAGCGAGGGTGAGTCAGAGATGACGCTGGACGGCCGTCTAAGCCTTGGGAAAGAGTACCCAGCGCTTGCCTTCGGCTCTCCCTCCTCGTCATCCTCCCCATACCCCCATGCAGAGCTGATCGAGCGGATGCTCGCCGTCGGGCTTGGCGGGTTCAAGTACGCATTGGAAGTGATAGATTGCTGGTTCTTTCCCCTTGTATGCTCGATGAAGAACGGATCGAAGGGCGCTTCATCTCGTATCTTGGCAGACGCAGCGTGCTGACGCGTGAGCAGCGCGGATGCGTCGTTGCTCATCTTGCCGATCGTCGACGGCGAGGCGGTGGCGTGCGAAGCGGTGATGCTTGCCGCGCCGGCCGACTTGCCGTGGATGGGTTCGAAAGCGGTACCACTGGAGGTGTTAGGGGATGTTGTGTTCGTGGACTTTGAGTGCGGCAGGCCCAGGCCAAGCGATGCAGCCGTCACAACCTGCGGCTCACTGGCATTCTCGGTCACGCTCTCCTCGGGGAGTGTGGCAGCAAGCGCGTCACGGAATGCTGCGACTCTGACTGCCAACATCTTTTCGTCTAGAGCCGAGAGCGTCGAAAGCACAGCTTCCGCTTTCTCTTTCAACATTTGCTCCTTGCAGCCCGGAAGGGCTTGCAGTGCATCTAGTTTTCGTTCCACCTCGTCCACGTCACCTCTTCCCTCTAATTTTTCGCTCCCCGCACGAGCAAGCAGCGCTTTGCGAAGCGATACAAGCGCTTCGAGGAAGGCCAGCTCCTTCCGAGCTGCATCCAACACTGACAGGCATTCCCGTGTCTTCTCGGCGACTTTGCTGGATACGTTGCCAGCCAAAAGAGAGACGAGGTCGCCATCGGCCTCCGGAGGCTGCTGAGGCGGTGGATCGGGTACGTCATCGGTGCCTGCGACAGTTGCAGAAGTCGTCAATGCGGCAGCGAAAGATACAGCACCCGTTCCATCAGCTGCAGCAACATCACCATCACCGCTCGCGCTGACGCCCTCTTGATCCTTCAAATAGGCCTGCATGCTCGGCAGAAGCTCCTCGACGCGTCTCCAGAGCTTTGTAAGGTTAGTATCGCTTTCTGCATCTACTTGCTCCACCGAGTGCGAGCCATTTGGCGAGGAGAGGGACATGGCTGGCCAGGCTGCCTTTTTTGAGCGTGCGACACGTGCGAGCAGGTGCAGAAGCATGAAAATCGCCTCTTTCTTTTCCTCTTCCTCCTCGTCGCTTCCCGCTGCTGCTGTTGCTGCCAGAACCTTACCATTCTCCGCGCCTTGCTGCGACTGTTCCTTGCTTTCCACTGGTCGAACACTACTACTACCACCATCAACAGCAGTGCTAGCACCGTGCCGCCCGAGAGCGAATCCGAGCCCCCGTACGGCCCAGCTGAGCGCGCGCGGCGCGTCGCGGCGCACGAGCTCTACGGCGATGGGAGCATGTCCACGCGTGACGCCGAGCGTGTACAGCGCCGCGAGCTGCGTGATGCTACGCAGCGAGCGCAGCTCTGCGGCGCGCTTGAGCAGCGGCAGGAGCCTGTGCGCGGGCGTGATAGGCGTCAGTGCCTTTTGATATGTAAGCAACGCAAGCGGAGGGAAGTGTGGGTCCATGAGTGCAAAAATAAAGAAATCGTCAGGTGGCAGTACATGCCCACCTTAATCTCCCATTCGAGCCGCGTCACATCGGCCGGCGCAGCGCTCTTTAGATTCGCCTTGAAGACCGTGGCGGCCTTGATGCGCGAAGCGGCATACGCCCTCTTGCTGCTGTTCTTGTTGGTTCCGACGGTGCCGCTTTTGCTCATTCTAATCTTTCCATTCTTGCTGCTGGCCGATGAGTTCTGTGGATCCGACTCTGTAATTGGAGTTGGGGATGTGAAGTGGGAGTGTCCATCGCACCCGTTGGCGGCGTGCGGTTGCGATTGGCCTGACGCGAGGTGCAGAGCAGCATCAGCCTTCGCAGTTACATCCGAGGCGGGTGGAAATAGCTTCCGCAGATCTTCTGCTCCGCGCTTCTTGCCGTTCATATTCTTGTTCTGCAGCAGCGCAGCGACACTATGCGCTCTGCGATCCTGGCCTAATACTTGTTCGCTGTCGTCTTCCCTTGCCCACCTGCCCCCCGCTGTTCCTCTTGCACTCGCAAAACCCCCCTCGGAGGCAGGGCCAATCGTCTTAGAGCGTGTGGCAGTATCACGTGAGAGGAGTGCCAGGAGGCGAGCGGCTGTCTGCGTTTGCATCGCCGCGTCCCTGACCTTGTCCGATTCCGAAGGCACTTGTATTTCCGCCACTCTTGTTGCTGCAACCGCTAAGGATGTAGCAGCAGATGAAGTGAAGTCCTCCTCACGCTTCAGGTCAAGCGACAAGGCAAGGGCGGCGGTGGCGTCGTCAGCAGTGACGCTCCCGAGCTCCTCTTCGTCGTTGTCGCTGCCGCTGTTGTGATCTGCATCGTCCTCTTCTTCCTCGTGCTCTCCGGCAGAAAGATCCACTGTGGAAGGGAGGCTCAAGCCATACTGTCGCGAGAGCTGCCGATACCTGCCCGCGACGTAGCATTCATGCACGGTGCGCGATAGGGATATCTCCGCAGGTGCTGGTGCCGGTGCGAAAGCTGCATCGCTGATTTTGGATGCTCCTGCTCCCAATGCAGAAGGCTGGTGGGAAGCATTTGGCGTCGATCGGCCCCCGTTGAGGTTGTGGTTGAGCACGCTGACGCTGCTTCTCCCTCTGACAGGCACGCGGGCGCCCAGGCCGCTCAATGGGGTGAGGTGCCCATACGCGCTGATGGTGGATAAGATGCTGGTTGTGCTGATGCTGTGCACAGAACGCAAAGAGCGCAGCGAAGCTGCAAACGAGTAGTGAGAGGCAGTCGAAGGGCGACGCCCACGCTGAGCACGCGCCTGTGCTTGCGCCAGCGGCTGCGTGCTGGGATAGTACATCTTGGAAGCGTGTATATCCGTTGTCCCGTCGCCGTCGCGCTGCGTCTACTGTTACAGGCCGTGGAGCATGTATTTTGACCCCCTTTTGTCGTTTTGGAGATGAAGAAAGCATAATGATGTGTCAGTTGTGGCAGTCACTCTATGTTCGAAGAATTGAAGACCAAGCTGGAGGATCTCACCTTCCCGTGGCAGCTAGCACCTCGGTCGGGGGATGTTACTCAATTTAATGTGCGGCCGCCGCAGATGGATGAACGGCGCGCCAAGACCCTCCGCAATCGCAACTCCTTCCTGTGGTCACAGCACAATGTATTGGGTAGGCATCGCTGACTGCTTGACCACCCGATGTACCCAAATGTCTCGATAAAGAAAGTACAGCAAACAGTACACCTTGATTGGAGGTGTTGTTCCTTTCTGCGACGACTGCCGGCGGGGGACTACATCGACAGGAGCGGCGAATCCCCTGGAATTTGTGCGAAAGGGTTTGAAATACCCCGGATCTGTGAGGACGAATCTTTCGTAGTGCATTTTCGCGGGTTTGGCCCACATGCGTGGGTGCGATTAAACCGCCCGCCGCTGAACTTCTGCAACAACCAGCAGAGCAAGAAGAGTAATCCAGCGAGAGTTCGACCCACGGCCAAGAGATGGGTGGGCACTGGAATGCGTACGTGTGCTTTTTTGTTCCCCTCGATGGGAGGATGCGCTGTCTCAAGTACGTGCGCTCTGTCATGTGACGCGGGAAGCAAGCCAGCAGAGCTCTCGGGTCGCAAAGGCAATTGTAGCGTTGGTCCATGGGGTAACAGATCAATACAGCACGTCCTACGGTTCGAAGCAAGGGCATCTGCGGCATGACGTCTGCCTCAAGCGTCTATGCGGCAGTGTCAAATGCAGCGCAGCTAGCAGGTCCAATGATCTTGAAGTGCGCATTCATACGTATCCCCTCCACGTCGAAGAACGCCAGTGGCTCTGCCGCCGGGTTCGGCTCTTTCAGCACGGATGGCAGCAGCTGCACATCTCCGCGCAGAGAGATCGTTGGCGCGACGTTGTACACGTGTCGGCCGCACAGGGGCCCATCAGTGAACCAAGGCTGCGAACGAGAGGTGACCACAAAATTCGCGTCAGATATGCTTCGCATGCGGCGCTCCTCCATTCAGGAGTCTGTTCACCTGATTGGAAATATCCTTCCAGTCGACCCCGCTCGTATCTTGGGGCTGCATGGCAACGCGCTCGATCTTGAACCAGCCGACGGTGTCCTGGTCGTAATTTAGCGCGTCCGAGCTGTTCGGCGGTACCATCTTCGCCTGCGTCTCGTGCAGCCCAAAGACGAGGCCGCCGAACAGCCCAGCGACCGGGCTATCGGTGAAGATTTGTGACTTGTAAATGTACGGCTGCTTGCTGCCTGGCCGTAAGCGGACGTATGGCAGCTCTAGCGTTGTCTCTCTGCGTTGCAAATAAGGAGGCTCTGGCGATGGTCAGCTGCAATTGTCTTTTTTCTGCGAGCTCTTCAAAATGGCGGTGAGGCTACGGACTCATTATTAAGGATCCCAAAGCCAGGCGGGCCATTGCCCTTTTGGTGCCCCGCCTCGAGCACCGCCAAGGTTGTCTTCTTGTCCCGTTGGCCTTTGAGCAACATGAAAAGGTCCTCATCCATCCGGCCATCAGCTACTTTGGGCGGCAAGATTGTGCGGGCATAGCTGACGGGGAGGTCGACTGCCCAAAAGGAGACATTGTACGTGCCCTGGATGAACGAGAATGTCGGACCTGCATCGCTACTGCTCACAGCGGCAGCTGCCTCGGCAACTGCGGCTGCAGCGACGGCTGAGGGGCGAGTGTCCCAGATGGAATGGCGCTGGAAGCGAGAGCGGATACTGCGAGCGAGAGCAGCACCAGGATGGATCGTAGCGTTGGCATCTTGATTCGAGTCCAAATACTTTTGGGCAAACGAAAGCAATAAAGATCAGAATGGTACGGATGTAGATTGAGCGCAGACGAGACTGGACCGGGTTAGGGTTGGGGTTATGGGTCAACGCTGCTCAAAGCTTGCTGTCGCCGCTGACGTGTCTGCCTTGCTAGCAATTTATGTGATGTACTGATTGTCCCCTCCCATTGTATGTATGTATGCCGGGGACGATCCACCCATATTGGCGTTGAATCGGTCGATTTATAGATTAGCTTTTAACGGCGAAAATGCGTGGGCTGAGAAGCAGGCATTGCAGCAGTCACATTTATTCTATTGCCTTGCCTGTTTTACCCGAGTCCGCGGAGTGCCCAGGCTGGTTTAGTTGCAGACCATCGCTCACCCTCTCACCATCTCCCTGTGCACTACCCCTGCTTGACTCTCTACTGTGCATTTATTCCACATCACAAACATCATGGCATGGGCGAAGAGGCAGGACCATGAGGCAACAGGTGGGTCGATGCTGCCCCCTCGCCCTAGCCCTCAGTCTCGCCGTTGCCGTGCCACTTTCTACTGCAACAAAACATCGCGACCCCAGTGAGCATCGTCACTCGTTCCCTGTTTTGCGATACTGCTGCACCCACCCATGTCAGTGTGGCCGTGCCCGAAAGCAGCGTCCTCAGGTGTTGCTGGCAGGAAGCGCGGCTCTCAATATAACGAGCCGTGCGCTCGCGGACTTGCAGGAGAGTCAGCGTATGGCACCCACTTCCCACGTCGAATCAAGCCTTGTGCCGCTTTTAACACAAGATGATTGCACTCAAAAGCAAACAATATGGTTTCACGGCCCCGCCTATGCATGGCCTGCACTTCACATCTGGTGTCAGCGTCTGACACTTGACTGCACAAGAATGGTAGAAAATGCATGAATCGGGTTGAATTTATCCATCTGTGGGCAGCTGCACACTCGTCTGAACTACAATAAAGACATCGGTGATCCGTCTCGCCCGAGCATGCACCAGTTGACGTGCAATGAGCGGGGCCTGTATGCATTTCGCCTGCAAGACACAAATAGACGCCCCGGATGCGCTGCGCTGCTCTGCTGTGTGCTCCTTGTGCCCCCCTTTCTCCTTCTCGT